AACTTAACACTATTGGTAGACTTCATGTAGTACCGCGTCTGAAAAACCGAAATAAACGCGTACAAATAAATAATAATGTAAATGCAATATGTATTTTCTCCTTCCGAAGTCCGGTAACGGTCGGATTCATTAGGTGTTTCCCAAAGGGATACTGAATCTTAAACGTTTTTACTTTTCGACCATTCGAAAAGCAAATATAGGTAGGTACTATTCTTATAAATTGGTTATTTCGCTAATCGCGATTTATTTATGTTGAACGTTGTTATACTTGTGTTGGGATTGCCATCTTCACACCGCGATTGTTGATCACGAATCTTACACTCATGATTGGCCGGTTAAGTACTCACAAAAATATAATGTAATAAATAACTTTGTGCGAAAAACGATTTACTCGTATAAAAAAAACTATAATTTGATGACGAAAGAACAAAAAACGTAGCAGCCGCTATAATATGAAAACAAAAACTGAAATTAAACTTGGTAAGGGGACGCCGAACACGGAGAAAAGCAAAAAAAAGTAAGTATAGGTAGTGACGTGTCGACAACGGTTTCGGAATGATTTTATTATTACAACTTTATAGAAACGACAAATTATAATAATAAATACGATTTCAAGCGGTCGCTTAGATACAAAATCATATTGTCGAAAAATAGAAAAACGCCAAACCGTATCAATAATAATAACGTATGGAATATATATTAAATAGGCAAAGTCAAAAAATAACAACACTGTACACATACAAAACCGTTTGAACGATATTGTAAATTTACTAGACATAGTTTGTACAGATCCATACGAATAAAATTCATCATTGATGTTAGACAAAATAGCTATTGCTTAAATTGTAACAGGTTATTTATATAACATTATAAAATTGGGTATTTTTAAGTTCTGTAGAGTTTTTTTGATTTTTGTATAAGTCACAAACCTTCAACCTAAATATATTTTCCAGAATATATAAATCTATACGATTCTAAGGAATGTTTTTCAAACTTTATCATCTTGGTCTAAAATTCGTATATTCTTTTAAATACATCTATTCAAACGCGGGCAGTTTAGTAAAAAAAACTTTTTTTTACAGCAACTGCTAATTAGTTTAACTACTTAGACTTTAAATAACAAAAGATTGACATGTTTCGCGCATGGGAACAGCCACTGTTGTAGATGAGAAGTTAGGAAGGTAGGTCATACAGACGGTAATTTAATGTATTTCTGTAAGCAACGATAAAACATGACTAACGAAAAAACGATTCTGAGCGGAGTTCAGTTGACAATATTTGCTTTATAAACAATATAAATGTTATGCTATTGTTTTAAAATAATTACAAATGCATAAAACATTTTCTTCAATAATATTTGATTAATATTTTACCTATTTTCCCGGTCCTTTGTTTTTCCCCATTTTTTTTTTCGGTTTTTTACATTTGATAAAGAAACTCCTGAGGGATTCGAACATGACCTCACCTTCCAGAAGTACCACCCCAAGAAATATCCTTTCAGAATAGGGTCTACAACTTGTACATCGGAGTAAGGTTTCTGGTGGAACAAGCGTTCACATAAAAAAAAAAATAAATAATTAAATAAACGTCATTGTAAAACCAATATATTTTTCGCTTCACTCAGAATATAAAATGATTACTAGGTAATATAATACTTTATAACTGTATAAAACCAAAACGTGTAAATTAGAACGATTAAAAGTTTCAATTGAATTTTTTACTATTGAAATATTATAAATATTGAAATATAAACTAATATTTTCGTAATATTTTCACTTCGTTTGATTTCCGAATTAAGGACAAGCATAATACTTTTTTTCTATCGTGAGCCTATTTAGAGTTTTTATTCCTGTATCTCCCGTCACTTGTTACGTGGACGACAGTTGTATTAATCGTATTCGACTTTCCATACTGACTTTTGCGTGTCCGTCATACACACAAATAGAGAAAGATGTACACGTACAAAAAAATCTAAATTATAAATACATACTTTGAGCATTCTTGATAATAACATGGATGTCTCCTATAAGATTACGTAGCTTAGTTGTTTGATGTACGTATTGGAGTCTCTCGGAAAACTTTTTTAACTAGTAAACTTTTGTTATTATAATAGGTATTAGGTAGCAAATATCTAAAAAAATATTCTTTTAAAATTGCCTATACGTAGCCCCTTAATAATCGGTCGATTAACTGACCGGATACACCGCGAACACACCATGTTCAGCTAAAAAGGCTTTTAAATGGTAAATACCAAACAGAGAATCGTGGTTTTTATTCGATATTTGTTGAACACTCAAATATTAATATTACGATTTTATTCAAAACACTAACGAATCTATAATAATATTGTGCCGGTATGAATCCCGTAACAATCGAAGATCGGATTATAGGTTATTTATAGAATTAGATATACACATTATCCATTTGTATTTAAATTTAGCGTTTCCAAGTATTGTTTTTCCATATTTTGCCTTTCAAAGTGTTGCCTGTTTAAATGTTACGTTTTCCAAGTTTTGATTTTGCATGTATCGCACGCTGGCCTCTCCCGACATTGTGTATACGTTCATTATAAATTATTGTAGCAGTCCACATTGTCGCGGTTTATATAAATACGTTATACATAAATTCAGGATACGTATTATACATATATTCGTACATGAGGTACATTTTCCTGCCCCTCCCACACTTTGGTATTTTCAACAACTTTTTCACCACACGTTTTTAGCCGGTCTGTATTGTTTTTTTTAATGTTATTAGTTTCGTTTGTAGAGATTTCGTTAAAATATTAAAAATATAATTTGTATACAAATCACGTTTCATTACTCATCATAACAATTTATTAAATATATATATTACGTTCACTATATTAATAGAATATACTAACTGACGTATTAAATAGATGTTTCACAGACAAAAATATTATTTTTTAATTAAAACTACTCATATAGTAAAACATTGCTCGTTAAAAAAAAAAAAAAAACAATACTTATTTGTGTGAAATTAAACAAATAAAATCATACAATGTTAATTTTATAAGACCTGTATTAGTCTTTATTCAATATTAATGTGTATAATAATTTTGATACATATAAAATTTGTACTTTGTATAGTTTGACAAATCAGTAATCGCCTTTTTCTATATGAGCTTCCTAATGTGAAAGTCGTATTTTTATTGTAAACGAAATAATAGATAATATTACGTATGGTTTTTATTAGGAATATATTTTACTTGTAAACGTACTAACTATTAGGGAATTACTTAACTGTAAGAACGCATTAGACGATGAGTCTTTACAACTCCATGACTGTGTTTCTTCTAAATCTGCAACTATAGGCAATAAAATTTGTTTCATTATAATAACAGAATTATGACGTTAAATCCATCTGATTGGACAAAGTTGGTTTGATTTCGTTTTATTTGAATTATGAGCTGATGTTTCAATATTATATTGAAGGACATTTTGACCTTTCGGAGTAAAGAAAATTGTTCCGACAGTTGATACGTCTGTAGTTTCATCAGCCAAGATATAAAAAAATTAAGCTCCATTAATTTTAGTAACTAATTTAATAATAATTCCATTTCACGCTCTTATAATTTGATTTTGTATATTCCAACTTATATAAGTATCATTTTTAGTTTTTACAACAAGTTTCGAAATGCTTCTTTTAACTTTCATCACATGATTCTGCTCTAGCCCTTAATATAGCACGAACAATTCCTTAATTTTTCTCGGGCTCTTTTTCTGTGTTATAATACTCCATATTCTTGATGTGATCTCAAAGACAAATTTTAACGCTTACATAAAATCACTGTATTTATAATCGGTTTAAGTTTCTTCGAATTCTCTAGGGCTTGTTTTCATGAATCTTTATCAAATTTTTTATCGTTCGGTAACAATTTTACACCCATAATGTCAATAAAAGTATCATATTTTATAAATTGACACCTTTATGATAATTTAAAAATAAATGTTTTTCAGATCGTTCTTAAACATATTTCCAATTATTCTATCCTGTCGTTACCAATTGATTAAGTTCTTGCGAAGAACAGTGACCAGCATTTGAAAGAACAAATAAAACACATGTCTTAAAATAGACACTATTTTCTAATTTAAAATATGCCAACTATTCATATTTTGTTAACCAAAATCAATTAAGTTTTCTGTTTCGTGAACCTATTTGTTAAGTCTTAAAAATATAACTACAATCGGGAACCCACATATTTTTAATAATATTCATTTTTTTTTATGATCAATCATTTTTTTGTCAACATGTAAAAAAATATCGTACTTCGGTACTATTTTATTACCTTCATTTAGATGAACATTAAATTCATTTGATGTAGCTGTAGCAGTATTATTTACTGTTGATGAATTTTCTATAGAAATTTGTTGTTTTTGGGTTTCTGGTGTGGTTCGCGACTCAAATTTTAAATAGTTTAATAATGAACCATAATAATTACGTTCCATTTAATTTAAATCCACTTATTTGGGTCAACAAAAAAAAAACAATAAACAACTAATCAAAAAATAATAAATAAGTTGACGAAAAACCAAATATGTCGACTAAAACAGTTGCACAACACTAATTACTCTTGGACTGCCTGGAATTTGTATCCTCGTCGTGGATGTTTGCACGACCGGACAAGAACTCGTGGCACCACTTACGAACGTTTTTAACATCCATACATTTTTAACCGTAAAATTTAACTGATTGACGATGGATGTCGATCGGTGCCGCCGTTTTCGCGGTCAAAAATCGTATGACAGACCGCATTTCACACCTGGACGGCGACGCAAAGAAGAACTTTATCATGGACGGCTGCTATGCCAAGATTGAATGGTTGACAATGCTCCGCGGTGGTCGTAGTGATAATGGTAATTTAATATCATTGTAATGTGCGCGTTGTGTTATTGTTTAGTTAGCGCCGATAAATAAGTGTTTAAATAGATCGATTGAACGTAATTTCCGTTTCGCTTTTAAAACCGATAGCGATTCGGTTTTGGTTTCGAGTTTGACCATCAATGGTCGGGGCTTCGCGGTCTTCTTACCCAAACGAGCAGCATGTTCTATAGAAATATTCAGATCATGCTTTTTGAAAATAGTCTAAACTAGATTAATTGGCGAAGATGCGTCGTTAATTGGTTCCTCTTCGGCATTGGAAATAATAATATTATTAGATCTGTCCATACGTTAGTGCACTTCAGAAACTATAGATTTGAAGTCTGAATCGGGAGCATTACTATCCAATAAATTAACACGTAGCTGCAATGCGTTAATCTGAATCTTGAGTTTAGAATTTTCTTTCTTTAAATTGGTAATATCAGAAGTAAGTTCTTCCAATTTAGTCGTCATCACATCAGTTTTGTTTTTCATTAATAGACAATTTAGTAGAAATGGCGACTAGCTTTGAATCTTGAGATTTTAATAATCTTGTCACATCAAATAAGGAAGGTTCAGATTTAGCGAACAGACAAGTTATAAGCGATTTTGAAGTCTTAGACATTAAAAGTTAAAATTGGAAAATTGGACTGAGAGATAACATGTTCACCGTCCGACGGTCGAATGCAAACTTTTTACTTTTTTATTTATTAATAATAAATATGACACAATTTACAAATTAAATATCTCCGTTTATGGCGAAATGCTCATTACTCCGCTGAATAATATATCATTGAATATTATCAAAATATTATAAAATTTTTAAATAAATAATAATTAATTGTTATTATATTTTTGAAATTTAATTTTTCTATCTGTAAATTCAATAAGGTTGAAATCCCGTCGTCAATACAAATCAAATTTGTTCTCGTGAGACCATTAACCAGAGTAATATAATAATAATAACAATAAGCGTACATAGGCTTGATTCGTGTGCGCAATTTTTAAGCATAAATACCGACATTCAAACTTGTAATCGTCATTGTCATTGTGGTTGGCAATGTCAACCGATAGATTATTATCTGTATGAATATGACGCAATGTTGATACTGTACGAAAATTCAGTTATTAATATTTTTAGGTAAACCGATTAATATGGTGATCGGGTACTTTAAAACTTAATCAAAGAGTTAATAAGAGTTGGTTCATTTAAAACCTCGTATTCGAAAAAACAAGATGAGTTATATGTTAAATCCGTATTAAAATTGAATATACAATAAATAAACGTTAATATATGACACGAACAATAAACAATAATATTGATAACAATGTGATATACGTAGTTAGAATAAAAGCCACTCACTAATAACCGATTTTGAAATTGGAGATTAAATAGATTCTAACTTTCTTAAAAAAAACCAAATTGAATTTGAATGTTATCTGTTGAACGGTCTTCGATATCGACTTTGAGGGCGACAACCTCTCGGTAAAATTATGCAACATACAACGTATAATATTTTATATTTTTATCAGAAAAACGTACAATATTGTGAGATATTTGCACTAGGCGTAGACACGATGAAGAAAAATGTCCAAATTATTTTTTTTTTTATTAATATGAACTTAGTATTGGTTCAAATCCAAATTTCGTATTACAGAAATTCTTGAAATAACGTAGGTATAACAGAATATTAATCAAATTTTAAAAAAAATCTTATTTTTTTTTTAATTTTTGCTATTCTCGTGATACTTGGATTGCATATTTTTTCAGGCCAATAAGAGCGTCTAGTAGTACCGAATAAATCCATATTTACGTAGGTAAACGCGCCTAATATATGTTCGGAGCACTAACTAATGAAGATAACCATAACTAATTTATCTTAATAAATTGTGCCTAACATACGTAGGTACAAGTGTGCACATAGCATTAAAATATTGACTGTGTTTCCACACTTAGATGTCTTATACTTATAATGGAGGTGAGGGGAAACGCACTTACGCATTAAGAAAAATAAAAAAGATAATAAAAAAATTACATTCTTATAGGACGTGTGCAGAACACGATTTCGTTTAAGTATACCACTTACAATTGAATTACAAATAAATTTAAATTAAAAACCGTATTTTGTTATTAGGTAGGTATATTGTCATTAATCTTTAGCTACTAGCGCCTGTGCATAATAATATAATTTTATCGTTAATCGCGTAATAATAACTGCGTGTGGTATCAAAATAGGTACACAAAATCCCTACAATAGCAGTAGGTTATAATATAATATAACAAAATATGACGAAATATCGTAAAATTCTTAAGCTATAATATTATAATACGTCAATATGACGTATAGCTAATTTAAATATAACGTATACTGAGCATAATCTGTGATCCAGCGTGACGCGCGCAAGACGTACGTCATTTGGGGTCATATTTCTCCCCCGCTCCCATTCGTTTAAAAACACAACAACTATGAGATATTTATCTTGTAATATTATCTTGAAATTATACAAAATTACGAGGAAAAAATTTTGATTTTTTGCACAAAAATAGTATGTTTTTTTGGAAATGGTCATAATCGGGATAAGTACAACAAATGAAGATTCTACGATTTATTCATGGTTATCTTTTACTAAAATACAATAAGATCATAGAGATGGCCGTAGGAGTACCGAAGATAACACATTTTGTGAAGGCTCAACTATGCCCTATATTTAATTACGCCCTTTTACCAGTTTTCGCTCCTAATTTTTCTGATTTTTTTTTGATATCATAAATGTATTTTTTGAATTTTAGTGGTACACGCACTTTCAACAAAACACCATCGATGTGTAACTGGTACTGCAAACCTAGTGATGGACTTCCAAAGAAGCGATGAACGAATTGACTGGGTAAAACAATACCGGGAGAAATTAGGTGTAGTGGATTGGTTAGAAAGAGTACGCAATGGCGAGGAGTGATTTTCCATTCCATTCCTGTAGAGGCCACGGGAAAAAACCCTGTCAAGAGTTTTGTGCAGATTCGGCCGGTGTCGTCAGAAAACTATTGAAACAATTCAAATAATTGCGCGGACATTATAATCTATTTCACCACCTCAGTAATGAAAATGTTCACTTATCTTTACATTAGGTAATAATGAGGAAATAATAATTAAGAATTGAACAATATTGAATAGATAGTATTATATAATAATNGTTCACTTATCTTTACATTAGGTAATAATGAGGAAATAATAATTCAGAATTGAACAATATTGAATAGATAGTATTATATAATAATAATGTTATCTCCGTGTCTTTTGTCAACAGTAGCGGATTACAATGTTATTATTTGTTGTATAATACATTAATTGTATTGAACGTTTGTGGGATGGGCAATGTTTATTCCTACGCGCGCAGAATTTCGAAATTTTTTAGTGAAATTGTTTAAAAAAGAGCAATCCTATTAAAATGTTCACCGGTCACTCATTCGCTTAATATCATACACAATAGAATAAGATTGACGATCGTATTATCTATGTGTATTGTAGCTTTTAACACGTCGTTTTTAACTCGAACAAAAACAATGGTTTTATCATTCATTATTATATTGAAATTTATTTTACATAACTATACATTTTAAAGACGATTTCGTCGGTGATTTTGAAATATCAAATACTTAAAATAAAAAAATAAAAAAATTTAAATACGAATTTTTGTACCTCCGGTAGTGAATTAAATACTCAGTTAATATTGTAAAACGCTGACGAGGTCGCCTTCGAAATCTCGTAATTTACAAATATAGATACATAATATGTATTTTACTTCTGAAACTAATTTTAAAAGCCTGTACGTTTGTGTTGCTTGGACATATTTCAGGGACGTTTCTTGACAGACCAAACGTCCGAATAATATTTTGCTGTCTTACACGGAATATAAATATCATTTTAGTCGATAAACTATGTCAATCAATCAACACAAAAAAAAAAAAAACTCCTATGAAAAATCTACGCCTATTGCTTAACGGTAGCTGATGTTACGGGCCGTTCGGACACAGCCTTTTGATGGGAACATGTACACACGTGTGTTTAGCCTACAAATGGTTTTCTATTAGAATTGAAACAACGCACGGTCGACACGGTTGTGTCGATGAGCGAAAAACCTGCGACACCAGCGCGGGGTCGAGACTTAGCTGCGATTATCGGCTATAAACACACCGAAGAAATGACCGGACGGGTCGGCGTCGAGGTGCGCCGGCGGTGGTGCAGCTGTCTCGATACCGATAACAAAAAAAAAAAAAAATCAAGTAACGTATACTTTGAATATGTTAATTTATAGGACTCGCATACGATTTAAGCGCCTAGCCGTTTCTCGTGAAACCGAGTTGCAGCTGCGACGGTTGTATCGGTCAGCCGGCTCTGGAAATATCGACGGCCAGTATAGATTAATTTATTGGCGTCACCGCACGACACAGGCCAATAATAACCGATATCTAAATTATCGGCGAAATTTTTTAGTGAAATTGTTTAAAAAAGAACAATCTTATTAAAATGAACGGTTTTTAAATCAGATTAATAGGTACGTTTAATTTTTGTTTTAAAGCCATTTTTACTATAGAATACCGAGTTTTTCACTTAAAAAAAAACAAACAAACAAACCATTTCTCTCCCTTGTGTTGAATTTCGTATGTAGTGAAAACTGTTTGATAGAAAAAAACCGCGGACGTCGGTGTAATTTCGGAAAATAATTATTTAGTTCGATGTTTTATTTATTTATCTTTTTTATTCTATTTTTTTTTTTTTTTTTTAATTAATTAATGAAATCTCTTCGAATCATAATTTGAACCTTAAAATAATTTCACGTTTGTTTGCACGGAATTAATCCTACGTACTATTATCGCTCATATTATATTTTGTTGATTACTTCGTCAAATCGGCTTTCCTGTTATAACATGTTATGGCAGGAAAGTAAACGGCAATTTGCAGCGTACAGTCAAATTTCGCAGAACTTGCAATAATTTGTGTTTTTGTTAGGTTCATGTTTTAATTACTACCCAGTTAGTGTGATAATGTTACTTATGCGCTTCGCGATTATCAGTGTAATCGATATGGGTACTGATAATCTTAAATCAATTGAGGCCATTCAATGCGATAAAGGACTGACTAGAATATATTAATATTGCGATATTGAGAAATAGTCGTTTGTTGCTCTTAAAATTATGTATAACTTTATAATGCAACGACGGTGCTGTTAAGGTGAATATTTATAGTCGAGAGCGGTGTTGTCAGTTTATGAAAATTGAATTGTTCGGCGTGTGGTTACTATGAATGGCATTAACACAAATATGAACAATTTGCATCTTGATTTGTTATTTCACTGAAGGTATCAATCAATATCATTTATAATAACTTCAGTGTACGATTTAGTTGGTACCCGATCAAAATCTCGAAATTCGGACCTCAGTAATAAAACATAGCAACATAGCGACACAATTTTTGTAGTTCCCATAAAATACTATTATAAAGTTGGAAATGCAATAATTCCCAAATAAAACATATTATACAGGTTATAGGTTAGGGGTTAGGTTAGGTTATGCACCAAACAAATATAATAACAGTGATAATAATAATATATAAAAATTGTTTTTTAATCGAAAATTATAAAACATCTTGTTCTCGTTTAAAAATACACGAAAAAAATGTGTAATAACGTAACGAGCATCGCACGGTCAAGTTTGGAAAACAACATACACCTAAAGTGCATATTGAAATCTAGGCCCCAACTACAGTCATGAATTAGATCAGAATTATTAATTTGTTATCGCTTATCAGTGTATATAAGTTCAGTATCGACAGCAGTTATTACACCATACCAGTATAATATTATTTATTGATACGAGGAAGTCGCAATTTAAAAAAAAAAAAAAAAGGATCTAAAGATCCTTAAATCTTTAAAAATGTCGATAAATGTTCCAAACAAAGTGGCATTAGCCAACGATTTACATTTTTACTAATTGAAAGTGGTTTCAAAAAGAAAAAAAAGGGAAAATGAGACGAAAAGTTGAGGCGTTTTTCGGTATGTGGCCTTCTGTTCCTTTGCACGTCCCAAAGTACCGCCGAAAGATCATTTCCTCTCGGAAAAGGCGCTATGCTCGACAGTCGGGGTGTGCTTTCCGGTAGAAAAAAGTGTTCACGCGAAAGAAAAATGAAATGAATATTATTGTAAAACCGATACGTTCCGCGTTCCGTCCAGAATCTAAAACGCCGCAGTATCTCGCAGTAAAACTGATTTCTCGATAATTCGCCATTAATCTAGAACGAAAACAAACGCGCTCGTGTTATTGTTAAACGCCGCCATAGCGGTAGTCGTGATAATGCATCCGTATAACGTGCAATAGCATAATTGTATTTAACAACAACATAATCTGTTTCGTTATTGACCGTCCGGTGTAGGAAAAATAAATAATGATACGCAATTACAATGTATCATTCCGATGCGTTAGCAAAACGATTAAAAAACGATCCGAAGAAACGTCCGCCGCGCGACCGTGCGCCTAACGTTGTACTGTTATTGCGTTTCGTTGCGGCGGCCGAGGTGCCGCAGCGTAATCGGTTTTTTTATAATGATAATGCAGGGAAACTGTCGTAGATGTTTGCGGCGTGTGTGCGCGCACTCGTTACCGTCCGGGTCGCCAACGGTTCGCCCGTGTACCGCGAACGGGAAAACGGACAAATGAAAATCGAATCGTCAATCCGAATGTTGTACCGCGCCGCGCGCACGCCGTCACGCCGACACGGACCGATTTACCGGCGGGCGCCGCGTAAAACGAAATTTACACGTATTTATAATATTTAGAAAAAAAAAAAAAAAAACGATAAGATTCTAGTCGGCTGGTTTATTAACGGTAATCATCGTTATTGGCGCAACGTTATTATAAAACGCCGCGTTCCCGATACGCCGTATACCCAATATTGTGAAACAACGTGTACCGTACGCACCATCATCGCATTGTTGTACGCATTATTTATTTTTTTTTTTATTATTATTATTATTATTGAATCAGTACGAGTCGAGTGTTACCCGCATGCACATGGTATTATAATAATAATATTATTATAATTATTGTTATTATTATCAATATTACCGTCGAATGATGCAACTAACGTCATTGTTATAGGTATCGCCGAGTCTACCGAGATCCGGTGAGTTTTCCGACGAGGAGTGCGCGCGCGCGTTATGGCTTTTCTTCTACACGTTGAAAACCGACGGGGAAAAAGGAAAAAAAAGAACGTTTAATTACCGACGGTTGTTTTTTATTATTATTATTATTTCTTTTTCCTTCCGCCGAACCGTCATATTTTCTACGTACGGTTTTCGATTAAAAGACGTGTTTGGTTTTTTTTTTTTTTCCTTTTGTTCGCGATTTCGGACCGCGTTCCAAAATATAATAACAACGATAACCCGCTGCATTGTTTTATGCGTTCTGTCGCACGACGGTTGTATACTGCAGTGCGGAGACACCATAATTAATGTACCTTTGGTCGCCCGGAGCAGAAGAAGAGCCGAAGTCGATTTTTAGCATTTTTTTTTTTTTTTATAACAATATATTAATCGTAATTTTCTCCAACGCGAATGGTTTCCCTTTACGTTTCGGCTTTAAATTGCTTACGCGTATGGTTTTTTTCCCTCAACATTTGTGGATCTGGTGTATCGGTGTATTAGTTTATGTACAAGCGTGTGCGTTTTCGACATTCAATTCACTCGTGTTGACAACTCTGATACGGGAATCGACTTGAGCACTTCTTCCTCCGGACCAAAGACGTAAGTAATATCGTAAGGTATGTATAGGTAATTTATAGTATCGGATAACTTTCAGCGAGAAATCATTTTTACGCGCTCTCCGTACGGAACACAATACGATATTGAATTTCATCCTGAGTTTTAGTCATTTTCAAATAAAACATATGTATCTTATAATATTATATTATGACGTAAATACTTAGTGCTTATGATGCGGTCGACTTTGGTGGTTCTTCGGCTATGTACCCGCTGTGAAACACGCAAGGCCGGGCATTGCCGAGTTAAAAAGTCAACGTTTAAGTTAAAAATGGTTTATATTTTTAATTAGCTTTTAACAATTGATTTTTTTTATTTTTTTACATTCATTTGTCAAATTACGGTTTAAATTTGAATATTACATGGCGTTAATTTAATTTCAATATTTTTAAATTTACAATCTACATTCTACATACTGTTTGAATCGGTAGGCACTGCCGTATAAATTGTAATTTTATTATTTCACATGAATGTGCACGGAGTTTGTAATTTAAAACAAGTAGGTATAATTTGATATTTCCGGGATCGTCCTCTCGTGTTTAATATTGATCATCCTTATTAAAAAAAAAAAAAAAAAAAAAAAAAAAAAAAAATTAAACTCCAGGCTTAACCATTTCTACTATAGGTACGATAGTAAAAATAACAGTGGTAAAAAGAAATATAAAAAAAATGAACCGGACTCACGTCGTAAAGTTAATTAAATTTGAACTTTAACTTGAAAACTTGACGCGACAATATTAACTTTATCGGGTCAACTCGTTGAATCCGTTGTGAAATTAACGTAGCGCACTCGAGTTAATACCATTCATTAATTTGCCCGGCCCTGTCGATACGGCAAGATTATGTAACGTTGGGAATTCTTTCGGAAAACGTCCGAGCAGTTACGTCAGATGTACACGATTCAAATTCGGTTAAGCATTGCGTTGCGTAATTTTATGGACGCCAACGAGCCGGTTTCCGATTGCATACCTAATCGATTCCCGGTTAGCCCGTAGGCGCATGCACACGAATTGGTTCTGACGGATATTGCCGTTTTAATTACACCGCAAAATCACGAGCCGAAATCACAGTTTGCAATTGGTCGGTTCTTTTAATCCAACTGTTATTAATGCTTTTCCGGACGCGCAATTATTAATTGTTCGTGTCCGTGTTCGATTCCTTTTTCGCGATTGTGCACGTGATGTAATTCATGGCCACAGTTCAATTACATTTAAACGATTCGTTTTTAACGAAAAGATTTACATTATAGCGGTTCCCAACTGTTTTTGCATTACGGAACGTTTAGAGAACTTTCCACGGGTCGCGGACCACCACGATTTACTTATGGCGTATTAGATTCTCAGCGGAGCTAGGAACTTATCGGTTGTACAATGTCATGCATTATAAATGTTTTATTTATATACTTTTTGTACGAAATTCTTTCTGAAATCTTGCTGGTGCGGCATCTTCTCTGAAAGGAAATTTTCCTGGGGCGTTACTTTAGGGACGTCGTTTTTTGATTTTCTAATCAGTGTTCAAAATAATTGGAAAAAACGAACAATTTTACGAAAATAATGTTTTCATTAGTTTTAAAGTTTTGGTTTTTTTTTTTTTTTTTGTTGTTGTAATTCAGTTGAAAACGTTCGTATAGACTTGAAATTTGGATAGAAATCACACGGTCGCCTTTTATAGACGTGGCGAAATTCGCAAAACTTCTATAACAGTGGCCCAACCCGTCGTGCGAATTAATGCACGTCTTCATTTTACTTACCTATTATATTTCTGTACTAAAATGTGTACTTTTTGAATATATTCGACGAATAATAATAACACAAGAAGTAAAATTGTGCAAGTGCGTCTATAATTAATAAACGACAACGCAACAAACTTCGGTCGGTTTACGTAAAAATACTTTTGCAATTTTGTAGGCATGTACTTAAAACCGCCCAAATTGTTTGTTATTTTATTGTTTTTACTAAACTTTGTCACCGCGTTGACTGCCTTGTAAACGCAAACATATTAAATTCATATCAGACATTATAATATTATAAAATATATCATTCTCAGTTGGTGTAAAATCTCATTAAATATTCACGATACGAGAACGATTTCAATTTCCCCGTGACAAACGAATCGTATAATTTATAAACCGATTATTAACATTTTTACGACACCATGAAATTTTTATCGGGACTACGGATTTAGTGCGTAGTCACCATACTTGTGTTGTGCGAATCGACGAACATTATATTCTTGACCGGTCGTTTATTTTTCTCTTAGAACGAATCTCCAATTGCATTTATATTTCTAAGAATTTTTTACACTATCGAACCCAGTGATTTTAAATGGGATTTAAAACAAATTACAAATGTAGTCGATAATATGCACTCTGCCAATCAATGTTAATTGTTGAGCTATTCATAACGCATTCGGCGTATTACGAGTTTTTAGTAATTATTTGGTTTTATGCGGGTATAATTGTTTTGGCCGATCTGGAATTCTTGACAGTTTAACACGAGGTCCATTATAAGTCGTACTTAGTGTTAAAAAAAAGTAAAAAATACTTAGTGTATGCAATAGTTTTTGGTTTACAAGCGTTTTAAGTTCAAATTTTGAAAAAAAATCAAGGCAATCTCAAAAGTTGAAGCGTATAAAATTAAATTGAACGTATGCTTACATACAAAAAAAAATGTGACTTTTGATGGCTATTCACAATTTTCAATTAACGGATTACTAACATGATCGCTCGATATTTTAGTTAATAGTTTATTTTTACGTTTACGATGGAAAATCTGCGAGTCATTCGTGATAAAAAAAAAAATAATAAATAAATAAATAATTACGTGTATTAGTGAAATCGAAATTTGTATACGGCCGATGAACGATTATATATTAACGCGTACAATTTTTACTTAGATTTTTCAAATAGTTGCTAGTGAATTTAGATTTAAAAACTGTTTGAATAATTCTTTTTACGTTGTCCCGAACGTGCGTAATTTTAAAAACAAAACAATTTTGCCGTTGATTACGTGTAAATTATTATAGATTAGGTACACGCATAAGTTAATTGTATTATGTAAAATATTCGTATACATAATACGGTTCATAGTTTATACTTTTTGAAAAATTCACGAAAAAAAGTTTGAGCTAATAATAACGACATTCTAACAAATACTAATTAATCTGCACGGAAAATAATTTTTTTTTTTTTTTTTTTTCGTAAATAGGCATTTCAAACATCTATAAAGCGAATAATTCTAATAACACGTTACCGATACGATAATGGGGGTGTGACTGCAAAACCTCGAAATCGGATTTTAGATTTGAAGCGCAACGAACAATATGTATTGATAGTATATTATGATAATTCGTTTTTCTTTTTTTTTTCTTATCTTGTTCCGATAATCAGTTGTAGAGACGATATCCGGTTTTTGTCTGGTTTGCGAGTAAAAAATCATTTATAATAATTTCCAAGCTGTTCCTATAAAAATCGGAAAAACCGAAAATAATCAATGACGGGCATACATCTTTTAACCTAAAGAACCAGGTTTTCCTCGAATATTAATGAGAACTTCAAAAAATTATCTTTTTAAAGTGCCATCCAAATGACATTTCCTTTTAGAAAAGGCGCTATACTTGATAACCGGAGTAAGTTTTCTGGTAGAAAAAGTGTTCACATAAAAAGAAATAAACATCATTGTAAAACCAATGTATACCTCACTCTGCTCAGAATCGAAAAACGAAGTGAACAAAACCCAAAATATTTATGGCGTTCGCAAATATTTCTTTAATTTTTTCGATTTTTGTTTTCATTCAGAAACCTTGCTCGAAATTTAAAAGTAGCGTCTTTTCTGGTAGCGAATTTCTTCTACAGACAACAAGTTGGTGAGTTTGATGTTGTTTGATATTCTATGTAGTTTTCTGATCAATTGTGGTAACCGAAGAAAAACTTAAGGAAAACGGAAACGTTTAAAAATACGCGCGTTTAAAATTAAAATTTTAATGGAAATCGTAAACATCACGACATTTCGCGTACTATTTTTCGATTTATATGAATATTTTTTTTTTTTGACCAAGTTGACATTTGAACACGGGGTTTTCAAATTTTGACGACGAACATCGTACAAATTACATTTCAAATCATATTTCACAGAACTTCCGCTCAGAATCGTATTCCGCCAACAATGATATTTTATCTTTGCGTACAAATGTAAATCAAATATTTGAATAGCTCTCCACCTATAATACAGCAAGTGCAGGCACACCTATCAGCAGTATCGGTTAATTTTAATTTCGGATTACCAAAATGAAATATAATGGTTTTTATCGGGATCCGGTGTCGTTATTTTAGCGGTATGAACACTATGTAAATCGCAGTGCATAAAGATAAAATATTATTATAATACCTATTTATAAATAATATACTCAAGGTTTTTTAATGATAACAATAACAATAATTGCAGTTGTTTAAAATTTAGATTTGAGTAGTAGAGGAGAATACTCTGAAGTCGGATAAGAAATCTATGTCGCGTCCTATCTCGTACTTTTAAACTCTGCAGTTATAAACAGTTATAAACAGTAATAGTGGCAAGTTACGCGATGCAGTTGCTCGTACCGTGTCACGATGTAAACTATTATAGTAGTTCAAAATTAAAATCTCGATTTATCAATAATCGGCAAGGAATAATACTTAGTTATTATTTTATTTCGGTGAATGCACTTTCCGTACTTATGTCATATTATAACTCTCATTTTTTTTTATTTTCAACTGTACACGCGTACTGTTGTTACGTGTGCCAATAATAATCGAGATATTATATTTATTAAAGTATAGTTTACTTTTTAGAAATTCAAAATCCAAGAGCCCCGAAAAGCATGGAATCCGAAAATAACTATAAATACGGCATTAAATCCGTGTTTGCGCAAGTGAGTATTCTATTTTTTTTTTTTTTAAATGCATAAAATTACATCTTTTTTTTATTTTTATAATGTTGTACATGATAAAATGTAGATTTTTCGAACCCGAGTTTTGAATAATTATTATGGGTCGGTATTTGAAATTCCAAAACGGATTCCACCTCGTGTCTCGTGTCTTTAGACTATATACTCTATCGATGGTATTTTGTTGAAAGCGTGTGCACCACTTAAAATCGAAAAATACGTTATTGGTATCAGACAAATTAGGAGTAAAAGGGTAAAAGGGCGTATTTAAATACAGAAAATTAAGTTGGTGGTGTTGACTGAGAGATATTATCCAGGCATCTTTTTAAAATATAATTGAAACAACAGTGATTTGTTAAAACATCGAACGCATGTATACTTGTGTACAAGGTACTATGTGTACGAGCAATCAATCGTAAACGTGACAATCGTTTAAATTGATCACGCTATATGTATTGGCGTGCAGAATAGCTGACGTGTTATTCTTGTTACAGAGTTTGGCGCTGGCCGGGACATATTTTATACAGATCGGACTGGGCATAGAGATGATATGCTCGACCATCATCATTGGTGCTCTGACTGGGACAAACCGGGTCAAGAACGAAACGTTGACGTTGACCAGCGAAGAACAGTCGTGGTTCGGTAAGGTCTATGACAAACCGCTCATACCGCTAAAGGTTACCATTCCATATATGTTTGTACCGGTATAAAAATTTCTGAAACATAGTACTGAAAACTGCAGAAGATGGGGAGTAGTGGGGATGACAATGTTTAGACAATATATGTATTGAATGTCACGATTTTCAATTGACGGCTGGGCTGTTCGTCAATCGGTTGCAATATCGCCAAAACGTCTTGTTTTTCTGCATGATGTTTTACTAACGAATATCCGATAACCGAAGACAGTAAACGTAGTTTTTAATTTTTGTTTGCGAATTCCGGTAACGCGGTTTTCGAGGAGTGCCTTCGGTTGTGAAACGATTTCGGTTGGGTTCCAAATCAGTTTGTTCACTAAACTAAAGTAACCCGGTCGGTTAAAACGGCATCGGTAAAACGGGGTTATATCGATTCCACCGTTTTAATATCGATTCCGCCGGGCAATTGTAAATTCTATTATACCATGCAGTTAATATAAGTAGGTTGCCGCGGTTGTGGGTGAGAAGTTAGGAACGTAGAGAGGAAACTTAATGTATATCTTTAAGCAATGAATCATTGTTGCTAACGAAAAAACGATTCTGAGCGGAGTTCAATTAATAGTGTTGCTTTGTCAATATTATATAACATGCCATATTAATTATGGTAAATTAATTACACATTATCATTGTATGTTTTCTTCAATAATGTTTATTTACTATTGTATTCACGTTTTCGGCTTTTTCTAATTATTGGGAAAATCAAAAAATTGACTTTTCTATGCACCATTCCAGTCAGATTTCCTTTCAGAAAAAATGCTATGCTCGGTACTTCGAAACAAGATTTCAAGTAAAATTTTTGTCCACGTTTAAAAAAAAAAATAAAATTACAACAAACGCCTTTGTAAAACCAATACATTCTTCGCTACATTCAGAATCTAATATTAGACTACACGGAACTACCGACACGAAACCGGGATCCAACTAGTATATTATACCCACTTAAACCCGGAACCAAACTATTATACTACCCGCACGATATATCCTCGGGGCCCGACTAGCGCGGATTTTCGAACGCGGCACCCAACTCGGGTGCACCGATTAGTATATAACATCAATTATGCGTCGTACCTACGCTTTCAGGTAGTCTTCTGTTCCTGTTCACCCCCGTGGGGAGCGTGGTGTCGTCAGTCATGCTCGGCTGGCTCGGGCACAACAGGTGCATGATCATCACCAACATACCTTACATAGCGTCGCAAATCATGTTTTACTACGCGGACAACGTCAGGACGCTGTACGCGTGCTCGATCCTGATGGGAATGAGCGTCGGTTACTCGGGAGGCCCGTGTTCGGCGTACATCGGCGAGGTGTGCGAGCCCAAGCTCAGGGGTACGCTCATGTCGGCCACGAACGTGTTCTATTACGTCGGATCGTTGATATTCACGTTGATCTACGCGATCACATTGAACTGGAGGCTGACCGTGCTCATCAGCTTGTCGGTGCCCGCCATAAACATCGTCGTTCTACTCTTGGTAATCGCGCAACCGAACCCACGCCTACGCTACCCTAACCCCAACCAAACCCAATCGAGCAAACGTCATGGTTATCCGAATATTATAACGTGTTTTATAACATTACAGACACCGCATTCTCCCATGTGGTTGTTGGCAAAGGGGAAACCGGATAAGGCGCAGCGGACGCTCAGCAAGCTGAGGGGTTGGGTGTCGCACGACAAATGTTCCAACGAGTTCAGCGACATGATCGTTTACACGTCCGACGCGTACAAAGCCGTACCGAGTATATAATAATTAATTTTCTGCACGAGGACGACGGTGTTTGTGACACACAATATAAAATATAACACGGTGTACGTCATATTGCAGGCGATGCGAGCGACGAAACGGACGAAACGAGCTCCTGGGGTCAACTCCTCCATCCCGAAGTTTACAGACCTTTCCGGTTGCTGATGATTTACCTCTTTTTCGCCAACCTGTTGTCCGGCATACAGTACGGCCCGTACCTGGTGGAAGTATTTACTACGTTCGGCGCTCCCGTGAACGTTGAATTTACGATTGTAAGTTTGGCCAGTAGGTGTCTGCTTTATTGTGACTGGGTACAAGGGCGCGTACACGGGAAAAGGACATGGAGGGACAGGGTCTGGTAACCCCTGTATTTCTTCTATTTTTACATACAATTACACACTTTTTTATACAAATTTAAAACAACTTTTTATAAGGAATTATACGATTTAATACCTATATATTTTTAACTGTATATAGGCATTTTCCGTCTTCTTGGCCATACTCGGAGGTACGACGACCGTATTATCGGTAAACAAACTCGGCAAACGATTTCTTACGCTGTTTACGTTGTCGATCTGCTCTACCTGTTACGTATTAATCGGACTGATCGGTATCTACTGGACGGATTCAAAACCGATAACCTCTTGGATCGTGTTGATCCTCTTTCTCATTACTACATTCATGTCATCGTACGGGATCATGCCGATCGGATGGGTACTTCTTACTGAAATTTTCCCAATGAAGTAAGTAATATGAATCGGTTTTATTAGTGTATTTTAGATTTTGAGTGGATTGAAGGAGCTTATGGTTTTACAAAGATGTTTATTTTTTTTTCTATGGACGACTTTTCTACCAGCAATTTTATTCTGATTTACAATGATAGCACTTTTTCTGAAAGTAAATCTGACTGGGGTGATACTTTAAAGAGATCTTTTTTTGATTTTCTCAGAAATTTTTCAATAAATGAGAAAAACTAGGGAAACACGTAGGATGACAAGAAAATAGGTACAATACTTAACAAATATTATTAAAGAAAATATATTATGCCTATATAATTATTTTCCCATAATTTTATATATAATATATTGTTGATAAAGCAACTTAACTTAACTGAACTTTGTTTAAAATCGTTTTTTCGTTAGCAATGATTTATTGTTGCTTACAGATATACATTCAATTTCCCCTCTTCTACCTTCCCAACTTTTCATCTATAATAATGGTCCACCCACGAGTGAAGTTTCCCAGCCTGATATAAACGCTGTGTCAAGATATACGGACGTTCGTGTTTCTAATTTGTTCACGGACAATCGTGTTAGTAATGTAAGCAGTAAGCACAAACGCGTTACTCATATTAATAATAAAAAATAAACGTTTAAGTAGTGTTGTTCCAAAACTGATAATATGAGTGTCCTAAGTGTAAACTTTAGACCAGGATTGCAAATAAAAAAAAAAAAAAAACATTTTTGTTTGTTTTTTTAATATTATCTTTGAAGATCGTATTAGAACATGAACATTGATTGGGAGAAAACGAGTTAGCCTAATCAGATACCATAAGATTACATGTAAAGTTGTATGATAGGGTACCCACTTAAACACTTATACAGTCGTCCGTGTGTGCATTGTAAACACGACCGTCCGGGAACACATTAAGAACACGGACTTCCATATGTCTAGACGCGGAGTTTTATAAAAGTAACCTGTTATAATAAGAGATAATATGTTATACATTTTCCCCGACATAAATTGCACAGAAAAACAATACATTTGAGTACGTAATTTTTGCTAAATAAAAATAAAAGTAACAGTAATGGTATCTATAAAAATGCATTCGAGTACCTCATAGTTAGTTCAATTCATTTAACGCACGATTTAATATGTTATAAATAGCAAAACAAGTTAACAAATTCGTTGTAGCTGCGTCATAGAATACAGTGATCGTTTTGGGGAAGTGGTCGAAACGATCGCGGAAATTTGTTTAACTTTGTTACTATTGAATTGTATAGATTTTTTTGTTTATTTTATTATGTAATAACGTGTATCTACCCTAAGACTGTAGTTAGAGAGGAGTAATGCCGCGCAAATAATAATATCGGTTTAATATTGTAGCTATTTTTCCGTTTTTTCTACGTTTTTCCCATTTACTGAGAAGACTCCTGGAAAACTCAAAAAATGACCTCCTTAAAGAACTTCCCCAGTCCGCTTTCTTTTCAGAAAAAGTGCTATTATTTTAAATTGGAACAAAACTGCTAGTAGAAATGTTGTCCACGGAAAATAAAAAAATATACTAATAAAGTAAAAACAAAATTATTAAATGGTTAATACTCGTAAATTAAAAGAAAAAAAAAAAAACATCATTGTAAAACCAATATACGTTCCTCGCTCCATACAGAATCTAAAAAAAAAAACAAAACTAAATATATAAATAAATAAATAAACGCGTCGCCTGTAGTATTATGATATGTGTATTGTACGACCGGGTTCGAATTAAAAATTTATCGTCAAGCCAAGAAGTCAAAAAGTCAAAAATTAAAACGCGACTGAATATGAAATAATCAATGGAGAAATACGTCATAGAGAAAAAAATATAAACATTGGTCGTTTTACATAAAAATAATTTATTTTAATTACACAGATATATATATATATATATATATAGTTTATTATCTTTACCCGAGTTTTAATAGGAGAGATTATTTAAAATTAATTATTAGACAAAAATATGTTGAGAAATTATGCAACTATGAAATAACGTACTGATGTTATCATTAAAATTGGTCGAAACATTTAAAATATTTTTAAAATTAATTTTTTTAATTTCATTGTGTACGTGTAATTCTTCTAAAACTGAATTAACGTAAATGTTTTTCTGGATATTGAATATATTTCTAAATCTTTATTAATAACAAAACTTATAATATGAATATTATGGTTGTTTTTTAAAACATGTTCAGTGAAGTTTAAATTAGGGCAAGTCTTATTTTAAATTTTTTTTCAGAAATGTATTCTTTATATCTTGTTTTAAAATGTCCATTTGCCTTGCCTATATAAAATTTATTACAGTTACATATTCTACATAAATCAATAAATAAACCAATAACAAAAAATCCCCCTTCTTTTGAAAATGCCGGTACATGCAAACTCGAAATATGTAAATATAATACATTTTAATAATAACATATGATAACATATTTACGTCTATAATATATCATAATGTCAATAATAACTTATTTTAAATATCTCTCATATTAAAACACAGATATAGACTATTATGTATGTATATACATCTGTGTATCAAAATCAATTATTTCTATATAAAACGACCAATTCGTATAGTTTTTCATCTGCGTAATCTTTTATTTACTTGTTCATGTGCAGCCGCGTTTTGCTTTTTGACTGTGATTTTACCTGACGATGAATTTTCAATTCGAAACCGGTCATGCAACACACGTATATCATAATACTCCGAGCGACGCTTTCATTCATTTATTTATTTATTTATTTATATATTTATTTACGAGTATTAACCATTTAATAATTTTGTTTTTACTTTAATATTTTAATATTTAAAAACAAAAACTATTACCGTTGTAATAAAATATGATTATTTTTTATAATTCTTTTCAGGAGTCGAAACATTACTTGTAGCTTTTGTACGGCATTGGGTTACGTGATGACTTTCTTTATGATCAGGTACTATCCGGAATTTTGCACCTTTGTGCAATTTTACAATACTTTTACGATATTCGGCACGGCCGGTTTATTCGGTTGCGTGTACTTTTATTATTTTTTACCGGAAACCGAAAACAAATCGCTACAAGAAATATCGGAGTTCTTCAAATAGAATAAAATAATGTAATTTTTCGTTTGTGAAAAAAAAACTACGCTCCTTAAACACAATCCGAGTAAACATGTTTACTGCAGCGGTGCACGCGGTTAAGTATAGATGAAAAACACGGTAATAAATAAAATCGGTACGCGCTCCGTTCCGGTGCATTTATCCTAAACCGAGAACTCTGCGCGGTTGCTCCAGGCTTTGGACCATCCGATTTTTCTACAAACCGTCGACCTAGTCAAGCGTTTTTATTATTATTATTATTATTATTGTTAGTAGGAATTTCGTTATTTAGTTTTATACGACATACGAGTTTATATATTATGTATGCATGAAAAAAAAAAAAAAAAAAAAACACGTGCGCATAGTTTTTAGCAAATTAAGACGATAGGTCTTATATTATAACTGAATAATAATTTAATAATTACATGGGCAAGTGTCGGCGGCGCCAGGTGTTTTCGCGAGGTCCCCGATAAACATATTAATATTTAAAAATCTATAGTGAAAACCGAAGAGATACATTTTACTACGCCGCCTGTCCACCTCCCCCCCAATTTTCTAAGTATTAAATTTAGTTATTAATCATACATTTTTGGTGAAATAAATAAGTCACAAATAACGCACATCGCGTAGACGAACGGGTTACATCGACGATCGCTGTATCCTATCTATTTTATTTGTCAAATTATTTTTATTGAATCAACGATATTCAATGCACCTACTCGTGTATTTGATTTTGATATTAGAATTTAATACTAATCCCGTCGTTACGAGTGTTTGGTTTTCAAATCCGGAAACATACACGCCTCCGCAAATACATTTGAAAATTATAATTGTTTTTCGTGAGCTCCTAAAACTAAAAAAGTGCACGTGTACGTGTTCCAGTTCACCATCCTCCTACTTTTGCGCCCACCCAATATTCATCATAGTTTATTACATTGTCTATAATTGTAAGTACAAAATATAAATAAATTGTGTTTTATGTTCATAAAGCGTAAGATGTAATCAAATGTGATTGTTTGTGTATAAGAATAATTGTTGTTGTCAATATTTAACGCATTAAGTCTAATTGTATATTTTTATAAATACCGTTATTACTTTTATTATTATTAATTTAATAGCATAATTTAAAATAATTAAAACTGATATTGTTTGCATATATTGTATACATTAAATATTTAAAAAACAATTACGTAATTAATTTTGTCTGTCGATTCAATCGTATTTTTTGTCGTGGTACAGCTATACCAGCTGTCAACAGTATGACGGCTGTATGTACCGCCCGTGAAGTGAAGACATATAGTTCAATTGAATGTATGGCCGTGTGTTAAGATAAACTATTGCTTATGAAAAACGATTCTGAGCAGAGTACTATATTATTCGTATTTTTCCCTCGGTATCGATGTAGTCCAGAAAACGGCTGACATTAAAAATATACACGATTAATTAATCGATTTAATTGATTTACACGTTCGGGTTTTTTTTCAACGACAATTATAATTTTAGGTCGTCTTGTTTTTTTTATTGTAATTTCGTTTTTATTAAAAATAGCTTTAATACCGAAATCCTTATGCTTATTGCGTGGGAATCAGAACGAAAGTAGTATATTGAGACGAAATTTACAATTTCGTTGACAGCAATGTTTTCAAATTGTCGTAATATTATACAGAATGCCCAGCACAAAAATTGTGAATAGCAAAACCAAAATAAAATAGCGCAGTTATAGAAAATTGATTTCCGACTTTTGGCACAACACGCCGGTGTACTAAAGTATAAAAACACTCGACAAATAATATATTATTAAAAATTGTTAGTTTTTTTATTTTGGTATACAATTAATTTTGGCTGACAAACACATACAATAAATTATATCGTGTGTCTATTTTTAATGCCTACACTATTTCAACTGTTGAAATACTCATCTAATTAAATATAGTTTACAAATTATCACGATAAACAAATTGTGTTAAAATATTAACATATAATATTGAGATCACTTTTGTTCAATAAAAATTAAGTAAAAATAAATAGCACGCGTTAATATTATTATAATGCCGCGATTAAACACATTCAACGAAATTTGCACAGGTTGAAATTGAAAATTATAATAAAGGTTCGTGTTGATTCGTTTGAAACGGGAGGGTGGGGGTTTCATTTTTCATCACGGACCTTGATCGGTATATTTCATATTCGAAAAATAGGGATCGTCGGACGTGCATTCTTCGGCCAGGTCCGACGGTATTACGTTCGCGGTCAATTCGGACACGTGTTCCAATGTGCACGCGTCGTCTTCGCAATTGGGTATTTGCAAGCGATACGGTTCGGTCGACGAATCATTACGCAAATACACCTGTATCGGTATACGTATAGAAAACATGATAAATCGATAGGTACGTAAAAAAAAAAAAAAAAAAAAAAAAAACAATAAAATCGTTAAATATTGGCACCTTAAAATAGAATCGTCCTCCGGCCGTTTCGTGTAACTCGAGCAACGCCAACATATTGTAGGTGGGTATTTGCAGGTCCCACACACCCAAGGTGATCAAGAGATTCGCTACCGTGGAATCGTGACCGGCGTACACGTACAACTGATGCGTCGATCGGCGGACCGCTTTGTCTCTACTGTCTTCCAATATTTTCTTCAATAATGGACCTAAAAAAACTTTGAGAAACGTGAAAATTCGTTCGTCAGAGATTTCAAGAAATCATCTAGGTACCGGAAGTGTTATATTACAGAGGCGGCTCGCCAGATGAAGTGATCGAGGCGCTGCCTAGTAATGGGCACATTTTCGGAAATGAAAAACCATGGACTTTTCCGGGAAAGTTCCCAGGGATGTTCCTCAAACGGGGAAAGTATATTTTATAAACATTATTTAATTTTCTGACAACACATAATGACACGGCTATATGTCCAGTTTGGGTACTTGTTCGGTCGTTAGTTGTATCGTTGTGTCAGTTGTGTCATCACTAGAGCTGTCTTGTTTACAATTTTCTTACTCTACTATAAATATACCTAATAATATACCGGTAAGTTTATTGTAAACGCCGTATTTCAAAATCTAAAAACTAAAATTTCGTTTCAAATATTAGATACACACAGGCGTATTGATCGAATTCAGAAAAATATAAACTTATATAATATTTACAATATTTACATATTATTATACACTTAGTAAACATGTTTGGGTTTTCGAAATAATTACCGATGAATAATAACTGAATTTTCAAAATAAACAAATTATAATTTATGTTGCAACACCACCTCGTTTTTATTACTGATATGGTATCTATCAGTGGCGGTCAAATATTTCTGTCGTACGTGGCCGGTTTTTAACAATTACTATTATTTTTTTTTCATAAATATAGGTAAGCGTATATCATTAAACCAAGAGAAAAAAGTCACCATTGATATATATTCTCCTCACCCTTTCCAGTTTGACTACCCCTAACAATATGCATATTGGTTTTATTTCTTATTGTATATTGACGCCCCCTATTTCCATAAACATTTGCCCCGCCATTTACGAGGTGCTCACGAGCCACCACCACAAAAATAATAACCACAGTGGCAATTAATACCTCCTTTAAGTTTTCGCATTTCGGTACTGTACGCGTTCAGTACGAAACTCCTCGACGTGATTTGGGCCAACTGAGCCGGATACACTTTGGACGTCCAGTTAGGAAGAATCATTCCGTAGTCCGACTAGAATTGATGAAAAAAAATAGGTTTTAATACATCTCGGATCCCACAACAGTACGGATATTGTTTTACTATAATAATTAAGGCGCAATCGATACCTACTAAAAAAGTACCTCGGCTTTTAATGTACTGTAAATCGATTGGACATCGTCGGGATCTCGTACGGACATTCCAGTGTGGATGGACAAATATTCGTACAGATATTTGTAAGTTTTGAGTTCTTCCGAAATTTCTGTGGAATTCATTATTCTCCGCCTTTCTTCGTGATAACGGGGACACCGGATCCGTACCAACAACAACTGCATCAAACGCATATAGATTAGTGTGTAATACAATATACAAATGCCTATAGTTGCCCTGCATAATTTTACCCGAATCAGTATTGAACGAAAAAAATAAAAATACAAACGCGTTTCCCTGTTTTCATCACTGTCCTTATCAAAGTTAACCGTTGTCGCCCTTTAATTAATTTTTTTAAAAAAGTATTTTTCTTCCCGTGAAGAGCAAATGAACTATAACGATAACAGATTTATTTTCACATGTGTCACCAAGATAGCCACTAGCCAAGGTATAAATCAACAAAAACAAAAACAGAAAATTAAAAATAAATAAACATCTTTGTAAAACCATAAAATTCTTCGCTACAATCAGAATCTAAAATAGATTCAACGCTAATTCACGGAAAACAATTAAAGATTTTTAGTTGAAAAAATAATAGTCCAACAAACTAATTTGTAGAGTCAACACAACTAAACCCGATACTATAGTTGGTTCTAAACAATGCAAACTACAATTAACTCTTCAAAGTAACTATATTTGTATTTAATTAAACTAAATTTTTTCCCCGTGTTATTATTGGAATAATGCGTATCGTACTCGATCGTCGTTCAAAGGTTCGGAATGTATCGGAACGGGCAGCCAGTCCAAGTGTCGGTTCCATTTTTGCACTCCCACCGGTTTGTACGCGGCTGCCGCGACCAATTGAGCGCTCATTTTGGTCCTGTCCACGTCGGTACTCATGAACGTGACTTTATTGCGCGAGTATGCCGCGTCCAGAAATCCAGCGTAACGTTTTCTAATGAACATTCCCAATTTATATTGATTTCGTTTGCCGTTCTAAAAAAAAAAATAAATGTAAAGACATCGTCTTCGTGATACAAATATTGTTTATTTCATGCTATTGTTTTTTAGGCGACCAAAATACCAGACAAAACTGTCCGAAATGATAATTCGACGGGATTCAATATGAAACGGTAATTATGAGGTTTTTTCCTTTAGGATACGCTGAAAACAGGATTTGAAACCGCGAAAAAATTCCGATTTTGACTACTGGTTTTGAATTTTTTTGATTTTGATTTAAATTTCGGAAAAGGCTTTAAATTTGTATGGTTTCAATTTTAGTTTTGATATTGATATCGATTTTTTAACGGTTTTAACCGTTATTTAAAATATAGTTACGAATTTAAATTTTATTCATAAAATGCTCACGGTTTATGGCGTTCACATTTTCGACTATTTTTAGCGAAATAATTATGTTTTTTCCCCCAAAAATGGCTTGTCGTCAACGACCATGCAATAAATCATCGACGATAAATACTAGTCAAACATATTTAAATGCCATACAAAATATTTATGCGTTTATAAATTGACAACGAAAATTTATATTTTAATATTTATTACTTGATTTCATTTTAATATGAATTTTTAAAGTAAAAGGTTTTTGTTCATTGCGATTTTGTTTTCTATTTCAGAAATCGGTTTTCAAATTTGACTAATTTCGATTTAAATTTTGGAACTCGTTAATATTTTATTTTCATTTTCGGAAATAGGTTTTATTATTTTGATTCCGGAAGTGATCATGCAAATTCATACAAATAGCATTTAATAGTTTTGCTAAGAAAAAAGTTGAAAATTTCGAATTTGGGGGGCGAGGGACATGGGAAAATGGATATTTCGATAATTACGAGGAAGGGGGTTACAAACAAATTTCGAAAATGGTCATACAAATTCATACAAATTGCTCACTTTAATCGTGCAGTTTAAAATATATGAAAATTTAATTGTTTACATTGGTGGCATATGTCGTCTGCCTCTTTTCAGTATTTTCAATACTACTCGTATACTAGTATCGAAGAAATTCTAAAAACGGTCAAATTCATACAAATGACGTACAAAATATTTTAATACGAATTTTATAGAATTTCATTGGTGGAGGGCCATGTACGTGTTTTTTTTTGGGCATCACATCAAAAGCAGAAATCAATAAAAGAAATTCAATTAAACCCTGTCACATTCTCGTTTCCACCTTTGACCCTATCGCAAATAATCGCTGTTTTTCGGCAATTTACCGGTTAAAAAGACTATTATCTTTTGTGTGACAGTCAAATTTAATAAAAATAATGGTTTTTTTTATTCGTGTGACCAAGTTAACTAAGAAATCAACTAAAAAAAATTCAATTTGTGTATATTCAAATATCAAAAATCAAGTGTGAGTCACATTTGAAAGGTTTTTGGTTAAATTTCGAAATAAAAAGTAGACATCGATCTTTCTATTGTTTGAATATCAAATGTGCAAAATTTAATCAAGATCACTAGAAACTGTGGATTCGTACCAGACATTACTGTATACACAGAATTAAAATGTTATATCTATAAAATTAAAAATAAATTTACTATTACACAGGGTGTTTCGTGAAGATTCTATTGTGATGTCTCGGAAAATGTTCTTTTTTTTTTCAAATCTAAGTAACAAGCAGCTATAAAATGTTAAATTTCTATTATTTTTTTTATCACTCCTTTTTTTAGTGCTGAAACAACTACCTGATTATTATTTTAAAATACAAATACATTTTTTTTTTAGAAAAAATCCATAAATAGAGTATTAGTTTAAATTTTAATTTTAATATTGACATTTTTTATGTCCATCGACCCGTTAAGAATCTATACAACTTTTTAGTTTGGAAGGGCAGAGAGTAGCACTATTGACACGCCTCGCGCCATGCCACAACACAAATGCTGCTACACTACTCTTCCCTTACCCAAACTTACAACAAGTGGAATGTCATTCCCGAAAATAAACGAAGATAACCAATAATGGAATACATACGACACTTCAAAGCTGCTTGTTTCATAATAAAAAAAAAACGGATATACTTCACACAATGGGCGAGGCACTGTTGTAGATGAGAAGTTGGGAAAAAAGAGAGGATAATTAATGTCTATCTGTACGCATCAATTAACTATTGCTAACGAAAAACGATTCTGAACAAGGCTAATAGTGTTACTTTGTCAACAATACATATGTCATAATATGGTAAAATAATTACATATGCGTTATATATTTTAGATTCTGAGTGTAGCGTAGAATGTATTGGTTTTACTAAGCTGTTTATTTTTTTTATTTTTTTTTTTTATCCTGTGTACAAAAATTTTACTGGAAATCTTGCTCAGATATATACACACGAAACCATTTCTGAAAGGGAATGTTGTCCATATGGTACTTTTGGTAGGTCATTTTTTGATTTTCCTTGCGGTTTTCATAATATCTGGGAAAAATCAGGATAAAACGTAAGAAAAACCGGGAAATTTACGAAATTAATGCTTTTATTATTTTATCAATTTTGTTATTTGTTGTAATTCAGTTCAAAATATTCGTAGTGACTTGAAATTTGAACAAAAACTTATAATTGTCTTTTACAGACGCGGTCAAATTTTTTAATTTTTTTTTTTCGAACATATAAGTATTGCCGATTTAAGAAGGATGGTGAAGTCAGAATTGAACAGACTGACTAAGTTTCGGAATTATAGATTTTTGAAGTTCAGATATAATGCAGATATTATACGTTTATGTTAAATAACTCTATATTGACTACTTTATCTCCATAGTTTAGAGAGGTCATTTTTGTGATTTTTCAATTTTTTTTCATAATAACTAGGAAAAACAGGAATAAAAGGTCAGAAAAACGAAAAATGTACAAAATGTAGATATTAGTAAAAATATATTATGGTCTTTTTTTCTTCTATACAACTTTTCTTCCAACGATTTTGCTCCGATTTACAATGATAGTACTTTTTCTGAAAGTAGATCTGACTGGGAAGTTACTTTTAAGAAGTCATTTTCCATTTTTCTAGGAGTTTTCTTAGTAAATGTGATAATCCGGGAAAAAACATGGGAAAATTGGTAAAAACACAGGAAAAACGAGAAAATCGACACAATATTAAACAAATATTATTAAAGAAAATATATAATGCCTATTTAATTATTTTACTATAATATGACATATATATATATTGTTGACAAAGCATCACTATCAATTGAACTTCACTCAAAATCGTTTTTTCGTTAAAAATGATTTATCGTTGCTTACATATATACATTAAATTACCTATTACAATAGCTCCATCCGTCTCCATTATCCTAGGACGTCTTTTTGTTTTATAATATTTGTTTAATATTGTACCTATTTTCCCGATTTTTCCCATTTATTATGAAAACAGCTGGGCATATCAAAAAATTACCTGGTTAAAGTACCACCTCAATCAAATTTCCATTTAGAATAAGTGTTACACTTTGAAATCGGAACAAAATTTATGGTAAAATAGTTGTTCACAGATAAAAAAAAAAAAAAAAATTTTAAAACCAATACATTCCTAGCTCCGCTCAGAATCTAGAAATCCGAATAAAGTTAATATTATCGAAGATATCGCGATGAACATGCTCGTGAAACACTCAGTAATTTATATACTTACATTTGTCAATTGACCCCAACCAAACGGTTCCCACGTCGAATTTATGTACGGATCTAACGGATACGTGTCAGCCGGCGCCCGTTCTCCGTGTCTGAAGACCTGTAAGTAATTTAAAACGTCACGTGACATAAATACAGGCACATACGGTGTAAATGTTATTTTTGGTTTTTTAAATAAAAAATTTAGCGGTACTTCAAAACAGTGGTGAAACAAATGCGGTCTTTGAGAATAGGTTGCTGCTCGAATTTTTTCGGAAAATTTAGGGGTTGGTGTGGGTGCTCAATATGAAAACAACTAAAAATTAGTACTCGTTTACGGATCCGGCGTAGATGCGTACGTCTTGTTTGCGTACAGTCTATTTTTAGTGACAATTTGTCTCACTTGTGTACAACGTAATTACACCGAATAACATCAAGTCTCACATATATACACACTCATTGCCTTTCACACTTGGACAGGCTTAGGACTGACAGAATTTTGCTTTGGCAATACTCTGGCGTGTTTAAAAACGAGCTTGCATAAATACATTGAGCGTAATCGACCTTGAGTCCTTAAAATCTAAAACACTATAGCAATAATGTAATAATTAAATAGTGTAATATAATTTAATAAATATTTAATATAAAATATACATAATCAATATTTTAACGATTATGGGCAATTTTGTGAGGCACTTGACTAAGTAATGATTTTCTAAAAAATGTTCATGAATACGTTCAATTCTCTCATCCAATTTTATATATTTTTATTTCATTTATTCCTTTATAAATTTAATTCAGTACGTGAAATTCGATGGTCACTTTTGCTGCTGCTAAGAGTAGCAGAAATGTCTAGTATTTTACAGTATATTTACTATAATTTATTTATATTTAATTGAAATAAAATAAATGCGTTTCAGTATATGCGTCGTGTACATAAATACGACTAGAATTCTTTCGAAATTTGACCTTCAATAATTGTGTACGCGTGTGAGACGTACGTAGCTGCACCAACAAGCTCGTTAGCTATTGTATTTATTATTATTTTTTTTTTTATTAGAAACTTTGTGGTACAATTAGCTTCGTCAAACTCAGGATATATTAGGAATATTGGAAAATATAAGTGGGTGAGTACTGGATAGATTATAAATTCCTTTTGCAGGATTGTTATACTACAGGACCGTTTCGTTATTGCAGCATGTTTCAATACGAGGTCTACCCAGTAGCATGCTCAGGGGGGGATAGTAGGGATTAAATCCCCCTCCCATAGGCTTAAAAATAGTACAAAAAAATATGGGTAATCTAATATCGAAATGTATACATTTCAGTCAAGTTCCGAGGAAAAGCTTGATACATTGATTAGAAATTGGCTGTGTTTTTAGAATCCGGCTTTTAAATTACCAATTACCATAGTCGAGTTCGGTAGAGAAGACGATTTTACACTTTATTTGTATTGGTTACATCCCTTCCCATTGAAAATTCCTGGACACGCGTCACTGAGTCTACCGGTACGTTTCAGGACGCCGACGAAATTTTTACTGCGAATAGTTGTAGCAAATTTAAAGCGCGCACGGATGTGATAATCTATCATATCTAATCACAATCTATCGTGCATTGACATTATCGCTATCAACAGTAGTAAACTTACTTGGGAATTATTGAGAAACGTCTGTATCACGCGGACAAGGGTAGACTGCGTATTATTAAAGTACAGCACCGAAAATCGTTTGATCGAGTAAATATAAAATAAATAAAAAGTCTTCGCAGAGACGTGTAAACGTTTTGAACGCCTTTTGATTATGTCCTTGTGAACGAGCCCCCACCCCCTAAATGAGTCCACAAGAATTCGTGTACAACACTTACCGCGTGCACTAATCTCAAGGTGTTCGTGTCGACGGCGCTGTCAAAGTCGCTTCGTTTTGACGGTGATAATACGACTTTGTCCGCAGTCGCATTTTCGAAAAACCTAATAGCGAAACAGTGCAGAAACGCTAACGCGAAAACTTTGCGACTTTCCGCGATCGTACCCGTCATCGCGACCATAGTTATATTGTGACTGATTATTCGAAAAATATTCCTCACAGACTATCGCGATAATAATATTAAAAAAAAAAGAAATAGAAAAAAATTATACGCAACCAGAATTATTGTTCAAAAACGTAATTATAATGTCTTTGTGTTTCGATTTTTCGATGAACGGCCAACTATAATCAACGAAAACAGCTGATGTCCGGTCCGACGACGGCGTCGTCGTTAACTGCGGGTCGTGCGATGGAAATAAAAAAAAAAATTACCATACGTTACGCGCAACGGTCGAACCGGAGGGAGTCATGCGGAGGACCGGTGGATCTAGGGGAGGGGTGGTGTAGGAGTCTACATTCACTCGTCCACGCGTGTACAATAATAATAATATTATTATTATTATAGTCAATAAAATAACATTATTAGAATAATTATAAAAATAAAATGGACCTTGACTGTTCGTCGTTATTGCTCTATAGGTACTCGTGGGGGGGGGAAGCAAAAAAAAAAAAAAAATGTTAAAAACTTTAATACGCTTTCACGGTCGAAAAACGAGCGATCGATTCCTTTGAAATATTTTGCATTACACGCGAAAAAGAGTACATTAACGTGCTCATAATAATAATAATATTACACCGGACGTTGTCCCGGGCGGTTAGGTGCAAAAAAAAAATTTTTTTCTCGGAAAAAATATATTATTGTATTTTTGTTTTTAACCTCTAGAAAGCATCGATAGTTATAAAAAAAAAAAAAAAAATCTTATACAAAAGATACACGCTGTAGTTTAATAATAATAATTATTCGTTATTGACGGACAAATTAAAAAAAAAAAATCTCGCGTGCTTTCACGGTCGATTCGGGTGTGCGTCCGATGCCTTCGAATTTATTTTTATAAAATTTTTAGTGTCATAACAAAAATATATAACGATATTATATTACCTATCAATACGATAAAAATATCCACGTTATACCATTATTGAAACGGTTACCACTTATCATCATCGTTTACGGCAATTTGAATGCGACGTAGTTCGTTGATTTTTTGAAAAAATACAAATAAATGGTAATTAAACTTTAATTTTTGGGCAACTCGGAAATATTATAGACACCCGGTACGCGTCGTTAAATGTTAAAGAAACTGACGGTTTTTTTTTTTTTGTCGAATTTCCCCCGAAAACAGAGACTATTGCACTGTGTTATGTCTTTCATACGAATTTAACCTCATAATTGGGCTCAAATTCGGAAATCTAAGTTTTTTTTTTTATTGACGGATGGAAGTGATAACATTTTGGTTAAAGAGCGTTTTTGGCTTTCTATACCCGCACAGACCCACCGAATGAGACCACGTGGTTGAAATTTCGTATAAGCACGATGTGAGTATCAAGAAGGTGTCTTTTGGTGATTTCGATTTTAAACTCCCCTCCCCGATTATAATTATGCTCAGATTTCGTGTTTTCACATAGAATATCGGGTTATAATTACCCTGACAGAATCACGAAAGTAACAAACTTGGTTAACATACATAGTTATAATGTATATATAGAAATAAAAAAGACGTCCCGGGATAATGGGGACGGGTGCAGCCACCGTTACAGGTAATTTAATGTATACCTGTAATCAACGACAAACCATTTCCTACGAAAAAATGATTCTGAGCGGAGTTCAGTTGATAGTAACGCTTTGTTAACAACATATATGTCATATTATAGTAAAATATTTAAATAGGTTCCATATATTTTCTTTAATAATATTCGTTCAATGTTGTACCGAATTCCCCGGTTTTCTTAGATTTTTCCGGGTTTTCCCGTGTTTTTTTCCCAATTTTTCACATTTGCTGAGAAAAAACGAAAAATCATCTCTCTATAGTACCTCCCCAGTGAAATTTCCTTTTCGAAAAATTGCTATCGTTAAAAGCTGGAGCGAAATTGCTGGTAAATGAGTTGTCCACAGGAAAAAAAAAATGAATAGATAAATAAATAAACATCTTTGTAAAACCATAAGTTTCTTCGCTCCACTCAGAATCTAAAATTAATAAGTGAATGAATGCGTCGCCTGGAGTATTATATGCGTACTGCACGGCCGGTGTTCTAAGCAAATCTGGCGTCTAGCGAATGTGACTCCACGGCGATTGATTTAATTTTGATTTATACGTTTGTTTTAAATTATTTATAGTAAATTCATTTTATATTTCATTACTTATTTTTGTTAATTGTTAGAATACCGAATATTTTTCTTTTTATAATACACGTATTTTATCGTAATAATTTTTAAACACTTTAAATTTCTATTTTCAGCAATAATAATGTGGACTAAATCAATTTCATGTGTTCGTGCCACAACGCGTGACATTAAAAATTGCTGAAGACCGGTCAGTTTTCAAAACCAGACAAAAAAATGACTTCTGTACATCCGTTGCAAATAATTGCAAATAACCTATGCAAAAAATAAAATCTGGTTTTGTGAGTTATTAATATTTGTCCGTACAACGACCCGTATATATTGCACGATTACGCAATTTCCACCATGATAAAACCTAAACCACCGTACGTCCGCTGTACGCTTTATATTTATTGTTTGTCGTAGCATTATCGTTCGCGCGCTATTCGTCATCGTCCGTCATATCCGCGGCGACTTAAAATTTGTATACCTATATATGTTCTTAAAACATTGTAATATTTATGTTTTTGGTCATTGTCGTTTTTCGTCGTTATCAAATCGTTGCCGATTTGTATTCAATCTGATACCAATTTTTTCGTTCGCACCATTGTGGTTCAATAAAAATAACATTGTAACCAGTACCTATTAATTACGGGCATTCGTTCTTTCGTTTGCCTTTTCTCGCCTGTTCGTCATGAACGATAGACATTCCGTCCGTTGTTCCCGGCGGTTTGTCCACATAGTTGTTTGCCGCCCGTTCTTTGGCAATAACATTTAGCTTGATCTAAAATGGACAACTCAGTCGCCCGAAACCGGAGTTTGTGCCGGCCAAAGCGGAAGCCCGCCGTCGAGCGTTGCGCGTCGTGTGTGCTATCCAGGCCGTACATTTGCGGAGTTCACCAGGAGAACGCGTTTCCCGATAATTTTATTTGTTTATTTTTACTTCGTATTGAATTATAATATTAAATGTATTTTACAGATTTATAAGATCTTCGAATGTATGCGGTGTTCGCCATTTTGGCGGACGATGCAACAGGAATAAACGATAAGGCCTTTTGCCATCGGTTTTATACATAAAACACCTATTGTTAAATGCGTAGACGGTGACATTTTAGAGATGACTGCGTTGGCGTTTTTTGAAATAAAAAAATTCCATTCTTATATAATATTGAACGTCTATCTTTCCGCTATACAAATCGACAGTTTTGTTCCGGTCTTGATGAAACTTTGCGCACTTGGCATCCAAAACAATTGCAAGGTCGCTGATTACTTTTCATTTCGAAATTTAAATATAAAGGGTGGCTTACGTTTGATTTTTGGTATTTGAATACGGACAAATTGAATTCGTTTAGTTGTTTTCCAGGTTATCTCGGTGACACGGAATAAAACACTTATTATTATTTAATTTGATCGTTAATGAATAATGAAGTACTCATTTAAAAAAAAAACAAACTATCGGATATTAACTGCGACAAAGATAAAGGCGGAAACATGTTAAATTAAATTTATTTTATTGACCGGGAAATTCCGCTAGAAAAAAAAAAAAAAAAAAAAATAATTGTAAAGCCGCGAAATTCTCTTCGAAATGTTGTTATCCGCAAATTGCATAATAATATTTGCCGTTTTATCTCTATACCCGGTTTCAAAGGCGATTCCGCTTTTTTTTTGCGCGAACGCGTCCGTTAGACAGATAACCGCGACAAAATAACGCCCCCATGTGACGACCTCTGAAATGTGTCGAAACACAATAATATTACAAAATAATACTTGGCAACTCGATTTATTAATTAATTAATCATAGCCTATGTCATAACGCATAATATGATATTTTAAATTTAAATTACTACCTCGATGTTTATAATTTTCCTCACAGTAAAAAATTAAAAATCAGCGACTGCTGCTGCTTGTATGGTAAACTCGAAGATAGACTACTAAACACACAGCCAATGGCGTAGTGAAGACTATATTATTATTATTCGAGACACACGATACCGTGACAGCGCATTATGCGCACTTACTGAATTCGCAGGACATCTGAGTACAGTAATATTTTAATAGCTAATACGTATGTATGCAATAATATTATGTTAAAAATATGTAAAACGTTACACTGGCTCATGGTCCAATCGTCATTTCCATAATATTATCTCCTTGCATTCATTCGACAGGTTTTTATCATTTTACGCAATCGCATATACTACTAACGCCGCATATAAGTACCGCGATCCTCGGTCCGACTTCCGCGATTTACGGTCGTACCCGTGCGAGTTGCTATTGAAACGCGTTACCGCTTGTATCCGAAAATCCTAGTCGTATTCGGATACAGCCGCGTTCAATTCAAGTAAAAATTTTATCGATCGTAGTGAAAAAAGCGTGAACTGCTGTTATATCAAACTGCGGTCCGTTCCTGAAGATCGTCGTTAACTAGGTGTGCGGTAACTGTAAGTGATTTAAGTGTTAAATTTATATTTTAAAATACTTTAAGGTGACGTTTATTAGGAAATGATCTACTTGTTCGTAGAGAACAATAAACATTTTATGAGCGAATTTATCAGAATTTTAGCTATCAGATTATTAAGGGACATGTTCTATATTAATATAAAGGACGATTCGCTAACTGTGTCCATCCAATGTTTTGGTTAAATTTTGCATGTATTAAAATTCTGATTTTTCGGAATTTTCCAATTAAAGCCGATATTTTCGAATACTTCACAACATTTAAGGAGTATTCTGTGGCGATACCAACTTTGGTTTTTCAAATGAGAACCTATATTGAAAATTCCATAAATAGTAGGTATATTATTTTAAATACATTTTGGTGCCAACATTTTTTAGATTCTTATTTGGAAAATCTAAACGTTCGAATATATCAGCTTTAATTACTCTTAGAAATTACAAAAATCAGAATTTAAACACACATATTATGTTAAATTTAATCAAAAAATGGGTTGAACACGCTTAGTGAATCACCCTGTATATAAAATAAACCCCCAAAATCCGTAACACTGCGCGAGAAAAAAAAAATCAAAATTTTTCACTAACTATAAAGCCGATTAATAGACTTTTAAATCGTATGTCTAATTTGTTTTTTATTTTGGCGTTCGGTTCTGATTGTTTTGACTTCTACGATTATCGATCTGAGCAAATTTCTTTATCGGACCGCCCATGGTTATAGACGGGTTTTTTTTTAATATACATATATTTTTTTCTAACGACAACCGACGAAAAAACATCGCGACAGAGGTTATCGGAAGCGATCGGTTTGGGACGTCTACTAACCTGAGAACGACATAATCATCGCGTAAGGTCCACAAAATAAAATAATAATATAATATTATTATTTTGCTCAGACTGCAGTGGAGATGTAACGACATAAATTAAGGTCGATAAATGTAAAAAAAAACAATAAAACACAAACTAATTGAACAGTATAATTATTTATTCGCCTGCGTTCGACACACTTAAAAAATTCGATTGAATATTATCGTACCGCCTGTTAATTTATTTTTTCATCCGCTTTTTTTACATACGCATGAATTGCTTGGTAGTGACTAAATAGGTACTAAATGCATTTTTCACGAAAATAAGTTATTTAATTTTTATCGAGTAGTATAGTTTTAAAGAAATCCTAAAGATTATAATTTGTAAGTTATAATTTATAGCGAGACAATTGAAATCAAAAAAAAAAAATGACCAACTTTTTTAACTAATTTAAATTAAGTTACCTTAAAGAAAATATCAATTCGAGTTTAAGTTCATTTTAAAATAAAAATTAACTTAAGGAATTATTGTTAATTATAATATTTTGTTTTCAATCCTCCTAAACAATTTCCAAAATTATAGTTAACAGTAAAGGCACAACTAGACTTAAATTTTAGGTGGTGCTAAAATTGTTAATAGTCCACAGATCCGGTGGGGAGAGGGGTCCTAACCACTCTAACCTAATAACTAATCATATAATAAATAATAATAACTCATCAAAAAATTCTCATTCAAGATTCTTTAAAATACCCTAACAGTTAAGAAATTTACAAAACGAATACTTGTCAATTTTTTGCATTTTACTTTTTAACATTGTTGTTTTACAAAACAAATACAGTTTAGGTACTAAATAATTATTGTTAACAATGAAAGTAAAGATAATACCATTTGTATTATTTCAAAATTGAAGAAGTCAGTGCAACAACTATATGTCTCCATATTTTTAAAAAAATCACTTTTTTGTATATTCCTATAGAAAAAAAATCATCGTCGATTGGTGAAATAATCAGACAAATCCGATCGTTAGATACGGAGATTATATACAAATGGAGATGTCTGTTTTAATTTTCGTTGCAACAACAAGACTTTTCCGGAGATGGTAATTTCGACAATTTGGTAATATTTGGTAATTTAAAAATGTCTGGTTGTTGCACCCACGTTTTCAATTAAATTTCTTGATTTTTTACAGTACGTATCTAAAACCGACCGTGGTTTTAAGTTAATTTTGTAATAAATTACTCGTTTAATATTCACAACAGATAAACCGGTAAATCGTTGTTATAACATAAACACGTCCTTGTCCAATTGCCGATTCACCTCATGTACGAAAATCCATGTTCGCGTTGTTGATACTAATAGGAAATGTAATATGAATTTAAAGTGTTTTATATTTAATTTGGGAAAAGCCTTTTTTTAACGATATTGTTAATGCCATTAAAAATTAATTCTGATGGTAAACGATTTTTAAAATCCATAATTTCAACTTTAATCAAACCGCGTGTTTCGGGGCCATTAATGTTACCGTGGAACCTTAAAATTATGGAACAATTATTCTTCTTTATTGTTCATTCATATTCAGTCGTGTACTTAGTTAGTTTATCATAGCGGCCGTTGTTACGCCCTACACATTTACGGTTCACGTAATCAAAACCAGTTCGGATAATGTATACATAATATTATTGTAATTGCATGTTATAATGTCGATGGTTGTTGTTGAAGTTGAAGGTTGACCGAGAGATCCGTGGTGGGGAACATTTCGGTGTCAGTGGTTGGTAAATCTTTAGCCGTCCACGACGTTGCCCGGGAAACACCGGGTGGAAGCGTTTTACCTTTGTGTCGCACCGGATCTCAAACTCGGAGGTCCGCGTTTAAAATTTGATATTCTCGATATTATTAAACTGTCATATTATAAATAAATCTGCACACGATCTCCATAAATGTTTATTATTATATTATTTTCTTAATTAAGCAATTTCGTTAACTGTTTGATCTAGTTGTTTTGTAAATTGCAAATTATTTATTCTGTCTGTTGATAATGCGAATTCAACTCTGTACAACAATAATAATAATATCAAATGCGATCGTATTTTATATTTAGATATATTTTTTCCCCGGAACACGTGCGATATTTTAATCGATTAAAAAAACAACCAGAAAATCATCTGTTAAAAATAAGTGTGTTAAATAAAAACAAAATCTTCTGAGAAATTAAACAGATATTTTTTATTACAAATAGGTATTTAATACATGTACTTTATAGGCGTATAAAACTTTTGGATTTTGAACGGCGAAGAATGTATTGGTTTTATAATTATATTATGTTCTTTTTTTTTTTTACGACAATATAATAAAAGCTTGATTTCGTTTTTATTATTTTGATCTATTCGTAGAATTTTTATTTTTAGCATTTTATTTACGTGACGTGCATTATATGGTAATGTGACATTTTGACGTTAACGTATCAATATGTCAAAGGTTTCCATTTGAAAATGATCCGTTACCGTATTTTATAAATTACAGTATGGTTAAAATGTAAAACTAAGTAATTCTAAATTCTATTATTTCAAGAAATTTCACTCGTTTAGCATTCTTAAATAATTTTGAAAATTGTTCAATAAAAAATATTTAGGTCATTATTGATTATTTTGAGGGAACGAGTTGTCCGGTTTACTTTAATCGGTCAATTGATTTTGATTTGTATTTACGTCTTTATTATTCTATCCAAATGAGATGTTTATAATTCACCAGAATTCCATTCAAATTATAGATACAAGTTATATGTAGATCATAAATAGTCTACGAGTCTGCGTATAGCTCGTATATTAATACGAGCTGTATACGAATCTATACGTAATTCTAGAGAGTCGCAAATTTCGTTGATAAATCAAAAAACAAAAATAATAAAGAAGATACAGAGTTGTGATTGTTATGCCTATATTGTGCAAATGTTTCCCGTTCGAGAAAGTTTCATTTAGTAAAAGAACCGCGGTCAAATACTGCGATTAAAAATTAGATACAACAATAATATTTGTACACGAGTTTTTTCAATAATTTTTAATCAAAATCAAATCAAAGAAGTCGTGAGGTCGAATATAAAAGTTCATGACGATCTCATGCGGATAGAAGAGAAATAATATTGTTGACAGAACCTCCCCTACTATATAGGTATGAAATATTTACTATAAAACGTTTGGTTAAAAGCCAAGATAATACACGTTTAAATACAGTTGCCTAATAATTGATAATTAACATAATATTATCATCATTGTTTAAATAATATACGACTTTTGATTTTCAGAAAATACAAAAAAAAAAACCGTACAATACGTATCAACTATGCCCGGTCATACCAAATTCGATTATGGTATTAGATCCACTATTTCTCAAGTAAGTTTATGATACGTATAACCTCTAGAATACCTATAATTATACTAATTATTATATTATAAGTATAAAGTTAACAATAACGAACGATATACACACCGAATCGCAATACAAATAGAAATAAACATTACTGTACGCTCTATGTTAAAATACAATGAAATCGCGTTGTTAATTATAATACGCAGAAATATCCTATTGTATTTGCAAAAATCGTCGTTAGAACTCCTAGATAGTAATATTGTCACAACTACAATTGAGAAGTGTTAAACTCTTAAAAAATTATATAATCTCCTACGTGAAAATAGTCATCACGCACCAGATAGTGTTAGCTACTTAGCTATATCTCTGATACTGGGTAGTCTAATGGAAAGTTTTGAAAAAATAAAACCTATTAACCTAAGACGAGGAATTACACGCAAACAACAGCACTGTCAAGTATTATTTCATTTTGTAATACATTTATAGAATTCGTTCAGCGATCGGTGCGTTAAGCTTTTGATCTGTTGGCTGACGGGTGTGAGGTTGTAGGATTGTCGAATTATTGCCTATATAGAGGAGATTACACTATAGGCGTCTTTAAAATTCAGATAAAAAAGGCCATTCGTGTAGGGATTTACGCGTGGACCTGCATCAGCTTGTTATATATAGCAGAGTATATTAACACGAAATAATTTAAATTCGATATTGATTTATGTTTTAACAGTGTTTGGCTTTAGTGGGAGTCAGTTTCGTACAGATCTGCATCGGCATACAGCTGTCCAGTCCGAGCATCGTTATCGGAGCTTTAATGAGCTACACGAAGAACGAAAAAGAATGGCTGACCATGTCCAACGCGGATGCGTCTTGGTTCGGTCGGTATTCCGATTATCTCAACCTATAAATAGTTACTACAATTGACTGACGTAACCTAACCGCAATAATTAAAACGCGTTTTCCATTATGCGTACACAGGCAGTCTCCTGGTTTTGTGCACGCCCCTGGGATGCGTACTATCGATTCCGTTGCACAATCGGCTTGGTCACAAAAACTGCATGGTATTATCCAACGTGCCGTTCATCGTGTCACATCTCATGATGGTTTACGCCCACGACATAAACACCCTGTACGCGAGTTCGGTGCTGATGGGCCTGAGCATCGGGTTCGCCAGTGGCCCGTTTACCGCCTACATAGGCGAAGTGTGCGAGCCGAAGTTACGGGGCGCGCTAATGTCGTGCACGTACATCTTCTACTATTTGGGCGGTGCCTTAATTACGACCACCGCCACCATCACCAATGAGTGGAGATTGGCCGTGATGATCAACCTGTTGATCCCTGTCCTGGCCATACTGATTTTGCTCGCGGTTATTACATTGTACATGCTCTCCGCCCCAATCTGTCCAACAGATAAGCCCCGTATTATTATAACCGAGGTCTTTGAAAATAAAGTCGGGATGCAGAGAATTATTCGATTTCTCTAATAACAATTATAAAATGAATAACTTTAATGATGTGAAAATCGTCAAATTAAAACGAAAAGCGTAACCCAATCAAGCTCAGTTAAAAGCGTTCTCTGGAAAAACTGGTGAAAAGCCCGACCTTATCTTCTAAGACCGCGGGTACGCGCGACTGTCTCGAGAAATCAATCCATAATATTATTGTATTCTAGAACCCGGATTCGCCGATGTGGTTGCTGACCAAGGGCAAGACTGAAAAAGCGAAACGTACGCTTCGGAAGTTGAGGGGATCGGTTTCGTACGAAATGTGTTCCAGTGAATTTCGAGAGATGGTTATCTATACTAGAAGTAATTGTTTGCATTTTTTTTCGTAGTTATATATAAACATAGTTAATCAGGTACACATTGAAACTAAAAACTGTAACACAGTGATATTTATTATTAAACGGGTGATCGAAGACGAGTCAATGGTGAAAAGGCCTTCAATGCGCGGAAAATTAAATCGAGGCGTAAATATTGTATTTAAAAGTACATTAAGACATGCGCACCTTGAAACCCAATGGAGACAGATGCGAAGATCAGGGATAGGCTGCAAGGTTTTTATTTTTTACAGTATATATACCGCAGTGTAGCCTGCGAAGTTAAAAAGAGACGGACATATTTCGCACGCGGGTGCAACCAGTGGTGTAAGTGGGAAGTTAGAAAGGTAGGATATAGACGGGAATTGAATGTATATCTGTAAGTAACGATAAACCATTGCTAACGAAAAAAACGATTCTGAGCGGAGTTCAGTGAGACAGTGTTGCTTTGCCAACAATATATATGTCATATTATGGTAAAATAATTACGTATGCATTGAACATTTTCTTTATTAATATTTGTTTAATATTATACCTATTTTTCCGTTCTTCCGCTTTTCCTCCGTTTTGTTCCGGTTTTTCCAATATATTGAGAAAATCAAAAAATGACCTAAATAAGACTAATGCTTTGTCAACAATTTATAATGTACCATATAAGGGTAAAATAATTAAATAGACGTTATAGACGGTATTTTCTTTAATAATATTTGTTTACTATTGTACCGATTTTCCCGATTTTTCCATGCTTCTTCCCGGTTTTTCATATTCGCTGAGGGGAAAACTCTTAGGAAAATTGAAAAATTACTTTTTGAATGTGTCTCCCCAGCTTGTCAATCTTTTAGAAAAGGTACTACACTTAAAAATCGGAGCAAGATTTCTAGTAGAAAAGTTGCGTACAGATTAAAAAAAAAAAACAACATCTTTGTAAAACCATAGGATTCTTCGCTACACACACAATCTAAAATTAAGTGATGTATTATTTTTCTAATATTGAAAACATTGCATGTACAGACGGTCAAAACATCGAAAACGACATGGACAACAACGTTGGTGGCGACGACGAGAGTCCGTGGAGACAACTGTTGCGGCCCGAAGTGTACAGACCTTTTCGACTGCTAATTGTATACTTTTTCTTTATGGTTTTAATGTCCGGCACGATGTTACTACCGTATATGTATAATATATTAACGATATTCGAATCACATATTAGCATCCATTGGGCAACAGTGAGTGTTGACATTCGTTTACGTATTAGTTTAATGCATACAAAAATGAATTCATTCGAATTTAAATTTAATATCGGATTTGTTTTTGTATTAACATTGCGCAATATAGAAAATAGTGTCCTTCTCATCCTTGTTCGCGGGCATACTGACGGTGTTCTCCGTGAACAAACTCGGCAAACGGTTTATCACTTTGTTGAACTTGTCGATTAGTGCATTCTGTTACATATCCATCGGTTTAATCGGCCGTTATAGGGAGAGTCCGAATCAGACAACGTCGTGGTTGATGCAAATCCTGTATATCACTATCGTTTTCGTATCGGCGTTCGGTATGATGCCCATTTCGTGGGCTCTTATAACCGAAGTGTTCCCCATGAAGTAAGTACTGTTGAAATTGATATGAATTAATATTACGTCTATGCGAGCACAAAGCGATTATTAATTTGTTACGATAGATTGCTAATCAGGGCTGTAGTTATGGGTGTACCCTGTGCTATGTGCCGCATAACTTCTCATTTTTACGAATGAACACCGTATACATTCTAGTTACGGCCGTATACTCTCTGTCAAAGGAAACTCACAAAATGTATCATACAAATATTATTCTTATTATTTTCATTTTTGGTTGATTACAAAAACAAAAGTTATTTACTATTTATACCCTCTACTAAAACATTAGGTTAGACAATGCACTTGGGGATGTTGCACGCATGCCTAATAGCGGCACGGTTATAACGTGTAACTTAACCCTCTGATTTTTTTTAAGAATACAGCACTGATTATAATATACAGAAAAAATAATTGAAAATTAAAATTACCAAAATGAATAATTGTATTAGTCCTTAAATCTCGGGGGAAACTATGTACGTATCCTATAGGTACGTACGACGCATGCATTGTATATGATACATATGCTTATTACAGTAAGGTTTGGTAACTGTAGTATAGATTTATTTCAAACGTCCCACTTGTATGAGACGATGCAAATATTTATTTTAACAAACTATTTCCGCCACTTACCGAATATTATTTGGACTCTGAGTATAGGTCATCTAGAGACGCGTATTTAACTGTAAGTTGTATAATTTTATATGACAATAATAAAAAATTTTGTATTTCAGGAGCCGAAATATAACTTGTAGCATCAGTTCAGCGCTGCATTTATTGTTTTTCTTCATCATGATCAAATTTTTTCCGCTATTACTCACCGTAATGGATTTATACGAAATATGTATCGTGTTCGGCATTGTGGGCGTTTTCGGGTGTCTATATTTTTATTTTTATCTTCCCGAAACGGAAAACAAAACGTTAAAAGAAATAATCCTATTTTTCAAATAATCTTTATGCAAATCATATTGCATATTTGTTTTTAGAACGTTCAAACCTATTACGGATGTAATACTAAAGATTACTCAAGCAATGGTACAATGTAATATGTATTACACATTTTTTACAAGCACCCCGTGCAATCACACTATATTTGATTAAAAATTGTGCCTTTACAAAGCAATAAATTTAATTAAGTATTTATTAAGTTTTTTTTTTTTTTTTTTTGTTGCTATTTGTTTTTTAATTCTCTTTATTTTATTATATGATTATTTATGTGCACATTACATTTTAGTACTGATTAATATTAATAATCTATGGTATTTGACGAATGTGAAATTATATACTAATTTTGGACAGATACACATACAGATAATGTAGTGTTTTTTGTTATGTATAATAATATCCATTTTTACGGCGCAGTTCGTTGATTATTTATAAAAGTAATACAATTTTATCTCTCCTAATTAATTCGGAAAAAAAATAAACACCATTATAAAACCAAAATCTAAAATTTTTTTAAGTAACTATTTTTTTTTTTTTTTTTTTAAGATTCTGAGCGGAGTGAGGAATATATTTGTTTTACAGTGATATTTATTTTTTGTTTTGTTTTTTATCTGTGAACCACTTTTCTACCAGGAATTTTTTTACGATTGTCAATTTTAACAATTTTTCGGAAAGGAAATTTGACTGTGGTGGTACTTAAAGAAAGTAAATTTTTGATATTCCCATCTGTTTTTATAATAAATGGAGAAAACCGGGAAAAAACATGAAATTAATTTTTTCAAATTTTAAATATTAAGTCCTTTAAACACACGTGTTACCCAACTCTGTTCAGAATCGTTTTTCATTAGAAATGACTAATCGTTATATATAGATATACACTAAATTTCCTCTCTACCTTCTCAACTTCTCACCTACAACAGTAGCAGATGCTTCGTGCGAAATATGTCCGTTTGTTTTTTTTCTTTTTATTTCATTTTATTATATTTATAGAACTCGTACCCACAGCGCAGCAATTGGCTATAATGGGTTGATCAATACTTTTGAATTTTTCGTTTGATCATTGTTGTTTGTTGAAATATATTATAATATTATTATTTTAAAAAAAAAAAGTACTTTGAGTATTTTTTATTTACGTTCATAGTATTTAAAAAAACAATTATTCAAATACAATATTTACACAAGCGTTCGAAAAAAACGTATTCTGAATACAAGTGTTTTTAACAATAACACTGCACCGATTTGTTGATATACCCGATTATTATACCCTACACTTACATAATATTTAACCTCATTTTTAAATCGCCGCGTCACTTATCTTATAATATTATGGTGATAAGATTGTTGAAGAGAACACTCGATTATAATTAAATAACGTACCTATACTAGTACTTAATAGCTATACAAACGGCGCTAGTCGAATCACATTTATGTTTAACACCGGGACAAGAAACATACTAATACATTTTCGAAAAAAGTGAATGCACTTGCAAACGCATTTCTAAAAAAAATTCTTTTGTAGTAAATGTTTATAAATATTTAATTGCAGTACATATTGTATGACGTACTTATTTTGTAAAATACAAAATAAACAATACACTATAATACAATATTTGAGACGAATACAAGATATTAAAACTACTCAGACATTGATTTATTCCGGTAAGTGCGCGTATATTATTTGTACATATTAACAAACAATTCGTTCGTTCTTTGAAAACAATAAAATATTTTGTAATCATATATCGAAAAACATAAAGTTATCGTGTTGGGCAAACTGTTGCAAATTTTTACTTTCACGGAACGCTCGTGACAATTAACACAAATCACATCTGTTTAAAATGGTAACGTCATAAAAACAGTGTTTGAATTGGAAAAAAAAAAGAGGGCCTCAGAAGACTTAAAAAGAAATGCGCGTGCCTTGTAATAATTGAACTCAATCTAACCCGAGTGCTTTCTCCTCCGCCAGACCAATTTTCAAACATAAATCGGTAATGAATAATTTTTTGAAAACAAATACTAAGAAATATAATAACACTACTTACTGCAGGCTAACTTTTTGTCTTCTAAGAAAACATTTAACTTTTCCATTCAAACAATAACGGTTTCTGTTTATTCAGTGAAAAAACAATCGCATCCAATAGAGCTGTATTTATAGGCTCTTGTATACAGCTCTTTACAATAGTAAAATTTTCAAATCATTCTGGCAATTTTTCAGTTATAGCCATTTGTAATTTTTGGATTTAATTTTGTTTCACGTGATTAAAACTTTTTTTTAAAAACAAAATTGTAACTAATGGGGAAAAATGGGTTCAAAAACATTTTTATTCATAAGCGCTTTGTTCAAATTTGAATAAAAATGCAACATATATTACTTTCCCATCAGTGGCAAATACTGAGGTTTTTTAAGGGGAAAAGGGTGGGGATTTTATTAATAAAATATTATATAGACAATTGTAGAATATAAAAATTACATAAAAGAGCACGATCGCCTTAAAGCATCCTCTCTTGTACCCGCCACCGCACCTCATGCGTTTCATAGTAGAAGTGATTTAAGAATACTTAAATTTCTGAAAAATGTTTGAGTTGCTTCGTCCGCTCTTTCTAATTCGAACACTGCATATAAATTTTCACCATCAGATTCGAATAGTCGTAATTTTTTTTTTTCAAAGAAATTTTGGAATATTTACAATGATATTTTATTATTTCCGTTCGGAATACGTCAGATATACTTGTACAGCCGACCGTTACCGTTCGAATACAACTGTGGATTTCACTCGATTTTTCGGAAAACTCAAAACCGCCTAAATTCTAAAGGGCGTGAAATTTCATTTTTATGTACACACTTAAGCAACCGGTTAACAACCGATTCGTATTGTAACTCGCGCGTTAACCCGGTAGTCGTAGTTGTCGACCGATAAATTATGCCTACCCTAAACAAAATAAACCACGATGCATACGCGTGTGGTCGTGTCTGATAGTCCCACTTTTCCGTCGAGAAAAAATGTTAGTGAAGTGGCAACAAACCGTTTTATCGGACGTAGCGCTCCAAGCACGGCATATCTGTACACGTAAATAAATGTGTAAAACAAACAAACTACGACACACAACTATGATTTGAAACCGAGAGCACTTCACAGAGTTACAAGTGTTTATTAATTATGACATTAATAAGCATATTGCGGTCTATAACAATGTTCCGTAGACAGATTATAAGACGAAATCGGATTATCGATATTGTACATAATCGTCGCTATACGCTTCTCGTACAGTACACGACCGTGTGCACACGGGAGGAAGGCGAGAGTGATATATCCCAATCTTTACCCCACGACGTGTGCGTTTTAGATTAGATTTTTTTTTTTCGCCGTCTGTAATCGACTTTTCGAAAAGACGTCTTGCTCCGAAGTAAAGAGTACGGTGCCTTTGTTTTTCGTTGGCAATTATCGTCGCACGCGTAGTATAAATTCAATTACGTATTATATATTACATCCTGCCGTCCGACATCCGTCTTAAAACACTGACACATCACGAGTTGTTTTTGTTTTTTTGTTTTTTTCTCTAGTTCAGTAAGTCAATATATTTTCACAATATTTTACTTTTGACTCGACTAGGTTTTAAATTTATTTTAATAATAATATTTATAAACGGAAATAAACGGTTTTGCGTTAACCGACGATTTTTTTTCGTTTATTTAACTCAACAATTGACCCGATCGGGATTAACCGTTTTCACTAACTCAATCCTGCCGTCCGACATCCGTCTTAAAACACTGACACATCACGAGTTGTTTTTTTTTTTTTTTTTTTTACTAACATCATATCATATTAAATTTATAAGATTCTATGTAAATAATTATGTTAGTTACATTTTCTTTTTTGTCTACGAGAACAACTTTTCTACCAGCAATTTTGCTCCAATTCACAATTGTAGCGCTTTTTCTGAAATAAAATCTAACTATGGTGGTACTTTAAGGGCGTTTTTTTTTTTTTTATTTTCCTAGCTGTTTTCATACTAAATGTCAATAACCGAAAAAATTGATACAATATTAAACAAGTATTATTAAAGAAAATAATATACAATGCGTTTCATTCAAATGGTAACACGAAATATTTCTGTCCAGTGACCTCGGATTGAAATGGGGTTTTCAAGAGAAGATAGGAAATACTGAGATTTACATTTTGTATGGATTTTAAAATTTCATACCCTTTCAGTGTGCATATGAGCAATAAAACTTGTATTTTTTTTTTAATGGAAACACTTGATTTGAATAAACCATTTTTTTTTTTAAAAAAAAACTTATATAAATAAACTTTTACGTTTTCAAGAAAATTTTCCGAGTTACAGCTAATCACATTTTCAATTTAAATTATTGAATTTTTCAACAATAATCCTATGTTTTTAAATTCCCATGTAGTTATGTGTACTTTATTTACACTAGTAGGTTTCACTGTCATAATTTCATATTTTTAAAAGTTTATTCGTAGTTATTTACTCGGAAATGCCGAGTATCTTTTGAAATACCTATCGTTTTTCATTAGCAATGGTTAATCGTTGCGTGCAGATATACACTCAATTTTCTATTTACATTCCTAATTTCTCACTTAAAATAGTGATCCATCTACGTGAGAAGTATGTCAGTCTTTTATTATTTTTAATTTAGTATTTTTAATATGGTTAGGTTAGGTTAAAGGAAAAATATTCGTAGAGACTTGAAATTATGATAAAAAATCTTATAGATACTTGTTTTTTCTAGACATAATACCATTTTCAAATAATTTTTGCCATTTTTGAGCAATTTACAGGCATTTTAATGTTGTAATTTTTTTCGTTTTTTTTTATTTGGTAGCTACTTTGTAAATAAAATTGTTAGACTAATCAGAAATGCTTGTTTTTTGTGTATTTTTTTTTTATAATTATTTATTTTATCATTATAATAATATACAAAAATTAAATTGAGTAATTTCGGTTACCCTTAAGTATTTTAAAGAGTTTTTTTTTTTAGAGAGATATTTTTAATTTGAATAGCATAACAATGGTATGATGCCAGACAACCCATACATATTATAGCTACTTACTGAAAATCCAATTTTTTTAACTTATATTAATCCTGTATAGGTTTATACCTACACCTATTACAATCAATTTAATCGAAAAACAATGGCGGGGTAGAAATATTATTCGATACATTAAAGGACTACACAAATAAAAAAACGGACAGATTTCGCACGGTGGATGGGACACTGTTGTATGTGAAAAGTTGTAAAGGTAGGATATAGGGATATAGAAGACACTTTAATTTACATCCGTACGTAATGATAAACCATTGCTAATAAAAAATAATTTAGAGCGAAGTTTCTTTTTTACATAAACGTACATTTTACAATAAAATTTGTCCATGTCTAGAAAAAGCAAATATAAGTTTTCTCTTCAAATTTCAAATCTCTGCATATATTTTTAACTGAATTATAATAAGAAAACTAAATTGAAAACAATAAAAGAATTATTTTCATAAATTTCCCAGTTTATTTTACGGTTTTTTTTTTTGGTTTTGCTCAATTGTTAAAAAAAAACTACAAGAAAAATCAAAAAAATGACTTAGTTAATTATCAACTAGTTTCAAATGTTTATTATTATTTATCTATTGGAGAAATATTTCTGGTAGAAAACATCGTGTGTAAAATTTTAAAATAATGCAATCGTAGGCCGTAAATTTATTCGTTTTAAATTTTCCGGCATTTTTTCGGCTTTTTCCAATTATTATATGAAAACTACTCGGAAACTCCGAAAACAACTCACCACTTCATGAGTGCCTAGACCTAAAAAAAAAAAAACAAAAGAGATCTAATTTCGCCTTTTTGTCGGAGCGATATTTTTGGTAGAAGAAATATTTTGTAAACATTTTAAACGATGAAATCAATAACGTTACGGCGCGCCTTAATTATTGCCGTTTGACCTATGGTTTTCTCTCCGATTTTTCGTTATTATTTATAAAACCCCTTAGAAAACTATTATGTAAATTTTAGTTGAAGTGCCTAGTATGTTCGTGAAAATGTGGTAGTCAGTTTTATTGTCCAGTTATTCTTTAGACGAACACGCCATGGTGTTAAGACTAACAGCGCACAATCGGTTTTCATATACAAAAAAAGCATAAACATAACGACATTAAACGGTTGCACGACATTTACCGTAACGTATTATATATTATTATCAAATAAATAAACTGTAAAGCTGCAACGGTTACATTGGATTTGTAATTAAACCAACGATTTAAAAAATTTCAATAGGTACTTCCGTCACTGATATTAACATTAAACTAACTTATAATCAAAATAATATTAAATTATATCACACATAAAACATAATATATTGTAATATACATACTGTGCTCTCCCATCTGCCGGCAAGGTCTGCGCACACCTATGCTAGTCTGTAATTAGGACTTTAGTCTCCTTCCTCCAAAATCTCGAATGCTATTTACACCTACGGTATCTATAAGCGTTCTAAGAATTAAAACGAATGTTCCGTAATAACACAATGTGTATTATTTAAAAAAAATCTAAAACGAACAAATTAACTCATTATAACCAATAGTACCGATGGAAATATTGCAAAACAAACGCAATCACAAAATCATATGATAAATTAAAATATTGCGTTGTAGTCATCTCGCAGACATCGTCGTTAATCAATGAGATATATCCGATGTGCTAATCGAAAACTGTAATTTATAGGCATATAAAAAAAAACTTTTAAAATTTAAAAAATATAACATTTTTTTTTTTTTGTCTTCCTTTTATGTAACCGCGATAATATTAACAATAATCGAATGGTCGGTGTAATACGTATTTATGTCGTCTTTCCGATCGCTTTGCAAACCGTACAAACTACCAGTGAATATAATTCGATTTTGTGATGTGGTGCATTCGAATAAAAACTACAATTGGCTTACATGTTAACTATTATTACATTTGAGAAATCTACAATTTGAGAAATTCCAATATTTAATACACACCGCCGGTAATATTATTAATTTTTTTTTTTATTAAAGCTCTAAGTAAATAGAATAATGTAGGGAATTAATATTATGGAACATGAAGTTCGATGAAAACATTGATGTTCGACTACACATAATGCGTTAAAGGACAAAGGTCAGTTACCTAAACGAAATCAATAACAATTACTAGTATCAATATTATTAATATAATTTATTACTAATATTATTTTCTATTCCGAGAGCAACGAAAAAGCTATTCGTTTTACTATAACGAGTGTTTTTATTTCCCTCGGAAAACCTTTTTTCGACTAGTAAAAGTCTTCCGATTGTTTCACGTAGTATCTCAAAAGATGCGGAATTTCCGCCGGGTAATACTTTATTTAAAACATTTATTGAAACGTTCAGTAGTTTACTCCGTGGGTAATTTTCTTTTTCACGGCGCACTTATTGTGGTTGTAAGAAGGTGCTAAATTATTCGTATCTTAGGATTTTTTTCCGCTGATAGGTGGTACTTTATTTCAAAAAAAAAAATCTAGATTCCAAATAGGTTTTTTGTGAAATTTAAAAGGCTAACAACTAATTTCGATACGTCAGATACGTTATTTTCGCAGATTTCTGAATTGTCATTACTAACTACGGGCCAAAAACACACAATAACACTAATACTATCCCACTCAGTATCGTTTTTTGTTTGTATTCATTTACCGGTGTACAAAGTATAAAAACTAAATTACTCTATATATTATAAATCCTTCCTACCCAACATCAAACAAAGGACAGTGGCTCAACTTGTGAGCTGCAGTATCAACTTTTAGATTCCGAACGTAACGAGACGCTATTGGTTTTACAATGCTGTTTATTTCTTTTTCTTTCTTTGTTCTTTGTTCTAGTCTGTGGACACGTTTTCTCCTAGTAAACCGGCTCTAATGTAGAAGTGTATCATCTTTTCTGAAAGCTTAAGTTGTCTAGATTGTACTTAAAACTGGTCATTTTTTTGATTTTCGATGCCATTTTTAAATAAAACCACTTAGGTGGGAAAAAACGTAGGAAAACGTACAATTTCACGATTTCATTATTTTATAAAAACACGGACGACGTTTTCTACCAGAAAAAATGATTTAATCGAAAAATCACCGAATAGCTTTTTTGTTGTTTTTTTGATTTACTTTCTTACGGTGTAATCGACAAAACTTTTGAGCCACTTTTGAGCGTTTAAAGAGTTTTAATTTTTGGAAGTTTTTTTACTATAATTCGGTTATAAATACACGTAGAGACTTAAAAATAGGTAATAATACTTATATTAGATTTATGTAGACGTGGTAAAATTTCCAAAATTATCGGACGACTTTTTTTTTTTTAATAAACGTTTTGAAATGATATTTAAATGAAAACGGCAAAAAAATTACGGCACTTCAAATTATGTACTACCGAACTGCGTTCCGAATCATGTTTCGTCAAGCAATTGTTTATCGTTGCTTACAGATATAAATGAAATAATCTTATGCATGCTACCTTTCCAACTTCTCACCTACAACAGCTGCCGCTCCCGTCACCAGTATCAGCAATTTTTTTTTTTTAATTATTGTTTTTAATCATTTTTATTTTTATGATACCTAATTAATTGTATTTTATAAAATGTTGTCCACAAAAAAAAAAAAAAAAGACCGTACTGTTTTACCGTAAATTTTCTCGTTTTTCATTCAGAAAAAGTGCTATTATTGAAAATCGGAGCAAAATTGTTCGTAGAACAGTTGTCCGCAGAAAAAACAAATAAACATTCTAAAACTAATACATTTCTCGCATCACTCAGAATCTAGAATAGACAACAACATTATGTTAAAACCTTTTCGATCAGTACACGTACACTAGAGAGACGCTAAAATGTCAACATTTAACAATATTAAGCGAACTAACGAGGAAATAAATTCCGCTTGTAAACATTATCACACCCCACTGCACATTTCTACATTAGGACTCGTTAGAACGAGAATTTTTTTTCTCGTCTACCGTACGTACTTAATTTAAGTAACAATTTATAAACTATATTGTAACCGAATGCAATGAAATATTATTGGAAAATTATTCAATATTATGTTATCTGTCGGCGACAATCAAAAAAGTGGTTAATTGATTTCTCGTTGAACCGCAGTGAATACGTATGCATTTTAGAATTGCATAGACAACGCTATTGCAGCCAGTTTCTAGAAATACCGTTGATTTTTGTGATATACTTGTTACTTTCACACAAAACTTGTTGCTTATATGCCGCCGCCAATATAATTTCCCGTACATTTTGAACAATAATTAATATTATTTTTTTTTTTTTTTCAAATAATACCATGACGGATTTAGTCTTATCGAACGCCAGTCGTGCCATTGTAAAACCGTTGACCCCGATCCGCATTATTATTTATTGCACCTATCGATAACAATTATCCTCAGTTCTGCGTGTGCGACACAACGTGAATAGTACTGCAATATCGGCACGTAACGTGTTTTATTACACAATATACCTACTAATTATTGTGCATAATTAATCTATAACAACAACGGTTTATTAATGATTAAAAAAAAAAAAAAAATAAACCACGATCACTTCAATGTTTCAAAATATATTGCCGGATATTCTAGATTCGTCAATCTACACCGCTTTTCTGTATTTTTCTGTTGCTACCGATAGCAAACACTACCGAATAGAACCGCGTCAGTGTCATTATTTCTGCATGTACCGGGCCTATTACAATCTAACAGTTTTAATCTCAAATCATTCATTAGCAACAGTGACAATAACTTATAACGGTGTGCGGCTTGTATCTATACAGGATGTCCCATCGTGTTTAACGGGTTTTTCTGGAACGGTTAATATTCAATTTGTTTACATTTTTTTTTTTCCCCAATTCGCTTTCTTTTTCGAGATGGACGTATATTTGGAGAACAGATTTTCGTTAAAATTCAATTTTAAAAGTTATATATTAAAAAAAAAAAAAAGAATAATAATAATAATATTACACTACACTCGATTTTTTTTTATTTTGACCATTTACTAATATTTATATTTGTAGGGTACAGCGAAAAACCAGAAATGTCACTTACAAAGAACAAGGCTAATAGTAGTGTATTAATCTAACACTTATCTGGTTATATAAATTAATTATGTAATTTTTTTTTCCTGTAGGTCTAAACTTCTGGCATTCATTACTTTCGATTAATCTCGTTTTTTCGCCGTTTCGTTCTCATTTAAGATACGATACGTGAATACAAATTATTTGATACCAATATCGCTATTTTGAAAAAAAAATTGACATTTCTGGTTTTTTCCCTGTACCCTACAAGTTTAAACTTGTGTCAAATTTTCTGTTAAATCTGATATTTTTATCCACAGAGGTTCCGAATAAAAATTACGTTAAAGACTCGCAAAATTAAAATATACATAAACAGCTCAAAAACGACTCAAATGTTTTGAACATTTTACCACGTCTAAAAAAAGCAAATATAAGCCGTAACTATTTTAAATAATATAATCAATGTACTGTAATTTGAACATATTTTATTTTTCACTTTTTTTTGGATTTTCCTAATTATTATGAAAACTACTTCATGTATCAAAAAAAAAAAAAAAAATACTTTGTTCATCGGGCTACGTGAAGTTAGCGGGCGCAGTAACATCACTGAATTCCACTCTAGTATCAACATTTAGTAGTATTTATTAGTATCATTTTAATAACGGAAAAATATGACATATCAAATAAAAATTACATATCAACTGCCTACCTATAAAAAGCCTAAAACTAATTGGAATGTTTTTGAAATGCATACTTATCTTTGTAGAAAATACAATTATAAATTATCATGTCCAGTGACGTATATGGGGTTCTTCAAGTCTGGGTACCCCCGTTCTCTGACCTGCTCTTTGTATTATTATTATCATTACTTGATATCCCTATCAAAACATGTCGGTCAAATTTCAAAGGTGAAATTAATTTCATTAGATCCGCAAAATAAAAAAGTATATTTTTTTTAAATTTAGTGTACAGTTTAATGGCAATATCCAGGAATTAATAGAATTTCACCGGTCATTAAGATAACAGAAATACCTGCAGCCAAAGATGTTGTTGTCTTTATTTCTGAACTATGTAGTACTTTTTAAAATCTATTTAGAGTTTATCAGCATAGACAATCGTCCGTTATAATATAACTATTATTTTGCCATTCGCATTTCCGTCGACCGCCACGATCCACTGTCCACGACCGTACCAGGCTTAGGTGGTTACTGAATAAAGTAAGTATTTATTCAAATAATTAATGTTCATAAAAAATCATATAATTATAAAATATGATACATTATGTAGGTACCCAATATAATATTATAGCCGGAGAGATTTCGCGCCGTTGGTCCGGCCGACCGAGACACAATGGATTTTTGCGCAGGTATGAAGGCCCTAGTTTAAAACCATTTTTTTTTCTCGATAATATTTTCAATTACACCTATTTTATGATAAAAGTAAAATATAATAAAATTGATATAAATATTAAATTCTCAAATAAATCTTTCTTTCGGTATTTAAGATATTGAACGTGCGCGTGGCCGTGTGATCTAATTTCGAATGGTTTCTTCACGAGCATCGTAACTTTTAGCACACGAGATGATTTCGTGTATCTAATATTTAAATTTATAGGGCGTTGGACTATCAGATTTTCTTCGAAAACACCTGGTACGATGATCACTATCATTATCGGTGTAATGGTGTCGTCTCTTGTACGAACCGATCTTGCCGGCTTAATTATCTCAAGTTATACAACGGTTCGATTTTAATTTTGGTGACGAATATTTGTACTTCTAAATTTTTGTTACCCCCGAAATACCATCCAAAATATGCCACATAACCGTGGCAATCAAATTTTAAACTAATTGATATGGATATTTTTTTCACGTTTTATTCGCATCATGCAATATAACTAACTATGGTAGTAGCTAGCGACATTTTAAACTTTTGTTTGTTGTTGAAGACAAGATTTAAAAAGCGAACGTATTTCGCATGATGGGTAGGCCACAGTTGTATGTGAGAAGTTGGGAAGGTAGGACATGGAGGGAAATTTAATTTGTATCTGTGAGCAACGATAGACCATTGCAAACGAAAAATGATTCGGGAGGAAGTTCGGTTGTACATGTTTTGAAACGGCCCGTAATATTATAACAGTCTAACAATTTTATCCACCGAGTACCTACTAAGTAAACGTTACGTAAAAAACGCGCAAAATCAGATTGTCTATAAAAGCTTAAAAAAATAGCTCAATGTTGACTCAAATTATTACCGTTCGCAAGCACTAAGTCAACATTAAATTTTGATACTACAGCAGTTTTTGGTGGTGGTATCGCGTCCGCTAACTTCACGTAGTGGACGGAGGATAAGCCCCGCGTAACTTTTTTTCTGGACAGAGCACTAATTTTGCAAATGGTACCGTTGGCTAGCACTAAATCAGCAATACATTTTGATATTAAAAACGATTTTAATGCTGGCAGTGCGACCGTTGTGGGCAATTTCGAAACATCAGACATGTCGTCGGAAAACAGAGCACCAATTTTGAAAACGGTACCGTCCGTAAGCACTAATCATTAAATTCTGGTACTACAGCGGATGTCGGTGCTTGTACTGCGTCTGCGTATGTGAAGTTGGCGGACGGAAGCTGAGCGTCCGCGTAACTTTTGGATTGAGTACTAATATTGAAAATATTTCAAATATTACCGTTCGCGAGCACTAATTCAGCATTAAATATCGGCACTAGAAAGACAATTAGTGCTCGATTTTCATCCGCTGACTTCACGGAAACGCAATACATTCTAGTCAATTAATTATGCGTAAACTGAAAAAAAAAAAAAAAACAAAAGCTGTTACACGCTTTTTTCAAATAAATATATATTTATATATACAGTACTTATGGATATACAATATTAAATAACTTTTAATTTTCAGAAAATCCAAAAAATATATACACAATAACGTATCTATAAGATACCACCTATGTCTAGTGATACCGGGTTTAAATATGGCATTAAATCCACTGTTTCTCAAGTAAGTAGACGTCTGACATTTCTTATGTACTTATTTATAATTAGTAATTATTATTTCAATACAAAAACAATTAACAATAACGAATGAGAATGCGGACCGCGTCACAGTTAAAATGGAATCGAATATTACCGAACGTTTTGAAACCGTGTAATATTCGATGGTACCGCATTATTGACTGTATCTGCAGTTACCGTTAATTTGCCGTCCGAAAAAATGTCAATAGAAAGCCTATATTGTAATATTACCGTTAATCTAATTGGCCAACTGCAATAACTGACTCGTTGCTGCTGTTGGCCGGTCAGCGACCTGTGTATTTGTTTTAAACTCGATAATGATTTATGATAAAACAGTGTTTGGCTATAATCGGAGCTAGTTTCATACAAGTCTGCATTGGCATAGAACTGCTATGCACGACCATCATTATCGGAGCACTACAGAGCGATCCCAGAGACGAAAAAGAATGGCTGACCATGTCCAACGAGGAAGCGTCTTGGTTCGGTCGGTATTTCGATTATCTATACCCAATACATTTATACAAACGTAACCATTCGTCTTATCTTGAAATAATTTATTCGCAAACAATAATAATACTGTGTTAATGGTCGTTGTTACAATTGCTCGCCCGACTTCCGTTTAAGTTTAGCGGACACATTTAATGGCGGCTAGATTTTAAAATTGCGTTACTACAATGTCTTACATTATACTAAGTTTGGTCTCTAACTACTGTCGGTGACTTGTGAGTTGTTCGCTCCAGCTCGTTTAACATAGACCTCTAAAAGACAGATCCAATAGTACAATATTAGATCACGAATTATTATCGTTCGCTATCTAGTTTGATACCCGCGTCCCGCATATAATATCGATACAATCATTTTCCGCCATATTCGTGGGCATTATAATTTTACCGCTTACACTATATTATTATGGTATTAGGATAGTGCGATACGTTATCTTATGGTAGTTACGCGGACAAGAGAGATCGACTGATAGGGAGAGCACGATTTATCACCATTCTTACAATAAGTCCCACGAAAATGGCAAGAGTAAATTATAATAAATTGCACACAAACGAATCTGCCCGCGGAGTTCTGTGTACAATGGCTCTGTTTTTTTCCGAACTTACACGCGGGTGTGACACACATCAGTATAAAAATTAGAGTATTCGAGGTGTTTGCGTTGTCTATGCCAAGAGTGACACGTATCGTTCTAATTGTGATACGATTTAAAATGATGCTGCGGTATGCGCGAAAAATCCGATACTCTGGTGATAGGGACTCCTCGAAAATCTTGTATATTGGAAGCGACTTATTTCATTGTTAACCAACGAAAACTGTTGTACTGTGAAGGCACATATTTTTCTGTAGAGACACCGGACCAAGAATGGGATGGTATCGGGCTAATTTTTTGACCACGAGCCCGCAAACATGATTCGTGTCGTGTGCACATGCATCTTGGCAAAAATAGGATTTACAATGGGGTGACATTCCCCTCAGACTAATAATTCATATAGTAGCTAATAGGTACCCCTCTACATATATATTTATTTTTAGCCATTGTCGTCTCTCAAAAAAATTGGTTATTTGTGCGTATGATAGCAAGTATAAAATTATGCACGAAGGGTATTTTCATTGAAATAAAAATATAATTGTGACGAACAAGTCGACGAGCGAATTGAGAAGTTTTTTTTTCAGTTTTATAATAGGCCGGCAAAAACTTTTGTCCCTCTCTCAAAAACCGAAATGACGCTACTGATTACACTTCAATTTGGATTCCACGGATATTCTATTTTTATTTAACGACCGTGTCTTTAGTTTTCAATAAATTCACGGCTTACTTAACGAGACTGCGGCGAAAACTCATTATTGTGGCAACGTGAGAACGTATTTCTAGTGACTGCATATTGTGAGCTCCAAATTAAAATGTACAATATTACAAAAATATTATAATTTCTAAATAACATCAAAATACATAAAGTGTGATAAATCGCTGTCTTATAAAAATTACTTGAACGAACGTATAGTAAGTAATATTTTACGTATGTCAATGTCTGGTTGCCGCAAAACCGTGCGTATTCTTTTCAATTTTCGTTATTCGTTTTTCACCAATGGTAAATTTATCGGATATAATATTTATTTTTTATTACAAACAAACGTTTTAACCCGCATCATAAACTACTAAACAATTTAACAAGTAAAAAAAAAAAAATAAATAAACTCGGAGGGGTTTTGGAGAAGCTATTGAAATCTTTGGGAGGTCCAAGCCCCTAAAGCGCCCCAATCTCTTATTTGCGCCTATGACGCCAGCTCAAAGCGATTCGACTGAAAGTTAATTAAAATGTAACGGGACATTGTAGCAACGGCCCCGACCTAATTTTATGTAACCTGAATTAAAACGCGTCTTCCGTCTTATTACGGGTACTGCAGGCAGCCTCTTGTATTTGAGCACGCCGCTGGGAAGCGCGCTGTCTTCGCTGGTGCTCAATCGTCTGGGCCACAAAAACTGCATGATATTATCCAACCTGCCGTTCATCGCTTCGCATCTCATGATGGTTTACGCCGATAACATGGGCACCCTGTACGCGAGTTCGGTGCTGATGGGCCTGAGCATTGGGTTCGCCAGTGGCCCGTTTACCGCCTACATAGGCGAAGTGTGCGAGCCGAAGTTACGGGGCGCGCTCATGTCGGTGACGAATATCTTCTACTTTTTCGGCGCGACGTTGTTTACGACGACCGCCGCCATCACCAAGCAGTGGAGATTGGCCGTGCTGATAAACTTATTGATCCCGGTCCTGACCATACTCATTTTGCTCGTGGTTATTATTTTTTTTATATTATATTGTCAAATACGCTCTGCTCCACCCCCGACCCGTCCAACAGAATATACCGGGTGATCCATTTAAGTCGTGAGCGTACGAGATGTTTCACTTTTAAGTTAGGTCGGAGGAGGGTTAATACATTCCGAAATAATAAGTGTACCCACCCAAATGGATCACCCGGTATGTCTTCTCGTATTATTATGGTTACGGTCTCAGAGAATAAGGTCGGTGCAAACAAATAATTCTTTTGTTTTTTTTTTTATTCATTTACAAATATATAAAATGTGAACATCGTTAAATTAACACGAAAAACTGTCAGTTTTCCAAAACTGAAATTTAAATTATACATTTGAGAAAATTAACATCGACGAAATTCAGTTTGAAGCATTTTCGGGAAAAAATGTAAAAAATTGATCTGATACAACCTCAATTAATAAAAAATAACAAAGAGTAAAAAGCGGGGGGGAGGGGCTCCGACCTTATGTTCTAAAATCGTCACCTAAAACCGTGATAACCGCTGTTTCGAGAAATCGATCTATATTTTATTCTAGAGCCCGGATTCGCCCATGTGGTTGCTGACCAAAGGCAAGACCGACAAAGCGAAACGCACGCTGGGCAAGTTGAGGGGATGGGTAACGTACGAAAAGTGCTCCTGCGAATTTCAAGAGATGGTCGTCTACACTTCCACGAACATAAACACGAGTAATTGTTCGCGTTTTATTTCTCGGTTAAACATAAACATGTATAGGTTAGGTAGTCAAGTAGACAGTGGCGTGGCGTGTACTCCTGAATCGTCTCCCAAATGCAGGCAGGTGACCTTTTTTCACTCCGATCGCCACCGGGTGTTTTCGGAGACAATTCGAGTATACTCAAACCGTCCACTCGAATCGCCTCTCATAGTACGCCTAGACTAATTAATTAATTAATATATCGATAATCGACGTGTACTATCGATTATTATATCGATTTCCGTAGTGTTCAAAAATAAATCTTAATTGATAAATTAAATAGAAATCAGATTTCAAAATTTCAATACTTAAAACTGTTAACAAATACATTTAAACCTCGGAAACATACAACATAACTAATTTAAATTTAAATTTTTTACTATAAAACATAATAATATTTATTTATTGATTGTTTAATATTTTTTATTATTATTAATTACTGTTGTATTGGTACTGTAAAACATAATGCTATTTCGTCTAAATTATTATTTTTTTATTGATTTTTTAATACGTGCAATTTTGATTCAAACATAAACCTATTTGCTTTTTTGATATCGATTTATTACCTAACACCGTGTATTAATGTCTGCTAACGACATGTGTACTAATACCGTGTACCTAATACCTGGTTATGTAAAATTGTTTTTAGTTTTAAAAAAATCGAAATGGAAATCAATTGAATCGAAAAAATTGTCTCGTTAAAGTACCAAGTAGATATAATTTCCTTTCAGAAAAAGCGCTACACTTATACATACATTGGATCAGTATTTCTGGCAGATATTTTGTACACGGTATGGAAATATAAAAAAAAAAATAAACATCATTGTAAAACCAATGCACCCCTCTCTTGATCGCGCATCTAAAGTCAAGTGTTTGTATTGATTTTCTAATATTTAAAACGTCATGCGTACAGACAGTCAAACCATCGAAACCGGCAAAGACGACCACGACGGCGGTGACGACGAGAGTCCGTGGAGACAACTGTTGCGGCCCGAAGTGTACAGGCCTTTTCGGCTGATAATGATTTACTTTTTTTATACGGGTTTGTTGACCGGCACGCCGTTCTCGCCGTATTTGAATAGCGTGTTTTTGCAATTCGGCGCAGATATTGACGTCAAATGGACCATAGTGAGCATTGGCGTTCATATTTTAATACGCGATTGTACAATTATAATTATTTCGAATTTAAATATTAAATACCGCATCCGTCTCTGTATTGATATTACGCAATTTAGACACTCTTGTACATCTCAGCCATGTTCGCGGGCATACTGACGGTGTTTTTGGTGAACATACTCGGCAAACGGTTCCTCACATTGTTGACCGTGTTTATTTGCGCCACGTGTTACATATCCATCGGTTTAATCGGCCGGTATAGGACGAGTCCAAATCAGATAACGTCGTGGTTGATGCTGCTGCTGTATCTCACTAGTGTTTTCGTATCGGCGTTCGGTGTACTGCCCATCTCGTGGATTCTTCTGACCGAAGTGTTTCCCATGAAGTAAGTACAAGGTTGAATATTAATATTAAATTATACTACGCCCGCGTGAGCAATGCTCGAATTAGAAAAATAAAAGAAGACAGACTACGAGACTTGAAAATAAAAAAACAAAAGTCCCTATTTAATAAGGCTAGCTAAGTTTCGGCTTACATAAATATTTATTTGAGATTTTTATGATACGATAGATTTACCATATGGTGTGTGGTTTTATGTTGATTAATGATAGAAAATATACAGGCGCGCATGTTGTCTAATTGATGCAATGGGATCGATTTATTTTTATTTCCTTTGTTGTTTTTTCTATAATGGAAAAACGAAACCGAACGACGTTGTGAAAACGGTAATATTTACAAAATAACGGTTTCTGTTATATTCGATTTTATTTTATGGTTGTGAAAAGTAATCGCAGTGGCCTGACATTTCACCAAAAACGTCTATAATATTCTTCCGAGACACGATACAATTTTAAAAATCTCTTGACAAGTGTTTAGTTATTTATGGACATTTGAAATTTTCGGGATTTTTAGATTTTCGTCCATGCGAAATTGAATATAAGGTTTTTAATGAGTTGCAATTGTAGTTGTGAAAAATAAAAAAAGTCGACCGATATGTATTAATGTATTTATAACTGTTTAAACTTGAAATTTTTATTGCGTATGCATTTTGATAAATTTAAAAAAAAATATCGTCCCGTGCATTCAAATTAAGATAAGTAGTGGAGGTATCCTAAAGTGTCTGAACAATTTTTTGAGGTACGGAGTCCCCCTATGCCCCATTCCAATTCGAACTCTACGTGTATTTATAATACAGAGTGATAATTATTTTGTTCAAAACAACCTACTGATTATTTTATGCAGGAACACAACTGAAAATTAAAATTATCAAAATTAATTTGCGTTAAAAAAATTCATTCCGTCTCTGTGGGTAAGCATGTGAGGCATACAATTCAAACATATACTTATGTTAGCAAGAATTTGTATTTTTAGCTATATTTTTTTTATTTTATGGTAAATCTTAAAACGTCCCCACACGTCATATAAGACGATACAGATATTTATTTGTTCAAATTGTTGCGACTCGCCCGACGATAGCGTCAAATGGGATAACTCTGTAACTTTTGCACGGGCATTTACGGTTTACACAGTGTTATTTATCGCCGATTCAGAATTTCAATTTTTAAACGCTATTTGTATGCGCGTCCTTCGTAATATTCGAACGCATGTGCAACATGTACAATATACATGTGCAACCAGTATGTACGTAATTTAAAGACGCATGTGCGTTTCACTGTGTGTATTATAATGTTATACTATGACAATAAAATTACATTTTGTATTCCTAACGTTGATTTCAGGAGCCGAAATCTAACTTGCGGCATTTGCGCGACGCTGAATTACATTCTTTCCTTCTTCATGACCAAGTATTATCCGGATTTAGTCACCGTAATGGATTTTTACAATATATTTACCGTGTTTGGCGTTACTGGTTTGTTCGGGTTTGTATATTTTTATTTTTATCTCCCTGAAACGGAAAACAAAACTTTACAAGAAATATCCAAATTTTTCAAATAGTTTTTGTGTAAATCAAATTGCAATTTTTTTTGTTTAAATGGTACGTGTTGTAACATAATAAAAACACTTTTGTGCGTGTAATTTTCTTTTCCTCCTTACATCTTGATATACGTGGTACAGTGATTTATTTAGTTATTTACTATGCATTGAGAAAGGAGAAAAAAAATGTTAAAACTATAAACACATTTTTTTTTTTTTTAATGCGTGTGTTGATTTTCGGAATAATTTTAAGTTTTTTTTTTTTTTTTCAATTTTGATTTAATACTTTGCTAGACCGATTAATAATAATGATCGGGAGCCGTGAATTGGTCACCACTGAGCTAGACAATGACGTATCACACGCAGTCTTGTTAAATATTCGAATAATTGTATTTAAATACACTTTGACAGTTGTATTTTGAACACTTTAAAAATCATTTTATTTTTATCGTGCTTGTATAATACGTGTCCTCTGGGGGTTTCAACTATTCAACCCAAACCCTACCGTTTTTACGATAAAATTTTGCCATTTTTTTTTTTTTTTTTTGTAGTATCTTATTGTAGTAAGTATAGCTGCGTTTGTAGTATGGTATTGTATTGTTACGCTGGTGCCTAGTATTCGGTTTTCTATATTGTCTAGGAAATAATTACATTTCTATAATACGAAATATGTTGGGGGTGGGGGAAATTCGACTCTACAGCGACGACGGAGCTCTGCTGCTCGCGGGTTTTTTTTGTTTCGAATTTTTTTTTCCCCGTTCACGTTCGAATATACATACGTATAATACGTTTTCGAACAGACGCCGAATAATATCCCGACGACGACGGCGACGGCGGCGGCGGCGGCCGCGGCCGCGGTGTCTGCGGTCCTTGACTATCACCCGAAACGCCTTGACCGTCCTCGACGCGGTGACGCGGAGTCAAAACACACATGCAGTATAAGTTACGACTCCGTATTAAAAACTGGGTACACTGGTACAGCTCCGTACAGATGACGAATACGATGCAATGATCTTCCGGTGTGCTTAGGTACTGCGATAATATTCTTACGCGCCAAATCCGTTTGTCCGTTTAACCGCTGTAAACACTGAGGGCGCGATAAATTTTAACCCGTTCGCCCGTGTATCGGATACGAACAGTATTTCGACTCTGCCGACAAAAATATAACCGTCGTTTCCGGTCGCAATATGGCCGAAAGCTACAATAAACCGCCGAAGCTGGACGAGGAGAGCGGTGCCTGCTGCAGCAACAACGCGGACGAGTACAACACGTTTAAATCGTCCTTTGCTCAAGTACGTGTCATTATATTATTTTCACGTTTAGTTTCGAAATGTCACGGCTGCGGATCGGAAAATGATCTTCAAGCGTCCCTGCGCCGATAAGTTGTTGAACCGATAATTGATTGGCGCGAACAGCCGTTATTTTTTACGGAACACCTAACATTATTATGTTTATAATTTAAACTCACAGGCATTGATCATTCATAATCCGACTAACCGAAAAATGCGTACGATTTTGTCGTTTGTCAAAAATATAATTGAGAGAGGTGTAAGAGTATTTCGGTCGAATATTCGTGGTATAAGGAATTGTTTTTTTTTTGAATTGTCTCAATGCGGCTGTAATAAAGTTTGACGACGAGCTTTCGTTCGTCGATGTGAACTCTATTACAGCTATAATATGCGATAATTTGTACAACAAGGAAAACGATATTATATTTCACGATTAAAAAATATTTCTGATAACAATAATATGATGTGTTTCGACTTTTTGAGAACGCACAGCGAGTTTTAGGGTATTAGCCATACGTAATATCGGTATTGGTATAATATATGAAATGAAAAAAACAAATTGTAAAAAAAAAATGCTGATACTGCCGATGGGTGACCAATGATTTCGTTCATGTGTAATTATGTGTAATTTATATATCTGTACGCAACGATGAACGATTCTGAGCATTATTAATCGTATTTTTAACCTGATCTGACCTGACCTTACTTTGTTGCCAAGGGAACCCAGAAATCGATAAAAATTGCCTGAAATCCCATTCGTTAGAAAAGCTAAAAGGAAAATCAAATAATGACCTCCCTAATACACCGACTCGATCAGCAACTGGTACAAGAAGGTAAACGATTTTAATTGGTGCAAGATTTCTGGTTGGATTATTTTTCGCGGACACAAAAAAACACACATAGTAAAACCAATACGTTTCTCGTTTCGCCTAGAAAATCGCAAACATCGTTGGCTCCGCGCTTGAATGAAAAAGTCTACCGTGATGTTCCATCACGGACCACGACTCTGAATGCGTATAATAAATTATCGGTGTATTTTGCTAGAAAAGTACAAACTGATAGCGTGTGCTTTGTTCAACAGTATGAACAGTCTAAAACGCGTGTGAATTTAACTTGTATTCGATTTAAAGTACACTCTTGATATACATCAACCCATTTACCGTTAGTTATCTGCAAACTAAAAAGTATAAATTAAATTATGTAAATAAATGTTTTTAGTACATTCTTTTCGACCAATCCAAATCGTTTTGCCCAGTATTTTATAAAACGACCTATAATGTTATTTTAAATTTTTTTTTTTTTCTACATTTCCAACGGAATTATAAAATACATTAAAATAAACCACACGTTTATTAGCCCTTTGAACGCATATTTCGGTCCGCGTTCTCTTAATTTATTCGCAACCATCAATGCGATTTATTCGGAAACGGTTAAACGTATAACGATTAAAAATACAACATCTACACGAGCGCAAATTATAGACTGCGGAATCGCCTACGTACGACTGCGTGCAATGAGTACAAAACATTGGTCGTATCAAAAAAAAAAAAAAAGAAAAAACCAACTGACAAACAAATATGAAAATAAAATATTTTACAACAATATATTGGAAACCGGATTAATGATCGAACGAATAAATGTATTATTGTCAACAACTCGTTGACTGTACGACTGTATGCGACCAAACTTCACGTTCGGTTTTTAAACGCCGCACACAAATTATCGCGAAAGTAAAAAATTATCAATTGCATCGGTTTTCGCTTCATAAAAGTGTGTAAAAAACATGTTTTTGTTTTTGTTTATTTAATCTATACTGCCGGCCATACGCAAACCGATTATTATTCTTCCGATGTTTGATACGGAAAATGCGTATCAATGTTTAGTTTTGGATCGTGTGGCCAATACGTGTCCAAATAATAATATTTGTTAATAACACCGAACAGTGATAATATTCGATGTAGTTAATTTATATCATAAATCTATTATTCATCGTTTATCATTAAATAATTACTACAAATAAGCGCGTGCGGCGAAATATTAAATTAAATAAGAATGGGTTACTTAATGGAACCGCGTAAACAGTTTTCTTTTAAGGGGGGGGGGAGGGAAATTTGATTTTATACTCAGGGTGTCCCACGGAGATCTTATCAAAACTTCGTTTTTTTTTAAAAAATACTAATCATTACTAGAGCCTTGCGCTACGTTAAATTTATTTTTAACTAAAAATAAACTCCGGTACTATAAATTTTGATGATGGAGTCATTAATTTTCTGAACAATTTTCGAATTTTATGGAAATTTAAATAAAGTTTTCATTTTCACTATATTGACATTATCGATTTACCGATTGGTCGATGAAAATGAACTCTGATGAGATTTTATCGGGTTGAATTTCAATATGCATTTCATCGTGTTGATGTTGCGGGACAGTAGCGAATCTATAGAAGAGGGGAATATGGAGTCCAGGGAGTCTGGTTCCTCCAGACAACGATATAATTTCAGTAAAATATCTAAAAAAAACGAGCGATCTATTAATAAATAACTTTGAAATGCATATGATTTTTCAGGACCACTCCCTAAAAAATGTCAAAAATGGCTGCTGGAGCAGGGTGATTTTTTTAGTTCTAAAGACCAAAATTCAACCAGCCCTGCAGATAACCCCGAACGAATCTAAGGGCAATATCGAACATTTTTATCAAGGGTATGACTTTCAATGACCGCCCCTACGGTTTTCATGCTCAAATGTTACAATTTCTTTCTTTCTTTTTTTCTGAAGTAGTATCATATAATATATATTATAATTTAGTGGTGTTGTATACTATCACGGTACCTCTAGAATAATTAGAATTAACAGAATATTTCCATAATGCGAAACGAGAGGTGGAAAAGTGGGGCGACAAAGTCAAGATTCGACGGGAGTTCTGTTCTTGTGAGTCATTTTGCCGGGCCGCATGTCGGCCCCGATCAGATTCGAACGTAAATGTAATTACTTATTATTTTTATTCGTTTGGATAATCCAGTGGTGACCAACTACGGCCCACGGGCCGGGTCCGGCCCACGGTCATTTAATAATAGGCCCGCCAAAGCATTAAATAGAAATTGAAAAAAAGAAAATAACTTCAAATTTCAAAAATTAACACTCACATTAAAAATACTTAACATTTTTTTTTTCTCGTTTATAACGATCAATAAATGATGAATAATTAAATAAAACGCCGCACAGTGAGATTATGTACCTACAATAAAATACAATATTCCATTAACTTAATGGCCCGCCAAGAATTTTTGTTAAAAAAGGTAAAAGAAAAGTCGGTATCACTACTGGGATAACCGAAACGATGGTAAACGTTTTGACTGTTGCACTCTCGATTTCGATCATTTACATTAACAACGGCCTTTCCAAAGCCGAAAGGTTGCGATATTGTAATATTTATCAAGAAACAGACCGGGGTCCGCGCGTCATTGGAGCGTATAGAAAGCCGGAACAACGCCGTCAAGGATCTTTGGTATTAAAATAATAATCTCAGAAACTAGATTGATGTCGACCTCACGCTGTGCGCTTAAATAATATAATAATAATAATATTTTATCGTAGCAAAATACAAGTATCATATACGCGAATGCCGTTCGTACACACGTGAATATAGAACACATGAATACACGTCGATGTCGGGCCGCGCGGGCACTTCTTATAGTATACGAATGCGTAATATCCGCCGTCTCGTCGTGCCCGACAGTCGAACGAAACGTATTTCAATATAAATTTTCAAAAAAAAAAAAAAAAAAAAAAAAAAAAAAAAAAAAAAAAAACGAGAACAAAAAAAGTATAAACGATACAATATAACGAGGTCGGGCGGTATGGATAACGGCCGCGACGCGAATCGCGCAAAAAGTTCGACTTCCGACGGACCTTGTCCGCTCGCGGGTATAACGTTATAACTAGGGTTAGGATGTTTCTATGCATTTAAAATCTGCAAAAAAGCGTTTAAATCGTCAAAAAAATCACATAAAAGTATTTAAAAAAGCAAAAGTAGCAGAGGATTCTTAAAGTCCCTCCTCTAACGGTTTGAATCCTACTTTTTTTTTTCAATAACACGTATAAATTTATTTGAAAAAAATTACTATGTAATAATCATTTTTGTAGTTAAAAATAGTTTTTATTTAATAAGTTAGAATCATTAAAGGACTTTCAAACCCCTCTACCATTATATTTCTTTTAAATATTTTTTAACTTATCTTTTAAGACTTTTTTTGACGTTTTTAAGCTCGTTCTGTGGATTTTAAGTGCATAAACGTCCTAATCCTAATTATAACATTACGATTTCGATCGAATTAAAAACGTCATGTAAAACTACGATTGTACGGTCAAAATTAAAAAAAAAAAAATCCGTAATCGCACTGCTTACACTACTAAAGAGCAGAGGCGTGGTGAGTACGTAGGCGGAAATCGGAGGGAGTTTGGAAGGAACCGAGCCGACCCCCAGGAGTTGAAAATAGAGGTTGCAAATATTCATAAAGCCACCGACAATAAATATTGTATTATAAACGTATTATTGTACAATTTATTCGTGAGAAATATTACCTTTTTTTAAAACCGTTTAAATTTAAAATGTGCAACAAATAATAATGTTTTTCTAAAAAATTAAAATTCATAATTCTAATTGTCATATTAAAGTGTGCAATGTAACGTAAAATTATACAATTGCACTCGAAGAAAATTGAAATATATAAAAAAATATTCTTAGTAAGGAAGTTCTTTGTGAGCGGTGTTATAAAGTACTTACATCATAACATTTTCGGTTCGAGTAATTATTAAATCATAGTCTTTTTCTTTTTTAATAATTTCTGTTTTGAATGTCGTTTTAAACTCTCCTCTCCTCTCCCCCCCTCTCCCAGAATTACGCCGCATTTCCGCCAACGGTTGAGTGCACATTTCCGGTCACTGGAATCAAGTGAATTCCGCTGACGGGGAAGTACTTAAAACTAATGGCGATTACCAACACGGGCAGATAATATCGGCTCACGGCTTTTTTCCGGTAATGTAGAAAATATTTCGGCTGGCCACTACTCAAAATCAATAATCTACAATGTTCCGCGATCGAGCGATAGCAGGTAGGTACGCGGTGGATGAATCATAAAACAAACTGTGTGTGAAAAAAAAAAAACACACACACATACGTAACTAAATGTAAACAAAAAATGTAAAAAAATCGTTTCAAATCGAAATCGAATAATCGTTGTGCAGCGTGATTAATGACGCGCTATCCGGTAGATATCTGCAGCTGTATAGTGGTAATAATATCGTAAACCGTCGTAAGGTCACACGACGTAAAAAAAAAAAAAAAAAAAAAAAAAAAAAAAAAAAACGAAAGTTCAACCGCGACTGCGCGTCGTCGCGCGGGCGTGTGTATTACGTACGTCGCGCACGCCGCGAGATCTATTGTGCGAAAAAGGAACCGGACCGCCGTAGATCGCTCACGTACGCTTTGTTCCGGCCCGATGTATTCCGCCGAAAACGCAACGCAAAACGGATTTCGTTTGTCGTTCTTGCGGTCGGCTTTCTCCGATCGCGCCGCGGCCGCTTGCCGCGCGCAATAACGGCGCGCGTCGCGTACGGGAGGAACAAGACGGAAAACGAAAAAAAAATGACGCGCGCAACGTCGCGGCGAATGGGTTACCCGCGTAATACGATTGCGTTGCGCTATGCGCGCCGCGACGAACGGACGAGAGGAACGGCTTAGTGCGGCCTTCTAGGGTAAAATCGCCCCGGGCGCGACATTCGCGCGTACAACGCTGTACTATTATTATTATTATTGTTATTACTGTCGGTCGACGAGAGACGAAAAAAAAAAATAAAAAAACGACGATAATAATATCGTAATACTCCGAGTACCGGCTTGCGGCGTTAACGATAAAAAAAAAAAACCGCAGACACAAAAAACCGACCGGAACGGCGTCGCGCGAGAAACGCATCCCGATCGGAACGTTGTGGCGTCGCGTCCGGCGAGGGTCTAGTTCAGATTGGGAACCGTCAGGCGTGCGCGTAGGCCCCGATTTTCGGCGTTTCGCAAAACGCGAGCCGCCGAGCTCGCGAAACACTGATAAAAACGCACTCAAATTGTTGAAACGCGTCTTGCCAACCGTTTAATTGAAAATGTGATATTTCCACTCGAAATTCTAAATTGAATTGCAACCGCTTAAAACGCGTGTGCGCGCATTCCGCAAATATTCGATTCGGCTCGTAGTACGGTTTTTGCGGACCCCCCGGCATGCGTAGCCGCTCGTTCTCACCCATCGATCCGGGCCCGGCGTTTGGGGTAGGCAGCCGCGTACCCCGCGTACCGCCTGCGCGCGCCTATTTTCGGAGCGCGACGAGGAATGTATTGGTTTTACGATGGTATTTATTTTTTTACATCCGTTTTCCTAATAAATGGGAAAAACCGTAGAAAAACGGGGAAATTCACGAAATAACAGTGTACTATTTTTAAATTGCAAATACATTACGGTCTTACAAAACGTGTACAACCGAACTCCGTTCAGAATCGTTTTTCGTTATCAACGATTGAGCAACGAGTTATACATTAAATTCTCCCTCTACCTTCCCGTATTCTTTACCTATACAACAGTGGCCCGCCCATCGTGCGAAGTATGTCCGTTTTTTTTTTAATCGTCTTTTATAATTTAATAAATTAATTACAAACTACTAAACAATAGTATGATACTTTATAAACCGAAAACACGATTAATGCGATGGATACCCATTCTGATAAGTCAATCTACAATTTGTGTTGCACTAATACAAAACAAAAAGACGGATATACTTCGCACTTGGGTGGGCCACCGTTGTAGGTGAGAAGTTAGAAAGTCAGTAATGGGGAAATTTAATGTTTATCTGTACGCAACGATTAACTATTGCCAATGAAAAAACGATTTTGATCGGAGTTCGTTTGATAATGTTGCTTTATCAACGAAACTCCGTTTTATGCGTTATTTATTTGCATTCGTAATATTTGTTTAATATTTTGTATCCCGTTTTCCCGTTTATTATGAAAACAGTTGGGAAAATTGAAAACGACCTCCCCATAAAGTACCTCCATAGTAAGATTTCCTTTCAGAAAAGTGCTATCATTGTAAATAGAAGGGAAATCGCTAGTAGGAAAGTTGTTCACAGATGAAAAAAAAAAAAATACAACATAAACATCATTGTAAAACCAATACATTCTTCGCTCCCTCCAGAATCTAAATGCTTTAGCGTGCATTGTGCACAATCATTCAAAAATACCGTTTGGTGTAATAACAAGAAAAATGACCGGAGACATGTTTCTTGCCCAAATAATAATCGCATGTTTAAAAAATAAAATCGAATAGATAAGTTACACGATTTTTCATGGGTTCTACACGCATTACTCGTTTACATTTTAAGTACCCAAGTGTATTATTTTACGGTGCATCAACAAAATAGCTTCGAATTGTATTTGTTTACTTTTTTCGAAAATTAGATTTCGGCCTACATTGCCGGGAGAATCGTTATATCAATTATGGGAACTGTATCCGAGTATATAGTAATTTTTGTTCCTCCTGGACAATTGTTCTGGACAAATTGTTATTACACTGTTAAGCATGATAATAATATATTATTGGAATATTATACGATATGATTGATACAAAATGTAAAATATCTTATTTAAAATCAAGTTATTTTCTTGCGAAACACTTTGAAACGTTAATGGTAATAGGGATTAGTATACCATAGAACAATACGATGCCTAGATCAATGTTGGATAACAATATGGCGGTCCGTTTGTATAGATAACACTGATGGCCAGGTCAAACAATCAACACGCATTACGCGGTTGACCGCTCTTTTATGGGCTCTCGTGCATTCACTATCAACAAATCGCGCAATCATTACACTAGAGTAATAAATCAATGTTGTAAATCGTAATTATTGATTTTTTTTTTTTCCAAAAATAACGTTCAAATTGACGTTTTAAACTATAATACTAATTGATACGCCGTTTGTTAATAACATCGTTGATGTTTGCTTGGCTCTCAGTTTCTAGTCATAGCGTTTTACGATAAATTAACAGATAAGTTAACCATGGTTATCTTTTTTACAGTGAATTCGATATAGGCTATTGTTTTCATTACGCACTTAGGCATGTGTATTTTCCCACTCGGAATACACTTCTCGGTTAGTAAAAACCGATTAGATTTCCGCGTGCAATTTCTATACCTTCAGAATGTTTTTTATTTTAGATTCCGAGCGTAGCGAAAGAGCTATTGGTTTTAGAATGCTGTTTATTTCTTTTTCTTTCTCTGTTCTTTGTTCTAATTTGTGGACACGCTTTTTCCTAGTAAACTTGCTCTAATGTAGAAGTATAGCATCTTTTTTGAAAGGTCAAGTTGTCTAGATTGTACTTTAAACTGGTCATTTTTTTGATTTTCGACGCCATTTTTAAATAAAAGCACTTAGGTGGGATAAAACGTAGGAAAACGTAGAATTTCACGATTCAATTATTTTATAAAAACACGGATGCCGTTTTCTACCAGAAAAAATGATTTAATCGAAAAATCACAGAATACCTTTTTTGTTGTTTTATTGATTTACTTTCTTACGGTGCAATCGACAAAACTTTTGAGCCACTTTTGAGTTTTTAAGAAGTTTTAATTTTTGGGAGTTTTTTACTGTAATTCGGTTATAAATACACGTAGAAACTTGAAACTAGATAATAATACTTATATTAGAATTAATTAGACGTGGCAAAATTTCCAAAATTATCGGACGACTTTTTTTCTTTAATAAACGTTTTGAAATCATATTTAAATGAAAACGGAAAAAAAAATTACGGCACTTCAAATTATGTACTACCGAACTACGCTCCGAATCGTCTTTCGTCAAGCAATGTTTTATCGTTCCTCACAGATATAAATGAAACGACCTTATGTATCCTACCTTTTCAACTTTTTAATTTCATATTTAATACTTAAAGAATGTACAACACGCATGTGTTGTATCCGTCTTATAAACGGGCGACAATTGTATAATTTTCGTTCGTCGGCGACAACTCTGTGATGCCAGTTTTAATATTAGAGTGAATCGACTTGTTATCATACTTAAAGACAGCAAAATTATCTGTGTGATGTTGACATTATTTTTTCATAATTTTGATTTTTAAGCGAAACACGAGTGTGTGAAGTATTGCTATTTAAAAGTGCTTGTATCTCGCTTAAATATTTTTGAAAAAAACGACGACACGACACAGATAATATTGTTGTCTGTTATGTTTAAGACGGATACAGCGCGTGCTCGTGTAACTTCCTCTCAAAGGCGCGGATTTCAAAATCTGACAAATTTCGACTATAATATCGTTGATTGATTTGTGCATTTATAGATCGGTACGATTTGCGTGCAAAACGTGATTATGTTGGGATTCGGGATGTCGCTGGCCATACCCACAGTAGTCATAGGGGAACTGATGTCGGCGGACGGTGGCGGAGCAGCCGGCGATAACGACCTGGCCCTGACGGAAACGGAAGCGTCGTGGTACGGTAGCGTACTGCTGGTGTGCCACCCGACGGGCGGACTGCTGTCCGGTGTCCTGCAAGAGCTGATCGGCCGGAAGTGGTGCATGGCCGCGGTCAGCGTGCCGCAGCTGGTCGGCTGGTACGTGCTGTGGAAGGCCGAAAACGCGTTCGAGCTGTACGTGTCGTGCGTGGCCCTCGGCCTGAGCATGGGCCTGAGCGAGGCGCCGGTCCTGACGTACGTGGGCGAGACGGTGGAGCCCAGGCTCAGGGGTCCCCTGTCTTCCGTGTCCACGTTCACCATCATGTTGGGCTCGTTCGTGGCCTATCTCATGTCCACGGCCCTACCGTGGCGGACCATCGCCATGATCAATATGGCCGTGCCAATCGTGTCGTTCGCAGCCGTCGTGCTCCTGGTAAGTGTACCCGTACAATAATAAAGGTATTCATCTCCCGATCGGGAAACTATGGAGCTAATCGCGTCTGTAATATGTGTACGGGCAAACTAGTGATGGAAAAAATCCGGAATCTGAAAGTGTATTTAAAATCATGATTTCGGATTTTGGATTATTTTTAGTCATTTTTCATACGATTCAAAACCTAATCATAACTCTACATTTTGAAATGCTCTTGTTTAAAGTCCGAAATCCAGATTTTTCCGATTCTCGGATTATCCGGATTCGTGTAACATTCATGGCGTCGTTTTCGGTAACGGACGTTTCGTGTATACTTAATATATATAGACTCCTGAATCGCCAGTATGGCTGCTGTCGAGGAATCGGCCATCTGAGGCGAAGAAATCGTTGGCCTACCTGAGGGGATGCGTGAGCACCGATGAAGTGGAAGACGAGTTTTCTGAACTGTCCATCTACACGGGATTCGACAAGTCCGTCGATCCCGAACAGTACGCCGATTGCGGAATGGACCAGAGGCGTCTGTCGTACGTCAAGTACTTGCAGATCAACACCAACGACACGGTCAGCGGTTAGTGAAATTTCCGTAAAATTATATTTACAAATAGGACTGTGAATTTGTTGAAAAGTGCATTTTTTTTCCAGTGTTTTCTAAACCATAATTTTTTAACGTAAAATTGTCAATCAACTTACAACGAATTCAATTGTGAAACTTATATTTGGCATTCGTTTGAATTTGTCAACGTTTTAAATTTTTCGAGTCGTTAGTTAACTTTTAAAAACATTTATTTCTCCTTTTAATTCATATTGTACCGCTATTCTTTTTTTCCCGTTTCTATTTGAATCGCATATTTTTTAGTTAACACATTCCATAAGTATTCTCAGCATCCTTATGTATACTTGATATTCTCGTTTTAAAATATTTTACACGAGTTATATACGAGTATGTAAATGTATATGTAAGAACAATGTTTGATTTGTCAGAAATCAAAATAAGAATAATCGCATTTAATCGCGTTTTTAATGCATTTTTAAAGTTTATAGTGCATTTAATTCACAGCCCTATTTATAAATACTTATAGAAGTAAACGAAAAAAACAATGTTTGTAAAAAGTCACCGATAATTTAAAGTTTGTTTTCGATTTTTTTTTTTTTTTTTTTGTTCATAGCCGAAATGGACATGCTCGCCAACCGCAAACAAAACACTAGTTGGCTGAACGCGGCGAAGGACTTTTGGACACCAGAACTCCACCGGCCGTTCCTGTTCATAATGCTATTCTTCTTCTTCTGGTCGTTCGCTACATTCATACCGGCCAAACCGTATCTCATATCCGTGTTCCAAGATGTTGGTTTGCCATGCACGGCTCATTGGACGCTGGTCTGTTGTTATATGTTTACTTTAAACAGTTGATTTTTTTCATTTCGTATTCAAGCCAAAAACCTAAAACGGAATGGACTGATAGTCCCCTGTACCCTGATAGAGAATGTTTAAGGAAATCATAGACGACAGGCGTGAGAGAGAACAGCTGATTTTCTTCCTACGCCAGACGTCAAAGTACTCGGGAAGAGCTCAGCCCGTGATTGAACATTAAAATATTTCCACCATAGCTCCGCCCGTCGGCACGCATGGACCGACGACTGCAGATAAAATTAATAATGACCATTTCATTTCCATGATGTTTGTTTTTTTTTTTCTTGTGTGATATCTTAATGTTTGTCTGACCCAATCTGAAAACGTTGGATTTCATATCTCTCCTCCTTATACTACAATAGTATAAAGAATGATACATATATATATTTTTATATGATTTTCAAAATGATAACTCATGCATAGAAACAAGTTCCTTACAATTAACGATAACAGTACTTCGTTTTATATTTTTAATTTAATTCGTCTCATCATGTAGTAAATCTCTCACATTGAGTTTTTAGAATATTCGCCTCACCATTAATTAGGTTCACGAGCCACCCCACTCCTGGTGAATTCACATTTAAATACGCAAATACTCTAGTCTCTTTATGCTACACCACAGTTTAACAACTAATAATATAATATAGGTTATGTCGTTTGTAATAATATATTAAGCGTTTCAATTTTATTTTCATAGGTTTACACTTCGATTTTAACAATGGTAGGAACGTTCATGAACATGTTCACCGTCGGTAAGTTCGGCAAACGTCCTATCACATTGGTCTCGATGGCGCTCTGCGCTTTCTCGATGCTCGGAATCGGAATGCACATGGTCGTCGAAAAGTATTTCTCGTTTTCGTGTGCTTGGATACCGATGGTATTGATGAACACCCTGTTCTTTTTCTCGGGCTACGGCGTGTTTCCCATTCCCTGGATGCTAGTCAGCGAAATTTATCCGACAAAGTGAGTTTAACCGCAATAATTTTTACCGTCTAGTCGTAGTCGCGATACGGCCACGGCATGCCGGGTTATGTAAGGTTAGTTAGGTTAGGTACTATTGATTTTCGTGGCGGGCAAACAAGATAATTTCAGGGGTGACGATCGTCTCGTCACCCTCTCTCAACGTCGCCACTCGTAAATAGGACACTTTAAAAGTCCTAAACGACTAAAGATGTTGCATTTTAATTTCTTCTGAACATTTTCAGAAAACATTCAATTATGACGAAAAGTACCGAATTTCATGATTTTAAGTCAACATTTTTAAAAACATTACTGAAAAAATTGAACTACAAGAAATATATATTTACCGTGTAAATTTTGTCATAAATTTAAATTTAAAACGTTTTTACAAATAATTTTAAACGTATAGTTGTTTTTTTTTCTCTATCAATAAAATGATACAACTTATGATAAACTATATATTACCGAAAATTTAATTCGTATGAACCGAAAATTACCCATTGGGAAAAGAGTAAAAGTTTATTTTACAGTTTCGTTAAAATATGATCTTAAAACGGTCATAAAAAACTCCTATATTACTCTAAACTTTTGTTTTTACCTTTAAGTTAAACTATAGTGAACCTCGAATTAAATTTTCAAGCATTTGTGTTTAACCAAACCATTGTATCCACAGAATACCTCTACAAACCTCTTTTTTGTTCAAAGCAAGATTTCTAATAGAAAAGTTCCCTTCTTACGCTAAGAATCTAATAGCATATTTTTAATCTCCAATAAGCGAAACGGATATCTATTTCACTCGGTTATCTTTTGGACTTGCCGAAATCCTATAACATCCTAACCCCGGAGATACGTGTATTTTTTTTCAGGGGTCGCGGCATAGTGAGCGGATTGACGGCCGCGTTGGCGTTTCTGATGACATTCGTCTTGACGAAATGGTTTTTGGAAATGGAAGCGTGGTTCACCCTCGCCGGGTTATTCATCGTTTACGGGGCCATAACCGTGGTCGGAACCCTGTACCTGTACGCGTGCATGCCCGAGACGGAAAACAGAACGCTACAGGAGATCGAAAAATTTTTCGTCGGAGATCTGGACGATTACAGCCATGATCGCGACGAACTAAACGCATAATAACGATTTTTACCTACGAGGATCCGAAACGATATTCCTAACAACATTTATTTTAGTTTTCGTCTCGAACTTCGAACGAGTTCGATAAATTATTGTATTTTATGCATCGATTGTACCAATCTGTATTTATTTATTTATTTATTTATTTATCAATTTATTTATTTATTTATTGTTCAATAAACCGGGACACCAGTTATTAAAATTCTATAACATTTTTGATACTGCAATTATCTTAGTAACCAAATATCTTATATCAATAAGGCATTCGGTAAAAATGTAATAATTATATTTTAGCAACTTTGTTTACTAGTTTAACGAACAAACCGTTTCGACGATATTGTTTCCTGTGATTTGTTTGATAACTGAATGCACTTTTTGATAAACAGGTTGACAAAATCAGCAAACGATTATTCGCATCTTACGTTTACTGTCTTCGGTTACTATAGACTATAGTTATCAACGTAAAAAAAAACGACTCGGCGTAATTCTAACCAAGTAGTAAACAATGCAGTAAACTATTAACCGAAAACTGCATCGTCGAAACACGCCTAATATTATTTAGTGTTGACTGAAGATAAATTATGTTTGTTACTATATTCGTTTATCTACAGTAATACGCGAGAAATATATCATCAAAATCCGCTTGACGCTGCACTGCATTCGTAGGCGCGAGAACAAAATTGTAGCCAGCATAAGCGTGCGCACGGGGAAGGCAGGAGAGGCGGCTGCTTCTTCCACAAGATTTTCCGCCAAAAAATGTTTTATATAAAAACATGTTAGTTAGATATACATTTTTTTTTTTTTTTAATATTTAACCCTAACGTAGTAGCCTTAATTTTGGGCATTGGCGAAAGCAGAGGAGGGGTCTTTGGTCTTTGAAGTATTTCTATCCTCTTCTCCTGCAAACTGTCCCGAAATTAAGAGCTCATCAAATAAATACTAAGTAGCTATACACAATATAATGATATAATGGGGACTTCAGCTCCAATCCAAAAATATTTGAACTTTTTGTAAGTATGATTACTGTGTAAAGATTGATTTCAAAGACTGGTGTCTCGCCTTACAAGAAGGCCTGCCCACGCTTATAGTCACCGTCTTGCAAATGTACATCATGGCGGATTTAAGTTCACTTCGGATAACTTCGCGCTGTTATGTTAATATTTATATTATAAATAACAATAGTGACCGATTATCAAACTTAAAAAGAAAGGTAAGATAACGGGGACGGGTGCAGCCACAATCACGATAAACCATTGCTTACGAAAAAACGATTCTGAGCGGAGTTCGATTTATAGTGATGCTTTAAAAACAATATATATATATATGCCATATTACAGTAAAATAATTCCCGATTTTCTCATGTTTTATCTTGGTTTTTAAAATTTGACGAGAAAACTCCGGAGAAAATAAATAAAATGACCTCTTTAATGTACTTCTTTTGTGAAATTTCTTTTTAGAAACGTTACTGTCATTAAAAGTTGGATCAAAATTGCTGGTAGAAAAGTTGTTCACAGTAAAAAAAAAAATAAACATCTTTGTAAAACCATAAGCTTCTTCGCTCCACTCAGAATCTAATATAGGAACATTATCCGTGCCATATGGGCGCTGGTTATCGATAAATTCATTTTTTTAAAAGAGTTATGATTATGTGAAATATCATAATTTAATAACGCTTGAATCTCGTTTGAAAATTAAAAAATCAAAATACTAACGCTGCCGTTCAAATAATATTTATTTTCCTGTTAGCCATACTATTTTGATGATAACGCGCAGAGACTACTGCAATATTTAATAAACACACAGCGGACAAACTATGTACAAATGTACTCGTAGACGACGGTCTATTGTGTTTTAAAGTAGTGTTTATTGTTATGCTACGTACATGTTATGCGGATAACGAATCCCGGATATACCTAATATACTACCTTCATATTTTATAACTATTATATAGATTGATGTAGCTGTTATTTAAGTGGCTTATTTGTCAAGGTAGCATAGTTGCGAATGAATTCAAAGTAATACATCTTTGAAATTCGGTAAAAAAAAAAACGGGTACTTAATGGTATACTATAATACAATACTGTCGCCTGCGAGTAAAAGTCTTAAATCGAATTTTACCACCGAAAACCCTAAAGTACTCTAGAAATGTAGAAAATGACTTAAAAATCAAAAAAATACGTCCTAGAATAATGGGATCTAGTGCAGCCACTGTTTTAAGTAATTTAATAAAATCGTAACAATTTCGTAAATTGTCCTGGTTTTTTTTCAGTTTTTTTTTCGGTTTTTCACATTGGCTGAGAGGAAACTCCTGAGAAAATCGAAAAATGACCTCTATAAAGTACGCCACCAGTCGAATTTCCTTTTAAAAATATGCTATCGTTATAAATTGGATCGAAATTACTGGTAGAAAAATGTCCAGGAAAAAAAAAATAAACATCTTTGTAAAACCATAAGCTTCTTTGCTCTACTCAGAATCTAAACTAAAAAACACAATTTCAAATACACGAAACGGATTCGTAACAACACGTGCATCAAAGCACAGAGCACAACATCGGTAAACAATGTAAAGTGTATCGAAATCCCAGTCGTAGTCAATGTTATTTCAAATAATTACAACTTATTATTTTACGTCATCGATGGTTATTCGCCGTCGTACGTAAAGCAGTATCTGTTTTTCTTTTTGTTTTGTTCCCTTTCAGTACTCAATGTACTTTCGCAATATTGTACTTTTGACTCGACTGCACGCGTTAAATTTGTTTCGTGTTGACTGAAGGTTTTTTTTTTTTTCGTTTTTTTTAACTCAACAATCAACCCAAAAGCGAGTTAATTGTTTTCACTACCTTGTACATTTTTGATAAACGAAAAATCTGATATATTTTTTTTTTTTTCGATTTTGATTTTTTTTCCTTTTATACTAACGTCATATCATAATATTTTCATAACATCAGTTTGCTTATTTAACAATAATCTATGTAAATAATTATTTTAATTGTATTACTTTGCGCGTTCGAGTTCAATAGGTAATAAAACAAATTCGCACATAATGTTCCTAGAACACGTCCCTCGTATTATGCAGTAATTACGCTTATTATTATAATTATTATTTACACACATCAATAAACTATTATTATCTATAACCTTTGCACAAGCAATTTAATTCGCATAATATTTGTACATTATTTAATTTTTTTCTTTTTTTAGATTCTAAACGGAGCGAGGAATGTATTGGTTTTATTATGATGTGTGTTTTTTTATTCTTTTTTTTTTTTTCTAAATTATTGTTGACCTATTTATATAAAATTAAAAATGTTTTTTTTTTTTTTTAATTTATCGTGACGCATATTATTATCTATAATCAATGAAATACAGGTACTTACGTAATAATTTTAGAAATATATTTATTTTAAGACAATAGATTTTTGTATTGCGTTTCGGAAAAAATTTGTCCGTATTTAAACTTTTCAATACGCAATAATAGTTTTAAAAAAAACAACATACCCAGCAATAAGCATTAGAGTTCCGTCACTAGAATCGATTATTTTCCATGATCTACCTGAATTATTACCGTTATAGTATTGGATTTCATACATTTTTTTTTTTTGTTTTCTCAAATGACACGGAACAAGAAAAAAGTTAAAATAAGTAAAATAGTTCACGAGATTTTCGCCAATTTACAAACCGACCACAGACGGTGGGGCCGGAGATCGGAAGTTCAAACCTTTTAAAGACACATTCTTGACAACAATTCTATTTATATGTGCACATTTTAATCAGATTTGACAGTTATCGCGTTTTTGCATATTTCAAAGATGATAAGGGTACAGAATTGATTAAAGGTAGTTTTAGTATCAATTTTTTAAATCCTAGTTAATACATAATACATTATCTATGGTTAGGGCTATGTAATACAAATAAAGAATTAAAACTGATGATATGTATTCTGTTCTTGATTAGTAGATTGTTTTATTTATGTATTTTCAAAATTGTTTTGAGTTAATGTTTGAAAACAAAAATAATTAAATATACTAATTTGGCCCTTCTGAGGAAATCTAAAATGTCATTTTTAAATTAGGTACTACCTATATTCATTTAGAGTCTAGATTTTGTTTTTTTTTTTTTAATGAGCTGCTTGTCATTTCATGATAATCAGTGCTCAGTACTTAAAATTCTCAAAAAAGTTTGGAAAAAAATAATAAAAAAAATATTTAAAAATCTCAAAATTGTAGACGAGTTTAAAATTTTCTCCTGTAATGACTCCAACTCGTTAAATACTATTTTCTAACACTAAATAGATGATTAATACAAAACAATATTTTTTTTAAGTGGATCGTTAAATTATTTTATTTACACAAAATTATATTGTATTGTGTTGAGTTGTTTTCTTCGTAGTTTTGAAAAATGTTATTTAATGAGCCGCAGGACGAAGGAATTTTAAACCCTTTAACCGTTTATAATTTTATAAATATTTTGCTTTTAGGGATTTTTAAGAATTTTTAAGCACTTTTTTGTGGATTTTAAGTGCTATAGTTCCCAAAATTCTCAAGTCGTGATGATAATACATACTATAAAATGTAAATTAAAATTGGTTCGTGAGCGGTTTTTTTTCTTTGGTGTGCTGATAAAAAATCCCCCTCCCCCGCCATCATATATATATATATATATATCGTAAGGTTCTTAACTATTGTAATAATTTTTGTTTGAATTTCAAATTTGTATTGTAATTATTATTAATTATATTATTAATACGTTTGGGCGTGTATTTCAAATAAATAAATTATGTATATTATAAATATATATACTAACTTATTAACGTACCATTTAATTCAATTGAACGTGCGATATAGTGATTGTAAGTAAAATAAAGATAATATTACTATCCAATTATCTTCTAAATTAGCGAGAACCTTATATATTTTTAAGGTAGAATGATCAAATTGTGAAATAATTAATCAAAATCCAATATTCCACATTAAGATAATTTTATTGATTATTTTTTAATAAATTTCAAACTATAAACACTGCACACAAGTGCGTAAGTACCTACAAGTGTAGGTATTTTACAAATTAGTATATTACAACGAGATTGAAGAAGTCAGGCTAACTGTAGTGTAGACGACCAGAGCGTGAATCAATAGTTGACCTGACTTTTGCATCCCAAGGGATAATTTTGTGGATAACAAATTGAAAGATTGAAGACAGACAGTCTCTAAGTAACCAAAAATATGTCAGATTCACCCTGCACCGATCAGAAATCACACTGAAATCACAGACTGATATTCGGATGATCCGGGGGAGGGGCGTGCCTACCCAAATATTGACGTGTCAACGAAAATGTTATTCTTTAGTATAAACCACTAAATGTGGATTGACAATTAATTTTTCGGGAACAGTACATATTTTGATGTACTTCCTCAAATCATTATGTGTTTCCCATACGTTTTGCTTTAAACGGAGTACTTGACTGGTATAGTGTCCACTCTCAAAATTCACTGATCCGTTGAGTACAAATCTGAATCGAAAAATATAATATCAATGAATTTAATTTACATACATGTATTGTAATTATAAAGATATAAGTACCTATAATTCTCAACGCTTATTTCCGATGGAATGTCAGCCATTGTAAATTGACTGGTTTTTTTGAGTTGATCTGTTTCGATGAATAGATGATTACTCAGTGCTCTCTTGGCTGTAATTTTTTCGGTGCATCGACCACAATTGTACTTTCTTAGTTTAGTATATTCTTTTAAAATCCCTTCCAAATTCTTTAAGTCCTTGAGTTCCTTTACGTCCAATATGATAGTGCTACTATTTCTCCAGGTATTCGCATTTTTACAACTGTTGTTTGAACACCGTATGTGGTTTTTTGCCGACGGATACTCTTTTAATAAATCGCATATTATCTTTATTACATTGCATTCGCAATTAATAGTTTTTAAATTGGGTGCTTCGCTATTTTCATTAAATATTCTCCTCAACATTTTCACTCGTTGTTTGTTTAAGTTTTCTGAACTGTCTATAAATGCTACTGACTTGCAGAAATTCAAAAATTCTGAGTTTGAATTTGCATCAACGAAATCTGTGTACGCACTGTTGTCGACAAAAGCCCTTGATATAATTATGGCAATGGAATCAAACGCACATGTGTTGTATATATTGTATTTTTGTTCATCTATTTTGATTACTGATGATAAATTGCCATTCAATAGTAATGCAGGTAATAATCGTGGTTTATCAGATGTGTGCGCGATATTTTCTTCAACATTTTTTGTTGGCGTTAATTGTTTGGTATTTTCTTCTCTTTTCACAATGACTTCGTCTTCAATTTCTTGTAGTTTCATTTTTTTATATGATGAACATTGTTCATAAGAAACGCTGGAACAACGTTTTCGAGTGGAAAATTCTTTATTTTCGCCGTGTTCATTTGATAAAACTGATACGCGATTGCATAATTTCTTAACACTATGTGTATCTTCGAAACTACGTTTTTGAGACATAATTTCGGTAGTTTACGAACTAAGATATCCTGTTTCGATTCAACTGATACCGTAGTATTTTTACTATTATGTTACCTATGGGTATCGGCGATGTCCGTGAGTCACCCGATGATCCGATGATAGTACAATATTAATTGTTTTCTTCTTTATTTCTTTAATATCTGAAAGTCGATTTTTGCATAGAAATTATACTATTCAAAATTAAAATGTTTCACATAAATTCTATACGTACTTGTTAAGTAGGCAAATCAAATCCACCGGTACTTATATCACGATGATATTCAACGCATAACATTGAATGCTGCGTACAGTAAGTACGATTAAGTCGATAAATTATACCTATATGATTGTAATATAGTAATAACTTGTAATAAATTGTAATATATAATAATAACTGAATGCAAAGAATAGTTTATAATAAACGGATAACACTTTTTCCTAGTGGATAATGTAAGTAATTTAAATAAATGTATAAATGCTATATCGTTTTATAATAAATATACTGAAACAACAATTTATAATAAACGAATAATGATTTTTATTATTGGACAGTATAACGTTGACAACACTCCTATGTTACAACGTTTTGGTTTAAATCATTTATCGATATTAATTAGCTAATATAGGTACGATATATTATTTTAATATTTAGCCACGTTGTTCTGAACTCGATCAATACATAGGTACCTCGTACCGATACGACTAGAGTCCGTGGATTGACACACATTGAAAAGTGCTAAAACATTCCGATTAATAGGCAGTCAAAATGACGATTTGAACTTGAATTTAGAGGCTTGTCCATACAATCAGGCGTGATTGTAGATATTTCGAAAAACGTTGAAGGGAAGAACCGCGGAGTATAGGAAGCACACTGACCGAAGGCCGAAATATAAATTATTTCCTTAATAATCTAACAAAATAAAAAAAATTGATGCGAAAAAATTTTTAGGATAATAAACTCTATAAAATGGCTATTTTCAAATTTGTCAAAAATAATAAAATAAAAAACTATTTTTATAAGTTTTTTACCAAAACACCAAAAATTAATGGAAATATAAATATTTGTAGTCCTTATACCTGTGAATAATATTAAAAAAAAAAAAAAAAACAGAGTTTGATTATCTTTATTATCTTTGGTGTTATCTTAATGTGTATATCTTCGTGGGACACTCATCTCCTTAAAGTATCACCTCATACAAATCTCCTTTCAGAAAAGGTGATACACTTGAAATATACAATTCCAAAAAAAGTTAATACTTTTCAAGATAATCAATGTCATACTATAGATTAATCACTCAGTAAATATAAAGATATTCGCATAATAACTCAGAACTTCAAAATACTATAATTTCGAAACTAAGGAAGTCCGTTCAATTCTGACTTCACCGTCGTTCTTAAATTGGCAATACACTTATGTTCAAAACAAAAAAAATCAGAAAAGTAAGATTTGTTCCACATTATTTTTTACTAAAACAATTTTCATCAGCATTTGATATTAAAATTAAAATAATATAGTATGGTCTGATATAGAAAGTGCGCAGTACGAACAAGTATATATTTTACGCGTAATTAGATTTTTGAAAAAAACAAATTATACGGCGTACACCTACGGAAATCGGTCGTATACATCATTATTAGAAAATAATATACCGCTGACGGTGACGACGAATACCGTTGTTTTCTGTACTTTGCACCGGAACCAGATAAATCGGACGTACGGACAATAATAACTATAGTAGTACGAACAATTATTAGGTATTTCCTCAGTCGCGAAAGCGAATCCTATAAAAATAAAAAAATTAAATAATACGATTATGATAAAAAAAAAAAAAACCCGGGGCAACTTCGCACGTTGGTGGGAAACTGGTGTCGGTGAGAAATTGGGATGGTAGTTGAGTGGAAATTTAATGTATACTTGTAAACAATTACAAACCATTGTCAACGAAAAAAAGATTCTGAGCGATTTCGATTGATAGTGTTGCTTAAGTGTCAACAATATCCGTGTTATATTATGGTAAAATAATTACGCAAACATCGTATACTTTCTTCAATAACACTAACGTTTAATATTGCACCTATTTTCCCCGGTTTTCCCAGGTTTTTTCCATTTATCGGGAAAACCCCTGAGAAAATCAAAAAATTGTTCACCTAAAGCATCTCCCCAGTCAGATTTCCTTTTAGGAAAAAACGATATTATTGAAAATCGGAACAAGATTTCTGGTAGAAATGTTGTCCGCAGAAAAAAAAAAAAAAAAACAAAACAAAACATTTTTGTAAAACCATACGCGCTTTTTCGCTCCACTCGGTATCTGTCATGCCGGCGGTATATACGGCCGAAAAAACGGGCGCGGAATCGGGTAAATAACAAATAATCAATAATCAATCGCGAAAATATTACGCGTGGCGGACGTACGTTCTTAACCATAGACAATAAAGAAAAATCAAAAAAAAAAAAACAACGCGTCATACGTTTTATTGTTTTTGTTTTGTTTTTTTTTTTTATTCAAAGCCTTTCAACGCCAACAGCGTGGCCGGCATAGTACCGTATTGTCGAATGGGCGGTGGATGGGTGGGGGGGAATAAAACCCAAACGAAGCGAAATTCCTGAAAAACCGCACGGATCATAATATTATTGATGATTAACGGGTGTTAAAGTTCACGGGTCCGCGTCATCGTACGAAGTTTGATCGTTCGTTACTCGCGTCGTTGGCCGAATCCACTGTTATTATCATTACTTTGTTACGGTTTTAACGGGCGTCCAAGTTTCGACTGAATCCATATAAATACCGTAGACGTCATTCGGATCGACAGTACACCTTTTTTTTATCGTCCGGCGCGTAAAATCGTCGCGAAACGTTACGAAACAAACGGTTTTTTTTTTTTTTTTTTTTTTTTTTAATGAATGGAACATTAAAAAAACATTTATAAAAAAAATTGTTTTTTTTTTTATTTTATCACCGTCGTCCCCGTCGTTTATTATTCTGACCTTTGCGCTCGGTGTAATAAATCGCGTATTACTCTTTTTTTTTTTCTTTTTTTTTTACTACTCTGTCTACATCAGCCGCGCAACGTATCGCACGGAAATCCGCGTTGCGCTTCTCGCAATCGTCCGTCGTTCGGCATCTGAAGCGTACGCTAGTCGCGTTGACGACATGACGTTACGAGGAGTTTTTTGCTTTTAATCGTTTTACACAATATATAATTCGTAGACGAGTTTCGCGATAAAAAAAAAAAAAAAAAAAAAACAAATATCCGCGTCTGAAATTTGCGTGGCGCAACGGGAAACCGCGATTAACAATAACATTATAGTATTTTTTCTAATTTTTTTTTTCCTTGTTAATTTTTCACCGAAATAACGATCGGCCACGATGTTCAACAGCACGGGCAATTTACTCCTGCAGACCATGCTGTACTTGGCCCAGACGGAAAACATCACTTTTCCGTTGAACTACACCGCCCAAGTCAACAACGTCACTCTGGAAGGCGACAGTCAGTACCTCCATAATATTAATATAATATTAATATTTTTTGCAGGCCGACACCTAGCCCCCTCCCCCCACTTTACCCGAGAACATATGTAAACGTGTTGCACTTAAATCCGCAAAAAAAAAAAAAAAAAAAACACTTAATAACGTCAAAATAACTCTGAAAAAAGCACTTTAAAAATATTTGAAAAAAAAAAACAAAAACGGTAAAAGGGTTTAAATGTCCCTCGTTGAACGGTTTCAACTTATTAAATACAATTTCCTAACACTGCACAAATTATTATCCCAGAGTTATTTTCATTACAATAACGTACAATCTTATTATTTTTTTATTATAATCATTCGTGTCGTTTTAAAATATTGTATTTAATAATTTAGAGTCGTTAAACAGAGGACCTTTAAAACCTTCTACCATTAGTTCTTCTAATATTTTTGTTCAGGAATTTTTTATGAGTTTCAAGTGCATTCAGTCCCGAGCCCTAATTATAATAAATCGACTTTCGATTCTGGAAATCAGCACTAGATACGATTTTACGGGTAGTACGCGACAGGCGGATATGTTTGCAAGTACGACCAGTGGGGGGAAGGGGCGAAAAATTAAATGTGTATACTCGCCCAAAATATGTTCGACTACCCCCCTTAGGACTTATCGGAAACCAAACCTCGGCTAAAAACCTGATGATGCATTAGTGTATCTTAAATAATTGTTCAAAGGTTTTAGCGGAGAAGATTTTCCCGGTTTCGCATTTTTTTTATAATATTATCAAAATGCACGAGGTCTCAGATATCTCTTTCTAAGAATGACGAATGATTATCCGCGAGACAACGCTAATACAATTCCAATAATGTTACGATAGAATCACTGCCTCCTACACGGTTAAGAGTTATATGTCTCGTATTATATATTGAATATGAGTTTTTTATGACCAAGGATCAATTGACTGTATTGACATGTTTTTTTTTTTTTTAATGACGCTCAAGCAATTAACGAGCTTAGGATATCTTGCTAATTATTTCTGATCTACTGGTCTATAAGCCTTGGCCACAAAACACTCGTGTAAATCATAACCGCGGCTGTAATTCATATTCATATTCATTCGTATTAACATTTTATCGCGATAATCGGTTTTTTTTTTTTTCACATTTTACGCAGTAGAAAAAGGAGGTACGGTGAACAGTTAAACAGTGACGGGGTTCGTTTTTGTTTTTGTACGTGTAATCTACAACGTCCCCCTATGTTTAATTCGCCGATTCGACCGCGAAATATTATCACATCCGTAATCATGTTTACATACAGTAACCTACTAAACCCGTCTGACTTTTAGAGCCGGCCGTACATCGAAAAAACTGCAATAATATTATACCCGAGTAGCTAACGGCGCGCGGCGGTCTAACGAATTAGCGTTTGGCTATTATTGTTCTATCGTCCGGGACACGAGCGACGATCGATTTCGTTTCGATTACAGTTTAACTATATTTTTTGTTTTTTTTTATATAACAATGTTACAACGTTATGCAATCTATTTTGTTTTTATGCAAATATTGTTATTTGTAACGTTATCGCAAGTCGTCTTAAACTGTGGACCTATACTGCAGCGGTTCGTGTAGAGCTACGGAAATTATAAAATATAATACTACCACGTGTCCGGTTCGGCTCAGGGTCCACGCACGCTTGGTTCCATTAATTATATTGTGAAATTAATTGTAATAATTGTGAAGTGCCTACACGCCGCTTTTAGAACAGTTTCCTATAGAGCGGTTTGCAATGAATCGATTTTGCTAATTGCGGAATTTCATAAAACAATCGATCTAAAATATTTGTACTCATTATACTCACCTATATACGCGGTACAAATGTACAATGGGTTATTAAAAACACGTTAGTAAAGCATAATAATCTTAGACGTTAATAGGTAAGAGATACCCAACCAATGATCATTGTGAATCACCGAAACCATAACTAATGGCTTGTAATATTTATTTAGTTTTTGACATAAATTTCTTGTGTGGGGGTGGGGTCAAAAAAAAAAATCGTGTATCAAAAAAAAAAAAAAAATGCAACGTTTTTCGGTTCAAACAATCAAAAGGAACGCGATAACAAATTCCCGCTGTGAAGGGATGTGTGCGAGAAACTAAGCGACATAATATTTCGCGAGGTGAAAAATAATGGAATGACATGTGTACCTGCTGTTGTATGTACACATTCGATTCATTCGAACATTCCGACGTTGAAAAAATGTGCAAACACAAAATTGTATTTCGCACTATCCGTATCGTAAATCATTATTCGTTACTTGCAATTATTTGTTGATAAAAATAAATAAACCTCAAGATCTGAGCATAGCATTGGTAATATGTTTTATGGCCTGCCGCAAGACATGTTAATGACATTTTGTTTTATTCCAAATGGGGAACATTTTTTTCCCTTCTCTTTTCTGCATTTTATTTTTCTTTTAGACATTTATACTTTCAACGACGCCGGTCTTGGACCGATTTAGAAACAAAGCTGCATATAGAATCAAATAACAACATGATTCGTTTGAACAAATAATATTAATCGAACCCTTTATCCTGACTATTTGGGAGCGGCCCAAACTTTGCTCCTACGTTGTCTTAATCTGACGGTCTCCCGCGTCATCTATTTATGCGCACACCGGCTATCTTCATATTATAATACCATTACTGTTAAACGCGTCCTTTTCGGTTTGCCTATATTTACCCTCCGGCCACTTCCCAACCATATTCGTCCGTAAACTCATTATTTCAACATCCGGACTCGTCTTCTCTTATCACGTCGTGCCCGAACCGCCTCAGCCTATTCTCTCTCGGTTTTTCAATTAGATATCGAAACAACTACCTGACTGTTCCTCGTACTGCATTCTCTCTGGTGACGAGTTTATACGTCCGCCTGTTGATTTATCAGAACCATAGGCGTAATATTCAATATTTTACTTGGAGGTGCTTTACACTTTTAATTGAACATGCCTGTAGGTACTCCCTGTTTCAAATACAAATAAAGTATATTACTTTGTGTGGTGTTATAATATAACATAAGTAATGTATTGATTTTTTTTATCTCAGCCGTTTTCCTACATTTTATATGTATAACAACATTTAAGTACCCGTATATTTATAATTTTAACCGCCAATTTGAAATTGTAAATTTGTCCGGTCGTTAGACTGTTCATTGGACAAATCCTGTTCAGTATAAATTGAATGATCCGTGAGATAGATCTATCTATTATAATCTAAACGGCATTAGTAATTGGTTCTCCTACTCTCCTTCAGTTAGTTAATTTAGAGCTACTGATCGCGCCATTGCTCCGTTCTCAATTCCTATTTGCCCAACAGATTATACTTAAATGACTACTAACCCGTCGCATGAGGCCGGCCAACCTTGACACTTTCATCGCCCGTTTATTTCAACTGCTACTTATTGCCGACTAATTGATGTTCTATTTTCTGTGCTTATCGTATAATTATCGTTTAAAATTTAAATACCAAAACTATACGTTGAAATTGGGTTTCGGCCCGTTAATAAATTAAAACAATTTTTTCGAGGGGCTAATTTTCATATTGGAGGATCTATCGGTTACGGCCGAAACAATACTTGACTCGTTATATTGTTGTATTGCAGACGTGGAAGTTAAATGTTACGGCGAGTACGGGTGTTTCTCCGTGGCCGGCCCGTGGTACGACGAATCTTCGCGACCGGTAAACATGTTCCCGGAGCGTCCCGAGAAGATAGCGCCGAAGTATTGCCTGAACACGCGGAGTAACCGGAACACGTGCCAGTATCTGGACCACAAGAACCCGGACACGGTGATCTTGTCCAACCTGATACCGTCCATGCCCACGTACTTTATCACGCACGGGTTCCTGGAGGGTGGCGACCGTCCGTGGCTCAAGGAAATATCCCGGCAGATACTGCGCCGGTACGATTCCAACGTGATAATTATTGACTGGGAACGAGGGTCCGGATCGCCGTACACACAGGCCGTGGCCAACATAAGGTTGGTGGGCCGGATAACGGCGCATCTGATAAACGTAATGCGAGTACGTATACAATATAATATTATGATACGTATTTTATAAGGGCGATACTAATATTACGATATCTGCAGTAAAATCGGCCGCTTGAAGGCCGTCTCTTAAGCTCTCTTAGACTGAGGGAAACGGAGATAAAACGTAATACGTGATTATACCGATCACGGCATAACTGGGCAATGTTAAGCGATGGCGGTAGCCAAAAGAAACGAAAACCATCGTAACTCGATAGATATCTAAACATCGAATATTGATAGGTTTTGGGTTATGGAGCCTGGTGCCAGTTTTTTAAATTTTCATCAATTTTGAAAAATTTAAAAATGATTTTTAACACTTCAAATGCTAACTTAAAGATAAGATTTTTCTACTACCCGATATCCATTTAGGGAGAAGGGGTGTACCCGTTTTTATTGACAAAAATTTCTTTGCGGCAATAGGGAAGTCGCATTGTTAACATAATATTGTGTCTACCATTTTGTTTTTAATTGATAAGCAACAACATTAGCTGTAGAACGCTACAGCCCGCATTCAACTTTGATTTTTGATTTAAAATTTTTTTAAGACATTTTATAGAGTTTTGAAAAAAAAAAAAATGCGGTCCGCAAAAAAGTGGACCGCTCTTTTGTCATTGTAAAAACATCTAAATGATACACCTATATCATAACCAACACTTCAGCCGTATAATTATCTCAGAACTCGTATACGATTTAAATTTTAAAATTCAAAATGACTGTGTTACTTAATCCATTTTAATGTGGTGAAATTCGGTATGCTATTGCGAAATAAAATATCCTCTGCTATGCCCATCCCTGGGCACGTGTCTACCTCGCCTATACGTTAATCCGGGGCCTGCATCTTGCGTATGGCAATACAAGATAACGGACCATTTAACGATTGCCATTAAACGCGGTATATTACGTGTATATATATAGACAGAACTCGGTTTAAACGTCGCCAACATCCATCTGATCGGCCACAGTTTGGGATCGCATCTCTGCGGTTACGTGGGAAGCATAATGCAAACGAATTATGGAGTGACAGTAGGCCGAATTTCCGGGCTGGATCCAGCCGAACCTCACTTCAGCCAGACCGACCCGATAATCCGATTGGACCCGTCGGACGCCATGTACGTGGACATCATACACACGGATTCCAAGCCGTTTATCAAAGGAGGCGAATTAGGTACGGTATGCACGAGATTTTTTTGGATTTTTTTTTTTTTTTTTTAAACCTAGGTATACACTAGGCTTTTATATATAATATTATATATACAGTTACCCGTTCATATTATTGTCATTGCAAATAATATCGTTACACGCGATTTGATTTGTCGCAGGTCTGGGCATGAGTTCGCCGATTGGTCATATGGATTTCTATCCTAACGGAGGTGAAAAACAACCGGGATGCAACCACGGCATGATGAAATACATAAACCGCGAGAACGGCAGTTTTTACCAGGGTATGAGAAGATTTTTGGCCTGTGATCACGTCAGAGCGCACGAGTATTTCAACGAATCTATAAATACGCAATGCAACTTTGTGGCCATCGAATGCGATTCTTACGAAGAATTCTTGAACGGAGAGTGTTTTTCGTGTTTAAGCGAATCGGTTCGTATTATAAAAATATCATAATATTGCTAAAAATTCTCGACGCATTTACTATCTCAAAAAAAAAAATTAACTTTTTTCGGAATTAATTAATTCGACGGTTTCAATCGAGCTTTTTATATTCCATTGTTAGCCTCACACTTGCGTTGTATGCTAAATTTATACTCATACCGAAATCGGTAATACTTCCATCGTTGCAGTGCCCTACGATTATTACTGTCGCTTCTTCTATTAACAATATTATTGTCTTGTTTTCGTAATAAATTAAAAAATCGTAAATTTTACGACTTGATTGTCCTCCATTGAAATGCCTATTATATTGTTTATAGGAACAACACGTTTTATGAAATTTCGTAATATTATTATCTTAAACTGATTTAAAATTACATTATTTATTTTATTTATTTTTTTTTTCAGAACCCCGAAGGAAAAATCTGCGCAGAAATGGGTATGCGGTCTTTGGGCCATTGGAAAAAATTCGCACACATAATTTCTAGTTTCAGTGAACCGAATACATTTCCACACGTAAAATTATACACTATAACCAATCCGGAACAACCATTTTGCAGTGAGTATACCTAACTACGACAGTGTTGATAGCGTACAGTTAAAACAAATCGGACTTTGTTCAAAGAACTTTAGCAACCATCACGTAAATCACGAACTCTCATAATATCTCACGTGAAACGATCGATAATCACGCCAACCAAATTTGTGCCATTAGCGACTCTAATCATAATATCGCATATTGTATACGATTCCTCCATAACAAAAATGATAAATAAACGTTCGGTTTTGTTATTCCGATATTTTCTGTTTCTCAAAACGAACAATATATATTATCATTTATGTTTCAGCGTATTTATATCGGGCGACGTTGAATCTGGCGAATTCGCAAGAGAGCAAAGACCACGGCGGTGAAGTGGGAAATTTTTTGATACAAATCGAAGGAACCAACTCCAGGACAAAACTCATAAACGTATTCCAGTGAGTAAAACAGAATTTTGATATTTACCTACAGTAGGTACATAACTGCAGTTCAACGAGATTATTTCTAATCGATCTGCACGATTGTAATATATATTATTAGTGTTATATTACTAAAAATCAGCTAGGTATACCATGTGTTGTTATTGCTTATCAATCAATTATATCCGCAGAGAAAAACACTACAAACCGGGCAGTGTTCACCGTCAAGTGTTCGGTTCTTCCAACGTGGGCACCATCAAATCCGTCCTGTTGATCTGGAACCATTCGACCACGATAAACATACTGACGTGGAGATTCGAAGCGCCGGTCATTTACGTAGAGTCGATGACTATCGAGACGTTCAACGGCGGTCAAAAGTAATACAACAGTGCTATTATAAAATTAATAATAATATTAGTACATCGACGGGGACACGGCAAAAGGGTCTTAGCGACACGGCTTCGCTATTCCGCGGAGAAATACGTGTTTCGTCCATTGCGCGTGCGCAAAAACAGCTGCGGCCATTATCTAAAGAAAAATTTGAATTTTGAGTTTGGGGTATAAACCGTACTTTGTATTTTGTCTTCTCAATTATCTCAATTACAGAGTCTAAACGACAATAAAAGCTAATCGACAATGCGTATTCACATTAAGGACGTACACACAAAAAAAAAAAAAGTATTCAATGAGATTATTCCCTATTCCAACCGGAAAAACGTTATTGACAACCTAAACAAAAAAAAAAAGTTAAATTCACAAATAAATGATTTTCGCAGACTCTCCCGAAAGGCTTAAAACTGTGAATCGTGTCGCTTAGACCCTTTGGCCGTGTCACCATCGATATATGTAAGGCTGCGGTACAAAAACGATCGTGACATTATCGAACCGTCAAAATGTAGGGTCCTGTGGTTATGGGTATATCATCGTGTAGACCGTTCTTGAACGAAATGACGCATCGGTCGTTTTAAAATAAATCAGAAAATTATCATGGTTCGCGGGGCATTGGTTTTAAGGGGTTTTCTGTGTCTAAATGGACGCACGATTAAGTCCATTAGACACCCATTAACGGAGGATATTGCGTCCACTAGTGTGTCCACTAGAAAATAAACGGTATAATACGTTTGAATTAGTGGAACGAAATTGTACATCTTATATTGGAAACGCTCTCACTGGTGGGGGAAGGAAGTAACTGAATAAAGTACAAAATGTAGAGCAATGATTTAGTTTATCTGCGCACGGAGCTTTTTTTTAAGAAAGGTGACTGAACACACAGTGAATATTCAATAACGAATGTCCTAATGATCCGTGCGAGCGACAGTAGAGCTTTAAGAATAATTATGACTGCAGAGAAAGTCGATGGTCGAGCGGAAACGGGGAAAAGTGATCCGCAGAGTTTTTTTTTTAGTTTTATTTAGGTAGGTACAATAATTATTACGTCATGATTAAGTTCGGCAATAAATGTATTTGTATAATATACGAATATTATTTTATTTACGTTATTTATTATAAAATATTGTATTCTATCCTCGAGCCTTTTTTTGAGTTCTGAAACTTTAAAACTGAAAATATCGGGAATATTGACAACTATGGTCGTTGTTCCTCCTCGCGACTCTTATTCATATACGGTACAATCGATATAATATCGTTGTTAGATACATCGTGCGGTTGAATTGTTGTTAATTTTTTTCGTTTTTTCGTTTGTTTTTCAGACTCAAATTATGTCCGCCGAAATTAATAGCGTTGGAAGCCGGTCTGTCGTTCAGGATGGTACCATGTTAACGGTCCGTCGTCATAAAATATATACCACAAAATATTATATTAGCCGCGTTTCGACGATGCAATTTTTAACAGCCCGGTCACTGGTTTAGCGAACTAGTTTTAGCATACTGTTCGACTGCGCAATTGTCAAATGAATCGTCGAAAAACAAGAATGCATTTTTCGACCACCGGGTTGTCCTATTGTTCTCGGCGGAAAATTACATCGTCAAAACGCGCCTATTACCTATCTTATATTTTTTCAACACTATATCGTACCTACCTATATCCGTAAATCTCACGATTAATTTATTGCACTATATTTTTAAGTAAAAAAATTGTATTCGATTTTTAACGGTAGTCGTGCGTTTTACATTATTTACATTTATACACTGGAGATAATAATAATATGATTGCGTATTTTTGATTCGTACCATTGTTGTAATATTATTGTAAGACTTGTACAAAATTATTATTGTCAGTATAACTACTAATAGTAAGTAAATTCTAAGTTATATATATATTATATTATACATTACACCATTTCATGTACACTACATTTCACTACCTACATTTTTTTTTTTTTTTAGATTTGATGCATTTTTATTTATTTTTTTATACGTATTTTTTCGTTTTTACATTATACTATATCGTAATATAACCGTAATATATATTGAATATTATATTTTGTGCACAAATACTATACAATTATTTAATCTATTATAAGTACTCTCGTATGTGTAGTATGTACCTGACCCGGCGGTGTATTTTTCAGGGGAGGGGGTTGCTTTCAAACCCCCTTACTCCCAGGCGCATATAACTTCTATTATATTAGTGGGCTTGGTATGATTTAGGTCTAAACTGTAATAATGAATAAGCCCCCTCCCTAAAAAAAACCAAGGTAAATACGCCATTGAGTGTGTAACGTCTGTGCGTCGAATGTGTATACCTACCTACTTGCTTACGTACATTTCGTGAACGATCAAAATAAAGAAGTTTATCGTCAACAAATTATTGTAATCGTCTTATATTTATTGATTTTTAAAATTACATTGTTGCATAATAAATTAGTTAAACAATACTCTTGATACAAATGAATACAATTAATAAAGAATTAAGAAAATTTACATTTGTTTTACAAACAAAAAGATATTATAACATAGTACTTTAATAAACCGTTTACAACTTGTAAATTGTTTGGCCAAGAGACGTTACAATATGAATAGCATATGAATTAACATAAAATTTTGGGAGACGTGAGAAATAAACGACTGTTATAATATTACGTACGTTGTGATTGTTGACTTTAACAGAAAAGAACCATCGATCGCGCAGTGGTTTGAAGACGGGCAGTTTTATGTAGTGATTTTATGTACTTTCAATAATGATATTTTTAAGGTGCCCAGTATGCGACCGTATCCGGAATTTTAGAAGCGCTACACGTATTGTACTCGAAGCATATAAAGCGAATGACTTTCGAGTCGATCGTTGCGGACAGTGATATTATTTCTCTAAATTAACGGCACGTAAAGAGCGGACAAGTAAGTCGGGCGTTTAAAGGCGAACACGTCGTTGAATTCGGAACAGTTTCGTTTAATCGTACCGAAAAAAGGATATTGGTAAATTTCGTCTTGATAACGCACGTGAGGCCAGGGGCTTACAACCTTCGTGTCCACCACGCACGTGTTGCTAAAAACAATAGCAATTGGAGGGTTACAACAACCGAAATCGCCCCCCGGCTACGCCGCTGAATAGGTACGCTGCAAAATTGCATTCGACGTTACAACACAACGTTGTGAAATATCGTTTCATTGTCTTCGCGGAAATTATTAATGTCGTATTAATAAACCAGAGTCGGATAAGTACCTACCTAAGGAGATGTATAAATAATATTGTTGTTGTTATAATATTGTGTTATCGCTGCTGTTGGAGAGCTTTTGCACAACGCCGGCGAAACTCGACATAAAACTGGGCGGGCGCCCGCCCGACGTTAGGACGCTCGCCGAAATACGTCTGTGTGCATGCGCTCTGAAAAATGATCGAATTGACGTAATCAGTTATTTTCACCGAACGTCGACATTGTAGGTGGGTCAGGTAGGTGGGTACCACAATGTTATTTACGCAAACTTGCTCTCCGGGAAGGTTCTATTTTAACTTGTGATCGATGTTCGACCCACTTCCCGTGGTCCGATCAATTTACAATTTTTCCGTGCACTCGTATTTTTACTGTTTTCGTTTGTTTTGTTTTGTTTTGTTTTTTTTTTTCCCCCTAGAACCATGAATTCAATAGCAGAAGGTAATGAATTAGGAAACCGCTCAGTAAAAGCACTGATCGATTGGAGCAGCCCTAAAAAACTAGCGAACACAACTTACGAAGAAAATTATTATAATAACCCGTTTGATATAATGGAGTTAAGAGCCGCTAATATGGATCCTTTTGATTTAGTTCACCATCAGACATCATTAAAAGAAGATGTGTCGTGTAGTAGCGTATTGAATACTTCGTGGAAATTAGAAATTGGGCCGATGTGGAAGAGTTTTTCATCAACAGGTAAACATAATTTTTGTTTAACATTGTTTACAATTCCTGTGTTATTTTGACAATTTAGTTTCAAGTATTTGATCGCACACTTTATTAAGAAGGCGCACAAATATCTTACTGTGTGTACTGTATCGTATATCGCTAAAGAACAGTACTCGTAGACGAGTCTTTAAAAGTAAAAGAGGGAACAAATAAAAACAACAGGTAACCGTTGACAACTAAATAAATACAAATCAAAATTATTTTCCTATACATATAGATAACAATGGAAATGAGCCAATGGACGTATCTGTTTCGCCATCAACAGTGGACTACGATAGGATAGATTTAGAAAAAATTGCATCATGTACCGAAGAAGAAAAACAACAAATCAGAGAACAAACACTACAACGGATTAAGATGCTTGTTGAAAATATCGACACGAAATATGAAGAATGCCATATAGATAAGTCATTATCTGTTATAGGACAGCAATACTCCGAATCGAGTTTGAATAATACTGAAAGTTTATTTAATAAGGGATTTATGAGGAGTGATTCTAATAGTATTTCTAATAGCCTTTATAAAACCCCGGTAAGTAATCGCAATAAAACCTATTTATTTATTTATTTTTTTTTTTAACTAAAAATTAATTATCTATTTTATACTTAACTATAAATAATAATAATAATAAAAAATAATCAGCTAACAATAAATGTCAAACAGTCCTGTTACGCCCTGTATATTATTGTGTGTTTTTGTAAAGCACACATTTACACGCTATACTCAATACACTAATAATATTATACTGTGTTTTTATTTAGGTTGATCTCAGTGATATAAGCACACCAAATATTAGTTTAGTTTACTCGAATGTAGAACAAAAATGTTTTAGTATAAACTCATTGAAACCAGAATGGATAATGAATAGTTTTAGCAATTACAATGGATATGTAGAAGTTCAAGCTGTAAGATCACTCAAATCATTAATAAACATATTTAATTTTTATTTTATAAATTATTAAAATACATTTTTGAAGGACAAATCTGAACCAGTGGTTGAACCATATAATAACAACAATGAAATTGATATGAAGTTAAAAGCTCTGAATCGCATTGGTAATACACAATTTAATTTATTATTTTTATTATTACCTAACAAGGAAAAATATCTTTAATGAAATGATAGTTCTTAAAAAAGAAAATTGTATAAAATATATTTTTATATTCTTCAATGTCTATTATTATTTTAGGAATCGTCGAATCAGAATCCAATGGATCGCGGACCTTTTTGAAGTCAATACAAAATAAAAGAACTGAAAATAAAGGTCCCGTTTTGGAAAATATTCCTGACCATTATATGATAAAAAATTATAAGGATACAGACATGAAAAAAATTTGTCTTTCAAAAATTATTAAGTCTCAAGTACCTATATTCATATTTCAAATTACTTAATACATAACGTTTAAATATGTTATTTTCCAAGTAGAAACAATTTTCTAATATTTTTGATAAACACTACTCAAATGATTTCATAAAATAATACGTTTTATTATAAATTATGTATTATATGTCCCTATAGAAAAATGTAAAATTTGATATTAAACTAAATTTTCTTTTTTTATTCATAGTTAAAGCCTGTTGCCTCTTCTACGCCTACAAATACATCAAGTATTGCTACTTCATTTCATAGTTCTTTATCAGAAGAATGTTCTATTACAGCCAGGTAGGTTGTTGATAATTGATATTGAAAATAATTCTTTCTAATATAAATAAATAACAATATAAATTCTTATCTAATTTTAATGTTAATCAATGTATAGTTTAATATTTAATTTTTCACTTTTAAATAGTTCAAAACAAGCGGTGATTAATTCTGTTGAAAGTCCAAAAACACCATTCAACGCTACAAAATGTGTCAAACAAAATCCAACTAATGTAAGTCTGTTACACCTATGTTATAATATACAAAATGTTGTCATATATGTTTTATATTTAAGTTGAATGCAAAGGCTAATAACACAATTCCACAACTAAATGATATATGGTTTGGTTCAGCAAATAAACGGTCTAAGGTAAATATAGCAAAAGAGAAATTCATCAGTTATGTTATTCATTAATAATGATAATAATTTAAATATTCTAGACTATAACTAATTTATTCGATCATAGTGCAAAAGATAAGACTGAAATTATAAAATCTTTTCAATCTAATAAATCTAAAGTAAGATAATCCATACCTTTTTTTTAATACTATTCTTATAATTTATATTTAATTTTAGTCTGAAGGTACAATTGAGAAAATAACAAAACCAATGGCATTGAAAACTACTAAAATAAGTGTAAGTTTTTAATAACAGTATATTTGTAGAAAATGCCATATATTATACAATTTTATATATTTAATATAAGTTATGATTTTTGAAATGCTGATTTTAAATTAAACATTTATGCCATTAGAGTTTGCCAGTACCAAAACAGACAGCTATTTCACTAATTGGAAAAGAAAAGGTAACACCTTAGTGACCTTTAGTAGTAAAATTGTAATGTATTTATTTTTTAAGTCTGATATTTTGTAAAAATGTGATAATATTTTATTTTTTATTATTGAAATAAGTACTTGTTTTTTTATTTTTGCTTTTATAATTTCCAACAACAATGAATGTATAATAATGTGTATACTTGTGAATTAAATAAGTCTTCGAATAAAATAATACAATTATTTACAATAAAAAAATTAAAGTGGTTCTTGCTATTCTATAATGGTGGCTGTGTTAATCGTTTATAATCTACTTTTTCTAAATGCACTAATGGTTTTAATTGTTCGGCAAATATACGCATATCTTCAGCAATTGCATCTTGATTACTGGGTGCCAATACACTCAATTCAACAAGATAGGATTGTGATATTGGATCGACACTCTCTGGAGCAGGTTTACCAACAACCATCATCTATAATAATAGGAAAGTATAGAAATTATATAAATTGGTAAAAATTAACTTAAAAAATTCAAAATATATTAAATATCACTAACTTTAAATATTTTTGATACAGTTATCTTCATTCTACCTTTACGGAACATATATCCTCGTAAAATGTATTCAAAGTCCATACGGAAGCCCATTTCTGTGAGGAAATCTACAATTGTCGGTGTAGTAGCTACATCAATACTGCTTCGCACAATTGTAGGTCTAGATTTATCTCCTGAAAATATACAAACATTTAGTATTTACAATTTAAACAATTCCATAGATTTTACCAAGTTCAGGTTGTCCTATATAACGCAGCTGGTAAGGCATATCTAAATAATCGATCGCTCTTCTTACTCTCAATGTAAGTGGCTGAGGTGTAGCACTTCCTTAAACAGAATGTTTAAACTTAGATAACTATGAATATATAGTATTAAAGTTACAGTATAACTGATTTATTTGTTTTTTAAACATAGAATTTTATTTTACTATTGATAGTTACATGAACAAACAGTTCATAATAGCTTTAAATACATATTACAATATTTAATTCCTAAATTTCCTAAATTAAAATAAATTTGATGTGATGAACAATATTACTTATGCTGAAACACATTTCGTGGTCGTGAAATGTCTCTGGTCCGGAATCAACATTGTCACAAAGTCCTCGCAGTCTGTGCAGCAACACTTCAACAGCTGAGTCTAGAACACTACCTTGTAACAGATATTCTTGATTGGGAACAATATTACTCTTCATGGCAGCAGTTAAGCTATCCATTGCTGGAATAGGTGCCTCCTAAAAGAAAATTTTACATTTAAATATCAATAGGTACAAATTTCACATAGACAATTAACCTTTATGGCTTCCATGATGCTGGATTTTTAAAAATAGTGTTTATTCAAGTAACTGAGGTAATTTAGGTATTTATAAATATTTATAAAAAGGTATTATATTAAAAAAACAATTAATTATTAATTTGAGTTCCGTTTGATTTTTATTTTTATTTAAATATTTTGAAGAGATAAATAGTAAATATGATAAGGTACTGAAATGATAAAGATAACGTTAATTTTTATTTTTTTATAGGTTATCCGGTAATCATTTATTTTTTTTTCATTTTCAGTTCTCTCAGCACTATAAGTTCAGACTTTTTATAACTAAAATATCGTTCATTTAATTTTTAAAAATATATAAAATATTTTTGTGTAAGTAAATTGTGTATAGAAAATTATTAAGTTACTATTATTAATATTAATAAGTTTATAATATTAAATAGGTACCTACTTATAAGGTTAAACAGAATAGGTATATTATTATGTTTAAACTTTGGAATTGATTTTTACTTTTAATTTAAAATAAGCACTACTTAAAATAATTAAGTTAATAAATACCATTATCAAATTTGTTGATAAAATATGTACATTTTTGTAATTTTTACTTTATAAATATCATTATTTCCAAACTAATTTATTAATGCAATTGTAATTACTTACCAAATTTTATCAAGTGAAAATATTTTTAATAAAATATTATTGTTTTTTAACAGCTATTAACAATGCGAGCATACAGGATATTGAAGAAACTGTTGCCTTCTAGTGGAGGCGGTGATGATTTTGAAAAAGCCAAAAAAGCTATACGTTTAACTAGACATGGTTGTGCAAATAGACCTTTCTATCATATTGTTGTTGTACTTGTAAGTATAAACTACTAAATAACATTTGATTTCATACATTCACCAAGAACATTTTCATTAATTAGCAAAAACGTGATTGTAAAGCCCATCCGATTGAACAACTTGGCACATACGATCCTTTAATAAACCATAACGGAGAAAAATTGGTCAGTTTAAATTTGGAAAGAATTAAATATTGGATGGCAAAAAATGCACGATTAAGTAATCCAGTGGCTGAATTATTAGGTATGTGTAAAAACTTTGAATTATACACATGTTTTAATTTATAATTAGGTAATGTATAATTGGAATAATAATAGTAATCGGATTTGGCCTCTCAGAATAAGTTTACCCAATACAAATTGTGTTAACCAGATCCAGGCGAATTCCTATCTACATAAATTGGAAGTGTTCAGACATCTCAACATCGATATTGATAAAACCAAGCTTCAACAAGAGCCATCTAAAATAATTCTGAATGTGTTATTAGAAAGAAATGTTGCTGTAAAACAGATATTTATATCGGGTACTTTAGAGACCAACCAAAGATACTTTCTAAAAACTGAACTGCACATGCCTGTCCAATACCAATAATAGGTTTAATAATTCTACTCCACTCATATATAACACTAATTCTTGTTCTATCTTTAAGTTTAGTCATAAGATAACTTAAAATATTATAATTATGTTGAGTATTACCAAAATATCTGTGGTTTACGTACTTAGTTGGATATCTTACATTGTAACTATTCTCTAAATAACTTTGTCTTCTATAGTATTATATCTTATCTAAAATCTGGTTAACTCAGACTTTTGTGACACCGAAATAGGCATTGTTGGCTATCAGTTAATTCACTCTGTCAGGAATGTAAATACAAGTCCTCGCTTTAAATGTGGTGATATTCTAATCGCGGTTTAGAATGTGTATGCCGCAAAAGTCTTATCTTTACCAGTTAATGATATTGAACAACTATTTAGTTTTGTAACAATTGAGAACAAGAGACTCATTATGGGCAGGGTTAATTTCTCGCTGTTCAGTAAATTAGCGAATTCGTCCACACGAAATACTCCGATTACAAATTTATTACTATATGTTAGCTAATGTGATTTATCTAATTTCGATGTTGCTTTTTCTCCTTTCACTGTTCTGTCTGATTCCATTCATATCTCTAAATACAGATCATTATACGTCTATTTTTCTTCAATTAACAGAGTATTAGCCACGTGTAATAACCATCTAAAGAATATTGACACATTTTATTGCTCTCAAGGTGTGATAGGATTCAATATTCTTTCTTTCTAAACTACCTTTACTTTATTTGTTTTTTCTAGTTTATTGTATGCTTATATGTAAAGATTTTAAACGTTTCTTTTTTTCAATGTATTATATAGGTACCTAATACCTACTAATGTAGAACTACAATATTGTCTAATAATTGTTATTGATCTGTATGTTATGCCTTTAGACGTGTATTTCGATAAATAGGTAAATAAATAGGGCTCGGAGGTTTATTCATCTAAAATTATCTAATTATGTACTGTGTATACATTTGTATATAAATCAATAATTTATCAACTAAATATGGATCAATTATCTTAAAATATTCACTTACACTCCAATTTTTATACGTAAAAACTATTTATAATATTATACTGACTATTTGTGTTTAGGTATAGGTATATGCCAGTAAAATTGAAAAAAAATTTAATAAATTAAAACAATAAATAATATAGGTAATACCCATTGAAATAGGTATAATATAGGTATTTTAAAATTAAAAAAAGGACGGTTATATTTTGCACATAGATGTAGTCACTGTTGAAAGGGGGAAATTGGAAAGGTAGGATACTTAGAATTCAATGTATATTTGTAAGAAACGATAACCCATTGCTAACGAAAAAAAACGATTCTAAGCAAAGTTCTTATAATAGTGTTGCTTTGTAAACAATGTATATATTATGTCATATTATGATAAAATGATTACAACAATGTATGTTTTCTAGACAACAATGATTGTTTAAAAAAGATTAAAATAATAAAAACTTGATAAAAACTGTTGCCAATGACAACCTTACTTTTAATCTTTCAATCTTTTTTAACCTAAGGAACCAGATTTTCCTCATTATCTCGAAGATTAATGAGAATTTCAAAAATAGCCTATCTTAAGTACTACCCGGAGTACATTTCTTTTTCTTTTCATTTCCTTTCTATATTTGATAATCTGAATAAACTTTTTGGTAGAAAAAGTGTTCACATAAGAAAAATAAACATCTTTGTAATACCAGTACATTTTTCGTTAAACTCAGTATCTAAAATAAACATAAATATTCTGAAAAATGTATTTACAGTCACAAAAAATTAAAAATATAAAATTTTCATTCAGTAGATTATAAATAAAATTTGTATCTAGCATAAAATAAGCATTAATTAAACTAATAAAAAAAAAAACATATGCAATTTCATAAACATATGAGCATTAATAATGAAGAATATGTTTGTTTATTTAATTAAAAGTTGTTTTGTAAGCAGATTTACTACTTTTATCATTTAATTGTCCAGAAAACATATTTAAATAATTATTATATTACTTAATAACCATGAATACCTATTAATATGTTTTTTTTGTTAAGGTTTATCTGGATTTTTACCCATTCATCCTCGTACATATATGACAGCATGGAGGAATAGACAAAAAAATCAAACCGAAGCCAATACAAGTGAAACAGCAACAAGCAGTTAAATAAATATATTGCTTATTGAATATTGTAGATAGTTGAACTGTCATAGTACTTGGTATAGCATTGTGGCAAATGTATTTTCATAAAATTAAAAATTAAAAAAAATGTGTACATAATATTCATTGTTGTTGGAATGTCTCATAGTAATAGTAAACAAAATACAATTATTTCATCAAAACAGATAAATGATAATAATGTTACTAATTTTATATGTATAAAAAAAATAATATTTTATTTTTCTTCAAACTTATACCAACATACTATTATTACTTTGTTAGAAGTTTTTTTTTAAAGTCATGTTTTTTAATGGTATTACTAAAAAATTATGATTAACATTTGTCAATAAACATAGGATGACATTTTTTTTTAACAAGCAATTGTGTTAAAAAATAATAATTCTGTGAATAGTTTTTAAGAAAAATAAAAAAATATAATAATAAGGTATAAAATAAATAATATTAATACATTTCACTATCATATGTTAAGATTCTTAATAGTCAAAAGACGATGACAAACTATCCTTATCATTATAATGGTCATCGGGATTATTTTCCATGGCTCGGCCAAGTGTGCTCACAATTGACTTGGCTTTGGATGATACATACCGGTCAATTTGACCTAAAACCGTCATGAATTGTATCATTTTCTCCAAATTAGAATTGATTTTTTCAGCTCTTTCTTCATCTGAAATCTGTGACCGTGGTTTCTGGTATGGTTCTTCCTGCAGGAAGCGGCCGTGAATATTTCGTGGTTTCTGTGTTTGATATGTGTCTATGATGGGATTACGACCACTACGAGTTGGGTGATTATTCCCTTGAAAAATATTTAAAATAAATATAATAATATGTACAGTTGAAAATTATAAAAGATTTGTTTTTAATATTTTAAACACCTTTTTAAGGCTACTATTAATGTTGTAAAACTATGTATGTACCTATTTAACCTAAATTTATATTTTTATATACAAAATGTTGACAATAATAATTCAACTTTTGAAGTTTTTAGAGCAGGTAAATGTATTGGTTATTCTAAAATGTAAACTTTTGCTTTACCATTAATGATAAACAAGATTTCGTACAAAAAAAATATTTCTGCCATCAGTACTAACATAATAGAGATTATTTCTCATAACTACTTTGTCTAACTGGTTCATTAAGAATACAATTTGTTTAAAATTCTTTGTACTTTTCTTAATAATGGAGAAACTTCCCTACCCCCCCCCCTCCAAAAAAAAAAAATGCAACATCACTATCAACGGTTAGCTTAAGTTATAATAATTATTTATATATATGTATTTTTTTTTTCTATAAGATTTGAAATTTTGACCGAATTAGGTATATCTAAGATCTTGAATTAGATATTTGTTATTTTATTATTATTAGTTAGGTAATTATTATAGTTATTAATTTTTAAAAATATATTTTCTATTCGTGTAGATAAAATTGTTTTGGTTTCATAAAACAATTTGCAAATTCGATACAAGTACAATAAGTGCATACATTGTAGTATTGTACTTAGGTACGTGAAAAATATACAACGCGGGGGGAAAAACCGCGTAAATAAAACAATAATAAAGGTCGTATTATCGAATGACAATCATTGAATTCAACCGTTAAATTGGCTTCCAACAAAAAGCAAATTTCCTAATGGCCATCCCTATTTCGGATCAAACAACAATTATGTAAGCCACAGAGGAATTAAAAATGAATTATAATTATTATTATTTAATTGAACATTAATTATTATGACTAATGGAATTTCGCGTTTTAGTGGAATTTTTTTTTTTTTTTTAAGTTTATGGCAATTGTTTTTAAAATTGTTTAAACTATCTTTTTGAAAACACACCCAAGGGAATAATATTGAAATAATGTAATTTGGCATAAAATATTGCGGAATAAGACGATTCAATACTGATATCCACCATCTGTATTTGGAATCTCACCGTTTAATTCAATAATGTTATGCATCAATATAGACTTAGGTACACACACCATCAGTTACAAAGCCAGATTATGCTTTTCTGACCAATTTTACGGATCTACCCACTTTGGGCTAGGTAGTAGATACCTAGGTACATCTATTTAGGTACCTATTTTAAAGTCGACGAAAATGTCGATTTTGTTTTAAATTTAAATCGGCCTGCAGTCACGTAATAAAAATGATTGCACGCATTTCTGTAAACATTAAAACGGAACGTGCCCGGCGATTTTATCGTCAGTACCGACCTGCGGGTTTATTATAGGTATGTATTATTATTATTGTAATAGGTGTCAAATTATTGTACAAACATGTAGGTAACCTCGTAATCGGATAGGCTGGGATTATTGTGTTCCGTAAACACGATATTATACATTATAACACAAGAGGTGGTAGACAACGGCGCAACCGGGAATTTTATTTGGGGGGGGGTCATTTTTAAAAAAATCGTTCATGCTTTTAATCGTGACAAAAAAAATAATAAGATCTCAATACGACACGTTTTCGTTCAGAATAGCGCGTCTTCTCAATGCCGGTCTATACGGCTGTGCCGAGGTTGCCTCTCCGCCAGTGGCGAAAAAACAATTCGCAGGGCAACTCCCGCAGCCCCCTATCCCGGGGGTCATAATTATTATAATAATATTCTAAACTTGTTGACCCGGTGAGGTTAGGTTAGAGAATAACAGTTAATATTTAATAATAATAATTTCCTCCTCGGCCGTGACGACCGAATTGCCATCCGTATCACCCAAGTAACCCTTGATTAAACGATCACATATCCGTACCAAAAACACTTACAAATCTCATTATCGCAATTCTCGTTGGGATCTCTAAGGTTTTTGAAAATAAAATACAGCCCCGGTAATGTGGCTTTTTGTAGGTGAGAGAAGTTTTAAAATCGGTTGGGTAGTGTTTGAGCTCATCCGTATTACGAACATACAAACAAACAAATCTTTTCTCTTTATAATGTTATCGGTACAGATTTGACAGTGTGTGTGTGTGTGTGTGCACACACACTTAAACTCAACAGAATTATTTGAACTCCGTACCTCTGTAATATCAATGTATTATTATACTATGTAATTTAGGAGGTATTAGTAGCATATTGTTAATAATAATATACACTGTAAATAATTACACGAGGTCATTGTATGCCGTCAATAAGTATATCATGTTTAGACAAAAATTGAACACGCACAATAAAGTAGGTAGATAGGCACCAATTATTTGTATTCTTTATCATAGGTACTCTTCGCATTGGCTTCACTATAATTTTTATGCTATTTAGATTCAGAGCGGAGCGATTAACGCGTTAGTCTTATTGTAATGTGAGCATTTTTTTTTTTTTGCTTTTGTTCCAAACAACTTTTCGACCAGAAATCTTGCTCCAATCGATGATGGAAATTACGAGGTCCATTTCCGCGGCATTTTGGATTTAGTTTATTAGTCGTTTTCCGACTGTAGTTTTCTTAATAGTTGGGCAAATTCTGCTTTCCCGACTTACCGTCGGGTAGCGGTAAACCCGTTTCCGGTATCAGCCAAATTAAAAGCGGGCGGTTGTTTCACACTCATTTTTGAGGGTGAAAAATAACGCCAACGTAAAACATTTTGGAGCTCAAGTTAATGCTTTCGAGATAGATAAATGATCGAGATTTGATCATTCTAAATAACGGGAAAAAGCGCTTTACACAAAATGTATTTATTAAATGTACCTACCCGTTTTGTTTTACAAAGAAATGACTCGCGAAAATAAATATGAACCCCTCCAAGAAAACTGTTTAGATTCGACACCAGGGCCAAGGATAGGGTGACCATACGTCCCGTTTTTGATCATCATATATTCATGTCCCGTTGTACCGACGAACTTCGAACGAGACGCCTTTTGTCTCATTTTTAGAAACTTGTCATTTTTTAATCCCGTTATTTCCATATAATATTATACTTACGTGTTTAAACGAAAAACCACATGTATGACATTCAAGAGAGCTTAAAGTCGTATTCGTTTTGATCTACCGGAATGTGTACGAAGATTATCTTTTCGATGAGTAGGTACTAATCGGTAATCACGTATGATGTTATCAATGACGTAATAATCGACAAATTATTATGGACAATTAAAAGGACGGCAGAATAATACTGTGTTCGTATTGTATTAAAAAAAGACGGGCGTGGTGTCTAAACAATTTAAAAAAATCAATACATAAATAAATATATACAATTTTGGCAGAATATTTTCTAGCGATTTGCGGAACTAATGCAATAGAGAGAATATTATTTCCTATCGCGATTGCGTTGTAGCCGGATGAAAAATATCGCCGTCTTGTACCTACTCATAGAAATTATCAAAGAAATTAAGATTCTAAAAAATATTCCCGTAATGATTTTTAAAGTGTTTTTTTTTTTCTTTTACACAATCTAAACAACTATTAAATGCGGTTAATTGACAAAAAAAGAAAATACACCTATACACGAGACAAAAGACGCGCATTGGAAATCAACCCGATACAAATAAGAATTACTTTTCAAACTCGCAACAAAATGGAATATAACGTATACGTACAAACAAAATATGTTTCAATTAAAATATTAAACTACGAGGCGTGTAAATAAAATAATGAAACCGATAGCGTAGCATACTATCTGGCAACACTAATGGCTTTCCGTTTACAAATGTTTTCAAAATAAACATTTAATGTGTCTTCAGTACGAACTTGAATTTCCTAGAGCGTGACGGGTTGTCAGTTGGTCCGTAGTGATAATTTTCGTAGACTGGGTTTTCTTAGTGGGTACGTTCTGAAAATGGGTGACAACAATGTTTTCATCATTTTTTGCAGTTGAAGGCCTTCCACTGCGAGGTTCGTTTTCGATCGATTCTCCGCCTTTTGAATATGCTTTAGACCGCATAAAAACCTGGGCCCTTGGAAGTACACTATCTGAGAACTTTCCGTCACACTGTGCCCAGGTTCGAAACAAAATCGGATGGCACACCGTTGTTGAAAATTTATCTCACTCATTTTCAGTACGCGCTGAAAAAAACCAGTTTACGAAAATAATCACTACGGACCACCACGCGGCTTTAGGAAGTTCAAACTCGTACATTAGACATGTTTATGGACAAACCTCGTTACTTTATTTGCACACTTAATTGTACAGTAAAATATAGAAATTAAAAAAAATAAAAAAAAAACGAGGTCTTTTTCAGATTGAACCTTAAATTGTTTGTCCCATTATTTTTAATAATAGAACCGGGGAAATTATTACGATTATTGTTATGCAAAAGCGGTTCGGCTCGGTTCGGTTTGATATTGACACGGAGTGAACTCGCCTTGGGCCCCTCACCGGGACCGATGGCCGCGTGACGATTACCCGAAAGGTCAGTTTTTAGACATCGCCCAATCGGATTTCACATTTTATCGAAATAACGATTCCTGACGTTCCTAAAAACTGATTTGTTTTCAAAAACCATTCGTTCGTGATTGTTATATGAATATGTTCTAATAACGAAAAAAACGACGATAGTAATAATATATTACGATCATTAGTCATAGGTATCTCGAATAATCGAAACTGAGTGAATCCATCCAGTGTTCAAAGGCCAAAGTTCATCGACATCCGGTCACCGCCGTAGGCCTTTCCGAGTGGCCTATATTCAATCAATCAATCATATTATTTTCGTGTTTTTAAATCGTATACAAACAACAAATCGCAACCGAACGCCCGACTCAATATACAATTTTTTCGGCCTGAATAATATGCTGTCTGTACAGAGTGATTCTTTCTCGTGGCGAACGGCTGGATTTGTACTCGTTACGCGATACCAAAGCCGTTTAAAAGTTTTACACGTTATAATTGAAACGCCGATACAATGAACACAAACCCGCCGTGACGTTCAATTTTAAACTCTACTTGTAATTTTAATTGTTTCAGTTTCGAGTCTTTTTTTAGATTCTGAGGAACGTATTGGTTTTACTATTATGTGTGTGTGTTTTTTTTTTCTGTGTCGGTAAATTAATTTCCTGTTAGGAATATTGCTTCGGTTTTTTAACCGCACCATATTTACACCGAAAGCAAACTGTTTTTAGTTAGTGCATTGGGGGGGGGTCGGTTTTTGATTTTCCTTGCAGTTTTTTTAGTTAAAAAAAACATAGAGAAATAGAAAACTTTACGACAACACTGATTTGATTATTTTTTCTAGTTTGTTTTAAGATTCTAAACGGAACGAGAGATGTATTGGTTTTACCATGATATGTGCTTTTTTTTAAACATTTTCTCTGTCTTTAAATAATTTTTTTACCACAAATCTTACTCCAATCAAAAAATTGCAAGAAGCTTCATTGACATATTTTTGTTGCATTCTGAATGTAGCTGATGGTTAAGAAAATCGTTTTTTGATTTTTGTGCATAGTTTTCTTAATAATCGGACAAAACTAGGAAAAAATGTGTTTTTTATTTTTATTTTGGTAGGCACTATGTCGATAAAATTGTTTTACTGAGACGTTTGAAAATTTAACATGGGGTTTATCATAAGTTACAACTCCAAAAAAAACAAGTTTAGTTTGATGCACATGGGTTAGGTTTTATACTCGTTTAAAGTTCAAATTTTGACGGAAATTGTAAAAAACACAAACGAGAGGCTTGACGGTTGAGGGCAATTGGATGCTCGGTGTTATTACTATTTGAAGACATAGGTAGTGTCTAGTAGTACGGGGAAAATTATATTGGCGTCTAAAGTATACCTATGCATTTTTCGGTTCTCCTCAATAAGCATTATACTATTGTAAATTACCAGGTGTCAATTTGGATGATCCCGCGGGCGTAAACTTGCTCTTGATAGGTAGTTTGGCCACTTCCGGCAGTCCTCTGGCTTTGGACGTCGGCGTCGGATGGTAGAAAAACGGCGAGACAATCGGCTCGTTATGCTGCAGACTGGCGACGGGTGACGCGAAAACGACGACCGACTGCAATAACATAATATCATAATGAATACAAAACAGAACCGACAGCAAAATGAATCCCCTATACTAATTATTTCGTATCGCAATATTATCGTTGTTTCGTTGTTGTACCGACGACACCCCGAGCAATTAATAATGTAATATAACGACCGTGTTGAGTTATGGATTGTAAAAAAGCTAAAAAAAAAAAGGCCGTACGAAATCGTCGCCGAAAAAACACCGGCTCCCAAATGTTATCGGGACGAGGTACCGCGAAATCGACGGACAAATAATCGAACGACCTCTTGTACAACAAAATTGATAATGCGCTTGATATTTACGCGTACGGATCTCCGAAACTTGGTCATCGCAATAATATTGTCGTTGGTACTCGAAAGAAAAATATCGCTGAACAAGAATGAAGATGCTTGGACCGCTAAAGAAAAATAAACAGAGAGCTAGTAATAACGCCCGGGGCTACGGAGCTCCTCCTAACCTTCCCCTCCCTCATTATCCGTCCCCGAGCCGAGTCGAATCGATAAAAGACCTTTGGAATGGCTGACAACGAGTGGCGGTGGTTTGCAGGAAGGGCGATTTGCGATGNCCCGAGCCGAGTCGAATCGATAAAAGACCTTTGGAATGGCTGACGACGAGTGGCGGTGGTTTGCAGGAAGGGCGATTTGCGATGGATATACTCAGACGGGACGACCGGTCCCGTAAAGGGGGGCACGCAAACCCTAACGCGATAACGAATAAAAGAAAAAACTGCATCCGAGTTCCGTCCCGATAACCTTTTTTTTTTATACCGATTCCGTCCCGGGTGAAAAAAAAAGCATGTACCAATATTGCGTCCTTAATAGAAACAAGGTTAACTAAATTACAATATTACTGTATTATCAGTACAATAACAAATAATAAATCCAAACACGCAGACGCACAAATAATGACGGTGAAGTTTAAAAGCTAAATATAGTTTTATCTTTATTTCTAAATGACACTGCAGCGTTATCGAATCCGACTATTTAGTGCGGTAACTGAAAGCAATGTTATCTCTATTTCTAAACAATATGGAATCGTGATCGTAGTCGTAAATTGTACACCGCAATTTGAATACTGTGTAGAGAATGCAAAAAAAGGGACGGAACTCGCGTAGTTAAATAAATTACACGGGACGGAATTGGTGTATCTATTCTGAAAACCCGGACGGAACTGTAGTACAATGTCTTTAAACATTCAAAATTTACGTTCGGGCCGGAACTCGGACGCAGCCGAAAAAACAAAAACAAACAAAAAACGCGTACCTGAACGGCGACGTAGAAAACGATCGTTCGGCATATCATCGTGAAAAACTGTGCCCTGCGCGTCGACCGGCGTCCGCTTTTTAACCGTCCGCGCGACGCGTTTTTTTCGTACCGGAATTCTCAAAACAAACCCGCCGGCGTCGTGTTTACATTAGCTTACTATACGCCTACCTTCTCGTCGCATTACGTTTTTTATTTTTTTTTTTTAGTTCGTTATTTTGACGTATGCAAATAGCGCATATTATATTATAATGTGTATGTGTATAGGTAAGCTATTACGTTTGTGTGTGTGTGTGTGTGTACGCGCTACACTTAAATAATATGGTTTTTTTTTTTTTATTATTATTTTATTCGACGACCGCAATAATAATAATAATAATAACAACGGGGCGTCGGCGACGTGCGATTTCGACGCGACGGGACGTGCGTGCGCGAAGATACGCCGAGGATTCCATAAAAAAAAAAACTTCGAGTTCCGGAAATATAACCGGCCGAGAGTCCGTATTGGTTTGCATTATGGCCGGATCGGAATATCGTTTTTCCGGGCCCCGTTGAACCCAGGAAATCGGACACAAATTCAGCACGGAATCGAGTGTAATTTTAAAAGCCGGTCAAATTCAGAATCGAACGAAAACGTCCGTCTATTTTTAAAAAAGTGTGCGATGCGGTTTCTTTTTGAAAACGGCCCGAATAGAGGTGGTTCGGTTTTCGCATGACGTTCTGATAGTTCTGCAATATATTTCATTTTCGGGGAGGGGAGGGTATATTTATACGGTCTAGGAGACGTGTTAAATATGTACGCAGATACCAAAACATGACGTTAACGAAATTAATGGTTCTTTCCTTCGAAATAAACCCGCACCGCGTATCTAAAAGCCTGGACATTTTTTTAAACGGGTTTTCCGTGTCAACATTTATTTTTCCGTCTGAGAGCGGCGTTTCAGAAATCGTGATTCAACCAAAAAATAACAAGAGACCTTTTCTGTTGAATTTTGGCTTTGGTTGGTATACATTATGCGAGGAGGTCGATTTTTGATTTCCCGAGCGGTTGTCATAATAGACGGCAGGAACACTTAGAAGCAAACACGGAGCGCGGATTTTTAACTGACTGTACATTTTTTTCCCCTTTTCGTATGTTCGATTTGCGATACGAATCTTTGGGAACCACGCCTACTGATTATAAGTAATTTACAAAGTTTTATTGTGAATATGTTTGCATATTTGACCATGATAAAATATAGAGTATTTTTGCACAGTTGCATATAATTCAATGAATACTATTCACCACTACGAAAAAATGCTTAGATCGTCGCTCGAACGACAATGCACCGGTTTAATTTCAGACGAGACTTCCGAAGAACTAATAAAATACCATTTATCGTATGTTACACGATATTCTTGATTTTTTTTTTCCGCACCATTGTAATTATTACAATTTTGAATTTGTTTATATTTTTATCATTTTTACCGCATATCCTATGACGTAGTTTGATACTTAATAGTGCGTAAGATTTTTTTTCATGCGGAGGGCTTCAGTTTTTAATGGCCAAACAATATGGTCGAAAAAAGAAGTTCGCATCTAACTACTATTAATCCAACTCACTATCTATAATTACACGTTGAGTTTTTATCGACGTTTTAAACCAAATTCGATGATTTTTAGACTGTAATATTGCACACATTCGTAACCCGCTTGAAAATTAAAATATTGTTCGTATCCGACGGGCATAATGTAATATAAATATAATAGCGTTATAGTTTTTAAAAGTTTTACTTTATTTTTTCTATAATCTCGCGGTTTTATTGTTTATTCAATTAAATTTATCACGGAACCATTAGCAACAGTTCAATCAGTTACATAGCGTTTTTTTTTTCAACCTAGAATTAACATTTTAAATATAAGTGTTGCTGAGTTATATATTTTTGTGATATGATAACGAAATAAAATTTAAGTTTACTTGCGAGTCATACCAACCTTAAAAAATTGCAAAATATAATTCAGAGATTTCTTTAACTTCGGTAAAAAAAAATGTTGTATTCTAAATGCGGAATCACGTAGCAATTTCATACAAAATAAAATAGCTATAAACAGCTCATAAATTGCTAGAATTTTTTGAAAATTTTACCACGTCCATAAAGAGTTAATAGAAATATTCGATACAAATTTCAGGTTCCTATGATAATTTTTAACTGCATGCAAAAACAAGAATAAAAGTAACAATAGAAACAGTTTTATTGCGTAAATATTTCCGGTTGTCGACTTCCCCCCTCCCCCGGTTGTTTCCAATTATTCACAAAAGACAAATAGCCCCCTCAACACACCAACAGAAACCATCCTTGTAGTTGATGATCCGATCAAGATATCTGGTCGACAAATTGTTTATAGATAGAAAAAAAAAAATGCTGTCCTAGAATAACGGGGACAGTTGCAGCCACTGTTGTAGGAGAGAAGTTGGGAAGGTAGTAGAAAGGAAATTTAATGTACGCAACGATTGACCGTTGTTAACGAAAAAAGGATTTTGAGCAGAGTTCGATTATATTATATATATATATATATATATATAATCCCATGTTTTTTCCCATATATTATGAAAACCGCTTGGAACATTAAACAACGACCTCCTTAAAATATCACGTAGATAAAATTTACTTTCAGAAAATGTGTTCCACTTGATACATCGGCGCAAGATTTCTGGTAGGAAAGTTTGCACAACAAATCTAGAGGTATTTTTCAATTGAAATAGTCCGAGCGGGGGCGACTGCTTCGGTCTCTAGGTACACCCAAAATGTATTTGTTTTGACGCGACCAACAGGCTTGGCCCCGATCGCGTTTTTTTCCTTAAACTAGTACGCGTTAACGATGCGCTTTCTGTTTTAATGCACCTGCCGTCATCAAATGTATCGTGTCCATCCGTTCATCGTTTTTTACTTAAAATATTGCCGGTTTAGGCGTTGGAAAAAAAATTTAAAAATTAGCCAATATGACATGTACAGTATAGTGAATATACACGCGTCCCGACGCGATACAAAACGCAATTCAGGTATAATAATATCACTGCGATAAATTTCGTCGGATGAGTGCGATCGCGGCCGGTGTCGTGTTAACCTTCGGATCTCCGACGGTTAATAATGTTATACAATAACGAGCGCGCGTCTTTTCGTCGCCCGCAAAATGTCCAAAACACGGCCGTTTTGTTGTTGGAATACGATTCCTCGTCGTTATATTTACCGTTTCTGCGGCGCGAATTCGATCCGATCAATAATAACGTCGTCGTATACGAAATACATATATACGTAGCCCCAAAACGGATACGGTGTATCATTATGCTTATAATAATCGCAGTCTCGGACGGTGCACGCGCACATCCGGTACCTAGGTATATAAATACGACCGTCGAGCGATATTCTCCGGTCATACAGGGCGGATACGTTTCAGAAATAACGTTTTCGTCGTCGGCCGAAAAGTCTATTTTTTTTTTTTTTTTTTTAATACAGTCGTGCATAGTACCAGTGTTTTCCCGTCGAAAAATGAACTCGATCTCCACTGTGGTCACCGCGTTATTGGCCGTCCAGGCCTGCGACCGTTTCGTCAAAGTCCAGGTGAGCGCCGTCGTCAGCTGTATTTCTGGCCCGCGGATTCGAGAAGGTCCAAACTCAGTTCCTCCGCCAATTGCCTTATGGCTTTAAGCGCTCAAGATAACGCCGCACCGGTCTCTACTATCTTAGCCCTAGAAACGCGCGACATAGGGGATTTGCGTTCGGCGGAATAAAATATAATTGTGCGCCGTGAGTTTTGATGTCAAAGCGAATTGACCAAACTCGAACGCATACGATTTTAGTTTCCTAGCGAGATATAATCATTTTTAAATTGTGATGTTTCGCATACTCGTATTTCGTTTGAAAAATTAGAATACCGAAAAAACATCTACGCTTAGGCACAGATTAAGCTTCTTGTCTTTAAATTTGATAATACGTCAATTTGCTTTGATATTGAAACTAACGGTTAAAAATTTGTTCTGCTGAACACGCGAATTTGCTATGCGCGCGTTTGTAAAACGGAGACGATATAAATACCGGTGTGGCGTCTTTAATAGTTCGATATTTCGGCTTATCGGTTTGCGATTTCGGTGATCGATGAGATACGCACTCCTGGCACAAGAAAATATACTTTAATTTTAATTTCGTTAGACCCCAATGTTAACACATTTCCGCCAATAACGAGTTTGGGCCTCCTTGATTCGAGATTGTAGAGCTCGCATTTTCGTTTGAGCAGCGATTATTATTTTTGATTTTCCGTTTCGTTCAGGGTAATGCCGTCGACAGAGGCTACGTCGGATCTCAAATCGAAAATTACCAGTACGGCAATGGCGGTGAGTACTTGTATAACATCTATCTATTTATACGATGAATTTATTTGAGCCCATAGCAGTTCAGGTCCGGTTGAAATTCTAAAATATTGTAATATCAGCCGACATAGTATTATTAAGATAATGACGGGGAAGACTCTGTTACGTTATAATTAAAAGATATCCTCGGTTTCAAGTGAATTTGATTTCTGTTTTTTTTTTTTTTTTTCCAATTATGCGACCGATTAAGCTGTACAGTTCAACTGAATTTTCAAACATTTACTCTCGGTCTTTTTACCCCGAGTATACAATTATGATTTTGAAATAGCGACCTCCGCCTCTTTTTGAACACAGTTTTGAATAAAAAAAAAAATATTTTGTTTAAAATTTACAATTATGCGTAACCATTTAATAATGCACCTACTGTATGTGTACTCGACAGAGGTACGCAATAGTGTAATAACAGTTCAAAATGTAGACTAAACGGAGGAGTAAAGCATTAGTAAGTAATGATTATAATCTAAGAATGGGTTACGATAGTTTTTCTAAATAATGTTACATTGGATGGATTTTTCGTTGATTAATTTCCGGATTGCCATGGCCTACCACTCATACTGAACAAACAATATGTAATAATGATGTATCATACCTAGCAAATTACGTTACCGTGATTTATCGAACTATACTCAGAATTGTTTTTTCGATTGCAATGATTAATCGTTATAAAAACAAAATTATCCTATACTCCATAGTTTTCCAAGTGGCCTACTTACTAAAACCTTACTGACTGACGCCAGCTATTGTTATCCTAGCGTGTTTACAATTATTTCTATCGAACAATTAATAGATTTTTCTTTTCTTTTCTTTTTTAACGCCAAACGCTAAATATTCGAATAACGTAATAACCATAGTTATCTATACTGATTTATAGTAATATAACATCATGACTAATGATGATCTCATAAAGAGATACTTTATATAATTGCACTGTTGTTTATTGTTTAAAAATTAATAAATCATAAATTATTACGCATTCTTAATCAAAATATATTTGGCGTGTGCGCATTATGAATTTGCAATAATAACAATTGGATGATTTGTTCGCTAATATACGAGTTATAAAATTAATAGTTTGTGTACAGGTTTTACGTTTTTTAACAATTTTAACCTTTGATTTTGTTATTGTGAACAAAATCTGAACTTTTAACTCAATTTATTTTGTTTACATTAACTAAACGAATAACGAGTTAAATTTGAATTACATCACGACGTTAATTTCAATTTTATTTTATTTAGAAAATATTAAATTTACAATCCATACATTATAACTGATTCGGATTGGTAAACAGATAGATTGTTGTTCTTTATACTAAATTATTTATGTGGAATTCAGAACTAAAGATAAGTTGGTTATATAATTTAATATTTCTGGAATAATCCCCCCGTGTTCAACAATATTGATTAACCATTCATTAAAAAAAAATAATTATAACGAACACGTAGAACAAGTTTACTATGAAAATAACAATACAATTTTTCAAAAAACAAATTTAACTTAACTTATGCTAAAAAGTCAATGACATTTTCAAATTAACTGTTAACTTAACTGAGTTCATTAGCACAACTTGTTTCAATCAACTTAATTGATTTCATGCCATGTATTAACTTGCACAGCTTTGCTTTTATCCGATTCCGATATTTAAGAGTTTAAGTGGGAGTGGGGGGGGGGCAAATGGAACACATTTCCTCCATACCTCCGACTGCCCTTCAAAGACGTCTTTTTTAACTCAATCTTCAGAAGGTACGCCGGTAAGCTGAAACGTTAAGTAGAACCAAAAAAACACTCGAGTGAATATCGTTTTCAACATTTGTTCGTTTTGAAAAATAATTAATGAATGACCTATACCTTAAAACAATTTTATTGCTCGGGAAAAAATTTACGAAACGCTTAAAATAAAATAAGGATCGCAGTTTTTTCGCCATTTTGTTCCATTCAAAGCCTTGTCGATGTATATTATCATAATGACATGAAATAACATCGGATATTTAAAAATTAAATTTATTACAGATATCCCCTAGCCTATCCCTGGTGGGACGATTAAAAGAAAAAGTATGGTATACTTATAACAAAATAAAAGGAATCAGCTCTACATATAAGGATACATGAATAGGTCCTGCACTAACCTCCAAAACAATGCATTCCAAGCACACATATTATAACAATTCGATTTGTGTAACAGTCACTGTGGAATTTTGATTTCACTGTTTTTCCGTTTTTGGAGTAAATTTTTTCTAGTTCACGATACGCTCAAAAAGGTTTTTTTTTGTACCGTGTGTTTCCAGACTTTATTTTCCACAATTTTCAGGAAATTTTAAGAAACTTGACTGCCGCGTATTTTTTTGAAAACTTCAATTGCCTGCCATGACATCTGCTTTGGGATCTCAGTTTGCTCTAGAAACTCATGGGAGGGAAGAAAATGTTTGTGATATCACAAATCGGGTCTCACGGCAGCCAAGTTGTTTTAATAGCCCGATAGTGATATTATATTAGTAGTACCTATATGTATAATATTATCCATTCAATTTGTTTCGGTTTTGCGCAGGCGGTTACGGAACAGATTACCAGAGGATCGGCACGATCGGCGGGGGCGGAAATTCGTGTCCTTCAGCCGGACAAGGCGCAGCCTCAGCTTCGATATCGTCGGCCGCCACTTTGACGGTACCTCAGCACCGTCCGTCGTCGGCGGGTTACGTGTCCATTACAAGCCCCGGCCTGTCTTCTCCGCACCACGGTCACGATTACCTGGCCTCGGGTAACGCCGGTAACTGCGGTTGCGGTCTTTGCGGCGGGTGGTCGGTCGGCGGTGGTTCGGCGTCGATTCGCGCGACCAAACGGAACCAGCTGCTCGACAGGCTATACCAGAGGAAAGCGCTGCAAAAGCTCAACGGGCTGCAACACTTTCAGCCGGTGCACCAACATCAGGTGCAGTTCGTCAGACCGACTTGTCACAATTCGGGAATTTACTACTGACCGACTGCGTTGACGCTGTAGACAGATTAAATACACGTAGTCAATTGATTTGTAACACTATTGATTTATAAATATCGTTAATTCGACATTCCGTCTTCTGACACTAATAAATAAAATGTCCATTATTCTACGATTTTTATTTATGAGTTTTAACGAAATGATATTATGTTATGTTTAAGAAAAGGACAAAAAAAAAAAAAAAAAAATCGCCTAAAAAGCCTAGAAATTTATCAAAGTGCTAAAAAATACCTCAATACGCGTATGAATAAATATTTATCATACAAATGCAGATTTGTATTCAGTAATTCATTTTTAAAATTATTCTAGATATCTATCAATAATCGTATAGTCATAAATACGGGAATTCGTATGCGATTATTTATAGACAATGACGATAGCACGTTTCGCAACCTGCACGGTCTGCATCTATATGATTAATTAGCGTTTTCCGGAGAAAAAAAAATAATCGACAAAAAAAAAATAAATAATATACATGAAAATACCGCAGAGGTGGCTTTTTTTTTTTATTATTATTCGTTGTAAAAAACGTATTTTCACGCGGCTATACGGTAATAACTATACCAAGAACTGTATACAGACAGGGTTGTAAGGGTCAAAAGCGCCAAGCCGTTAATCGCATAATCCGTACAATTTTCCACGTTCAACACGTTGCAGGTCGGTACATAAATATCCGCACGTGGAGGACACCGTATCATAATTATAGTGTTTATCGCGGTTTTATTTTCTATATGCATAAAATGTTGTTTTTATTCAATATCCTACGCCACTTTTTTACACGTAGGTGTGCAATTTTTATGTATTGAAAAAAACGTTTTCGCCGAAAATAATATCAAGCAAAGTCCCGTAATGTTATAACTAACGGTGTAAACCCGCGCATTCAACAAACTAATAACAATCATTTAATCAACAAAACGTTTGTTTAAATCGAGATTTTAGATTTTGAAACTTTCATTTTAGATTCGTTTTGGTATTATTCGTTCAATTCAAACACTAATTATAATAATCCAAAATAGAAATTCGCGCATTTCGGAATCCGAAATCCGGATTTTTCGGATTCGTCAGGATTTGATCACCTGCCGTAATAATTTGTTTGCTCTTGATATTGTTGCTGAATCAACAACATACATACCACATACTCTCGTAGGTACTGATTGAACAAAATGTGCACGGCGGCGACCAGTCGGCTGGGAGAAAATTCGATTCTAGTTATGGTAACTTTGCCGCTCGTTGATGGTTTTTTTGTTCCCAAAGAAAACATACATTTTTTTTCATTATTACCTACTATTTACTATTACTAGATATTTTTTATTTCGAACGGAGTCGTAACAACACATTTACTCCCCTCGGTTTCGTAGCTATAATTTGTTTAAAACATCCGCTGCATCCACTAACCGCGCATCATTGCATGCGAATCAACGGCACTGTCTCTAGTGGTCCGAATCGTTTGCATCCCACGGGTGGTGGCACAAATTATTATCATTGCTTGAGCTGTGTGTCTGTACGCGTGATTGGTGCCTACGCCGTGCTCATCTTACCGGTCTGTTATCAGTAATAATTTGGTCATTTCGATCCAAACAACATTCAATAGTTACATTAAGGACACACATAACATTATTCTAAATACTCATACATTGTATTAAAATATGAGTACTCTTACAAACTAAAACTTCCACTATTATTAAATAAGAATGACTCAATTGAGGATTTAGCAATCAAATTTATATATAAGACTATTATAAGTAGGCAGGTAACACGTAGAATATAGAACTTTCAAGTTACTTTAAATTACATTTATATGTGCATTTTTATTTGTCCTGATCCTATAATCATTGATACGGATAGTTATCACATTGTATTATGACGTCACACTATAATCACGCGTATTGTGTATCAATGTTTTTATGAACACTGTTAATTTTTTTAAGTAGGCGAAAACCGCAGACATAAATCTAATTTTTATGCAAATTATAGACATAATTCCATGGAATAGGAAGCATAGAAGTATAAAATAGTAGAAAGCCAACTGACATTCTTATTTATCACCAATCGTCATAATATGCATGGGGCGGTTAATGTTTACATAATTTTCTTATCAATACACCTTGATAAAAACAATATGCTATTACATTGTTATGTTGTGCTTGATATTTATTTTCGCCTCGCTCATTGATAATTAGTATAGAATCTCCATTGTTTCTTGATTGTCACTTTGAGTTTCCCCGTCAATCCCTGTTTCCATTCACGTTTCTATGACAGTTAACTTACTGTTGTTTCTCCTAAATTTTAAAAAATGCATTTTATTTCGATCACATCAGGGGTTTCATTCTTTCTAAGTTGTTGTTTTCCGAGTCTTCCCCTTCTATTAGTGTTTATGCTACAAACCAAAATTGGTTCGAAAGTTTCCTAGTCTATAATTAACGAATTATTATTATTTTTATATAGCAGATTTATTATTTTCAAGTAGAAGGCAATATGTTCTATGTTAACGTAGTATAAAATAAATAAAAAAACACTACGGAATCTTAGAAAATATCATGGAAAATAAGTAGAATAACAAAACACGTATGAAACATGTGCGGTGAAATGATAACAACCATGATTGAAAAGTGTAAACATTGACCACTATACATATAATGGTTGAGGTCAACGCTCAGTGTTTCAGTGTAACACAAATTAGTTATAGTAAAAGGGCTCAAGATTATTAGCACTTAAAAAAAAATCCCTGAAAAAACCATTAAAAAATATTTGAAAGTGCAAAAAAAGTAGAAGGGTTTAAAAGTTCTTCTTCTAATGACTCTTACTTATTAAATAAAATCTTTTAACACTACAAAATACGATTTTTTTTTTTATAATACATATAACTACTGTAAAAAAAATTACTTTGTGTTAACCATTTCTGTAGTGTTATAAAACTGTGTTAAATAAGTTATAACCGTTAAATCGGGGACTTTTAAACTCCTCTACCGGTTTTTGCTTTTTAAAATGTCTTTTAAGTGCTATTTTGACGATTTTGAGCTCTTTTTTGTGGATTTTAAGTGTTTAAAATTCCAAGTCCTGTAGGTTAAGTATTCAGCATATATGGAAATGAGCGTGCTTTCGGAAATACAGCGCTGCTATTACTGATGGAATTTCTGATGATTATGCATGTACATTCAGTGGCGTGGAGAACTCAAATATTTTCAGAGGCAAGGATTTTATTCCAATACCCACCTAATGCCTACCAACGGATCCACGAACCTCCCATTGGCCATTGTAAATGGAGATTTAACACTGAGATTTTATTGTTTTATTAAAAACTGCCACATAAGTAGACCCTGTAAAAAAAATTCAGAGACGACTGCCCTTCAATTACCCCCTTTCATACGCCACTGTGCACGATTGATAAAATCCGGGAAATTTCGGGAAATCGCCACCGAGCGCTGTAATCGCATTAATAGTTTAAAGCTCAATAATAAGTTGATTCGCGCTGCGCGACACCTAAATATTATTGGGTACGCGATCTGCCAAATGGATTCGCCGTGGATGTTGACTGTTTACCAGTTTACTTTTAGAAAATGATCAACATAAAGCGAAAAAAAAAAATCCGAACGAGTCCGTGCGAGTTTTCGCATTTCTCTCGTTACAATATTTACACGTGCGTGCTGGCCTTCGTACCGGAAAAAAAAAATAAAATAAATTACAAACGACACCAATGTAATTTTATATTATGTTGAGTAATAATAAATCCCTATCCTCGGGCCGTCTAAAACAATATACCTAGGAAGTAGTAATAGGTATAATTGTTATGCTTACGTGATGTTTTGGTAAAATAACCAAATTTCACTAAAACGTAAACGTATATTTACAGTATTAAAAGTTCTAATAAACGAAATAGAACCACGCGTACAATTCGGATCGAGTGCGTTTATCGAATACCAGCTGTACCGCCCGACTCCGCCCGTACCAATTTTCATTCGGTATCCGTTTTCCTTTTTGCGGGTTTTGACCGTGTCAGTGTTATTGAATGAAAACAAATGGGCGAAAAGCGGGTAGTCCACCTTCGGCGGACTAAAAGTGTTCCGTTGAGACGTTTTTCCATGATTTTCGTACCGAAAATATCTAAACGCCGAATTTCGTAGAGCGGGGGGCGGGGGTCGTATTTCAAAGGAAGTGAAGCCTAACCTAACGCACGGCCGGTTTCCGTCAATTACGTACCTTTCCCTTTTCCGCCGATTTACGTTTCCGCCAAATCACAAATTCCCTTTTAGGCCAAATGAAAAAATTTAGTCTAATATTCGAATATTGATGGGGATAACCCTGTACATTACAATTAATTACACATATAAGTAAATTAAATATGAATACGTTTTTTCTACTTATGTTTGAAAAAATGTTGTTTATCATTTATTGAATACATGGTAAACATAACTGTAATACTCATAACGATTGTTCTTACCACAATTTTTCACTCGAAAAACGTCAAAAATATCATCACTTTTTTTTATTATAGCATAAATCGGAACTCATTTTTATTATTATTTTTCGTCGTAAGATATCTATAACGTACCGTAATTTCGCCCAGTGATACATTCATCGCTGACTATCTTATTTTCCCAACGCTATCGATTATGTTCCTAAACTTGTTTGTTATATCAGTTGATACGGTTGTACGATGTGTACGAAACCGACCGTGACAACGTAGCCAAGTCGCTACTTTCGAACCGAACCGCGTTGTCAACGGTAAAATATATTTTTTATAATACAACAATAATAATTTATAATACAATCGTCCATTAATATTCGAATATCAGACAAAAGTTTTGCATTTGGCGGAAACGGGTAACTCCCGACAGAGCGCGTGTCTCGTATTATAGTCGCCGATCGCAGACGTTCCTTTTATACCTTTACGTATGTATTTGCCGACAATTTATATCAATATAAAATTAATAAACCGATTGTTAATCTATGCATACAAAAATCAATTGATATCATGTTGGTGACGGCCATAACTCGAATACCATCAAAATTTACGAATTTTCCGGTAGATTTTCCGAAAATTTTCTTGCATACAACCATTTTCCTGATAATAACGAATATATTAAAAAAAAAAAAAAATGTTCAGCCAAAACAGTCCGTTCGTTCTCAAGTTATACCGTAACCAACCGAATATCTATTGATTTTTATGCATGTATATACCTCGATATACTGTCGATAAAATGAGAAAAAACGAAACGGTAAAAATTATAGTTGTACCTAAAATTTCGAGCGATTTGGTGCTGCGCTTGCCCAATCTCCCCCCCAAAAAAAAACAAATCAAAATATTTATTTGGCCACGTAGATGTGCATCTAATTTTACATAGTATTTTATTTATCAATAGCTTTTATTTAAATAGATAATTTTGTATTAATACGTCGAACACTGCAGGATTGTTAAGAATTCGGAGAGTTTTCGATGACCGAAAAATATGTTTTCCGAGGACGAAACCAAACTAAGGATGATGAAATGTTGATTATTTAATGAAAAAAAAAAAAAAAATGCACCATATTAAAATAGTACATAATTCATGAACTGAAATTAATGAATTGCAATGAAAATGAACGTCGGAAAAAAGGGGCGGGAAAGAAGACCGGAAAAGTGGTTGTTGGGATGCGGTCGAGAACGCGGGGAAGACAAGTACACGAGTACACGAGTGTACACGAGGTGGGAGATTGGATCGGGCGGAAGTTTAGAACGGGGGCGGTCAACCCCCGAATAGTCGGGATGAAGGCGGAGGAGAAGAAGAAGACTGATCGTGAACTGCAGCGCAACGCTGCATCGGCTACTGCACAATGATAATTTTTGGACGTGAGGGTATTTTATACAAATGTAGGGAAGTAGACATTGTATACAGAGGTGGGCAAGTCGATTCGGTTAACGGTACAAATTTAAAAAGCAACCGAAGTTAAAACTGTGAAATGTTCACGGAAAATAAATTTAATTTGTCGAGTTAATTTTAGAAACAAAAAAAAAAATGTCAAGTTTTCTCTCGGTAGTCGAACGAAATCATAATACCGTTAAATTCCGGCAGGAATTTTATATTTAAAACTCGCATCGTCCAAACGCCAATCGTTTTCAGAATTTGTCCGCCTTTGGGCCGGTTGTCGCCCTGGCCAACGGCTCGACGGGCGCGCCGGCCCGCGCCGCGGCCTGCAGTTTGTTCCGGGACTTTTTGAGCGTCGCCCGGGACGTCAACTGAACCGTTTCGAGCAGGCTCACGATGAAATCCGTCAGCGGCTGGATGCCGCCGACCACGGGACCGGGGCCGTCAGCCGCCAGCTCCGCGGAAGAGTCGCGCGCGCCGCCCCGGGGCCGGGCCGCAGACTTTTCCGGCGCGGCGTCGGCACGGTCGTCGACGCCGTCGTCTTCCACGTAGTCTGCCGTCGGCACGCCGTCGTCGTCGTCCGCGCGCATTCGGTTCCTGGCCGCCACTTGTCCGGCCGGATAGTCGGGCATGATGCCGTCGTCGTACGGGTGCCGGCTGACGATCCGACCGGGACCGGCTTCCACGTTCGGGTTGAACACCTGCAATAACGATTTTATCACTGTGTCCAGACAACCGTCGCATCCGCGGCGCTGCGCCCGAGAATCAAAAAAAAAAAAAAAAACAAATCAAACGATCGCGAAACAATTACGTCACGTAGAAACGGGGACATCGGAAAACGGCAGTCTCGGGGAGTGAGACGTGGGGGGGGAGAGGAGAGGTGGGAGATGCTGGAATCGAACGGAACGGTAATGTCCGCGGATTTCGGGTCCGAGCACCCGAATCCAAAAACACGAATAAAAAAGTCGGTACAGCGTAACCGATACAGCGAACGTACGCATTTTATCGCGTTGATTTCCGGTTCGGCGATCCGTGAACGTCGGAAAAAAAATAAATAAAATAAAAATATATTTATCGAGTCGGTTTCGTATTCGGTAAAACGGGGGGGGGGGAAATACCCCCAATAACGTTACGCGTAACCGCGTTCAATCCGTTTGTTTGATGGTTTTTTTTTTTTTTTTTAATGTACACGTTTTCGTTGGCCGTACAATTGTTTACGCTCGGACTGCCGGTACGGTCGACTCGTGTACGGGTAGTATTGCCCCGCGGAAGGGGGGTGGGGGAGGGAGTCTGCCGGGGAAACACGAAAAAATACCACGAAACCGGCGTAGAAAAATCCACGTCAATTGGAGTCATCACCGTCGTTGTCGTCCGTTCAATATTTCGTTTTTATTTATTTATTTTGTTTTTTTTTTTCATCCGCGCCGTCGAATACGATCGACCGTACGCCGGCATACCGCACGGCGGTACCGGGATCGGTCGATTGCGCCGCGGAAGGTCACGTAAACTGCAAAAGCAGCACGCGGGGGACCGCCGGAACGCGCGTCTTTTACGCTCGAGTCACTAGTCGTCCGCCGCGGACCGAGCTACTTGGGACCGGACGCGGAAGACGCCGTTCGGACGACGGCGCGCACAAGTGCGGTGAGGACGCCCGCGAAGACGAAGAACGATTGTTTAACGACGGCTGTGACGGTCATGTGGACAACGACAGCCGCTGGTTTTCCGAGGACGGACAGACGCGCGTAACGCGGCGTGTCGGTAACGCAACAGTCGAATGCCCGAATGCGCGCCGTCGAAACCGTTTTGTTTCGTAAGCACGGTTGGCGTGACGTTGGTGTAGCACTGAACGGGCGCTGTTTTGAGAAAAAAAAAAAAAAAA